CTGTCAAATCTTAGGTTATGTACAGCATTGTGAAGTACAGCATAGACGTAACTGTACTGGTAAGATAAATCATGACAATACAGTGCTCAATCTAAGCTCTACAGATATATAAGCATGATCAGGCCTTTGCTAAATGAAGAAGCAAAGCGGGAGCCTGTGTAAAACTAAAGGTAGAGCTGACATGAATCATCTACCAACAGCAGTCCTTACATGGCAAACAGCCATAAGAATGGGTGAAACAAGGACATTAAGAGTGAGTGAAACAATCAATGAATCAATCTTTATTTAAACTCAGAGTACATTGTGAGAGACTTTCATTTACAATGTAGCCGAACTAATGTAAAACGGACTGAAAAGTTGAATTGTTAAAAATTGAATGCTAAGAGAAGCAATAAAGATCACAGTAGTAAATTTAATACTAAAAAATCAATAACCATTAAAATTTCAACAATAACTTAAAAATATCAAACAATGATACAGTAAATGAAAAGATAATTAATGAGATAAATAAAAGAATAGAAGATTCTAAAAAAGAGTAATAAATGTGAAGCAAAAACTAAAACATACCAAAATCATGTTAAAATTCAATTGTAATCAAGCAAAACAGTGTCAAGCTGAGTGGAGGTAGTTAGAGACTAAGAGTTTAAAAAAAAAATATTCCCATTATCCCAAATATCCCCATGATATTGCAACAAATCAATACTGGGCACAGAGGGACAGAGTTTACAAACAATCAAAGGTTAGTCTGAGAAACCAAACTCAAATAGTGTCATTACGAGAAATTCAGCTGAAGAGTAAACATTTACAGTAAGTTCCCTTAATGATTAATGATCCAGATTTGGCTGTGAGCCAAAATATTGTTAGCAGATCACTGATGATATTTTTTCATTATTATTTTTATTTATTTTTGAGTTTTCTGACATTGGTAGAAAACTACATACTCTATTAGGCATGGAATATATTTCCAGGGACATCTTTTTACTGAACTGGAGCTTCAAAATCAAATGCTGGTGCCAGAACAAGGATCAAAATTTCAATGAGGTCTGTTTTGCAGAGAATAAACTTCAATCACTAATTGAGCTTGAATTCACTTGAACTTAGTGTTGAATATGTATATTGCACCAACTGTCAATGTCTGAAAATACAGCTGAAAATGCATGTTGCAATCTGTACTAAATTAGTAGTATTTTTACATTGAACTTATTTCTTTTTTCTCTCTGAGTCTCTTATCTGCTTGTCTCTTTTTCTCACTTGCTTCTCAGTCCTCTCTGATTACTGAAAAAGCATACACTAAACATACCTTATAAAAGACTGTCTTTATCAAACCCCAGTTAACAGTAAGGTAGGCTACTCATACTGTTAACAATATTATGTTACATGATACTATGCTGTCAGTATTGCAGCAGCAACATATAATATGGCACAGGGAAGGCTGACCACAAGATGTAAGCCATATCTGGAACAGACCAGCACTAGACTTTTTTTTCAGATGGCAAATCCCCTGCCATTTTTCTCTGGCCCACTTGCCGCATGGATTAACAGCACTTGGGTGGTCCACTCATGGTTGCCAGATGTAGGCCACATACACACTAGAGCAATTCCATTGCAATTTCAGCCTAAAATTAAATGCACAACTAGGCCTAATCTGGACTGCACATGTGGTCTGGATTTGTAAACGGTCCACACTGCAAGTGTCCCAGAGTTGGCTGTTATGTGGTTAATGATGCTGGAGCTGAAAAATAGTCCAAGACAATTTACCACCAGTCCAAAACCTCCCATCATGACTGTCAAACACATGTAAAAGTGGAATCATACATTTCTTCAAAATGTATTCAGCAATAGTGATCACTTTAAATTCAAGTATTTTTCCTTAATTTTCAACATATTCTAACAACAATCAAAAAAATATAGGACATTTTTTTTTTTTATCATTTTTTTTATCATTTTACTATCACTTATACTTTTTATTAAAAGCAAGTGGAAGATCTCAACAAACAAACAAACCATCAGCATGACTGTGTCTGATATACTTGCTTCAACATTACACACACCACCATGTCAGTGTCACTGCTGAGAACAGACCACCATCCAAATAATAAAAAAAGTGTTGCACTAGAACAGACATGAAAACATTTCCGCTATAATGCCAACATAATCTCTGAGCAGTGCCAAATAAAACAATAATAAAACATTAATGAAGTCCTCTGAAAAGGTCAAGTGTACCAACCAAATTCTTTTTGATGAGTTTGTTACGGTTTTCATTCAGGTATGTGCAAAGGGCTCTCTTGTGGATTCATTGTGGTCATCCTGGAGGAAACAGAAATACAGCATTAAAATAAGATAATCCCAACACAAATGTTACATGTTACTGTTCACATAAGGTTTGCTTGCTTTACTGATCAGAGCTCTTATGGCGCTTTACTTAGGTTCGCATCCACATTTGCCTTTGGACCTTCATACCAACCAATTATGTAAATTTGTGTTTAGTTGTTATGTGACATGATGTGACCATTTAACAGAATATTCAAGGTTGTGTGTTGTCAAGAATAACACCACGGCTGTGATTTGGTCACAATAGATTATCACAGCCATGGTAACGCATGACCTTGACTGTTCTATTGCTTTCACAATACAAAATAAAGAAACAAAAATCAGAGAAGCCAAAAAAAACAAATACTGGCAACACCTTCTGCCACAAAGCAGCTCCACAACAAATGAGTTGAAACAGTAATAGTTCCCGAGCCTGCTGAGCCCTGTGCGCAGCACAGGATAACTGCTGACACTGTAAGGCTCACATTTTGTGGTACAAATAGAGCAGCAACATGCAGCTCTAATTCTGCACAGCAAAATTAGATTTTTTAGTAAAAATAAAACGATCCTCCTTTGCAGTAAAAAAGCTCGGCTGGTCATTCTATTTTAACAATAACTCCAACTTTTAAGACCATTTAATGTATAACTGCTAATTCACCATTTAACCATGAGACTTGTCACACAGCAACACAGACAACAATCTTGCCTGGCTAGTAGCTAAGGAAAAGGCAAAAAGAAAGATTTAAGACAAATGTTGATAATTTGGAGACAAATGGACTTCTCATTTATAATCACTCCAGCTGGTTTCCTGATATGTTTAATCTGCAGTGAGAAACTGTCAAACACTAAAAAGTCATGAAGCTGAAGTCAGGTTCTCATTCCAGTTCTCCTGCTCCACCTTAAATGGTGCTGCAGTTACATTCTGGCGCTTCAGGCACCATTTAAGGTGGAACGGGAGAATTGGAATGAGGATCTGATTTCAGCCTTGTAAAAAGTCGAATACTGGGAGACATTTTACAAAATACTACTCCACTTTTGTGAAAGAGTTTTCTGCTGGAGATGCAAGAAAAACAGTTATATCTGAGCTAAAGCTTAAAGTAGAGCAATGGAAGTCTGCATTTTCATCCATTTAATATTATTTTACCCTATTCTAGGACATTAGCAGATACTGAGACATATTTACAGCCAAGATGGTAAAACCTTACTTCAATAAAAGGGGCAGGTCATATGTTGTCTAAAAGTCAATCATTTTGTTAATTTTTCATTTTGTGTGAGCACAAGTACAAAACAATGAAAGTTTGTGTGCATAAAAGCTTGCGCTTGTCGTTACTTGACAACGCACCAGTGGAGTGATACAATTTTGGTGTAAAAAAGCCATACTGTCATCACAAATATAACCACAGTTAGAATGCTTCTCAACCAATCAGATTGTAAGGCTGGGACTAACTGTTGTAAGACACAATAAAGAATATGCATCAAAACGGCAATAAAACTTACTACTTCCTTCTGATAGGTGTGTTCACTGTGTTGTCATCAAATTCTTGGCCAGTGCTGGACAGCTGCTGTTTTATTTGAATCCTGTAGTGTTGATCATGTACATAGAGGTTTGTTAATGCAATAATATCTCCATTTTTGTTTTTTAAGCATTTTGCATTGTAGTACAGCAATATTCAAGACTTACAGTAAAGTGAGCTAGTGAGATCCACTAAGACTGCAAATGTTGTGGGAGAAAACACCTCAGATTAATAACCACACCACTAAAACGAAGACACTTTCTTGGAGTCAAAGTAGCTTATGTCCTAAACCTGATCTAATGCGTTAACCATGAGCGAATGTGTTAACCCCAGGGTACCGCGCTAAGTACGAGCTGAAGTACTAGCATGCTAACCATGAACTTACATGCTAGCTAAAGTACACAAAAATCATTAAAATAACAAGTTCACTAAGATAATTAACGTAACATTAAGGTTATATATTTACAGCAAGGAAATTACTTCAGAGCGTAGTGATGTCATCACTTTCTGTTCACACATGCGCACAAGACAAAAAAAGCAGAGCTGTTGACGCCTGTATTAAATTACTTTAATCTGACTAATTTTCACTTAGGGACTAATGTAAGTCTGTCTTAAATAATACCTTTTAAATCAAAAAGCTCTTATATTTTTAGTTAGTTGAACACAAAGTAGGTAATTAAACTTAACAATGTCCCAGTTTTATTTTTTGAAGATAGGTGCTCCCAACTGGCTCTGTCAGTAAAGAAGAACTTTGACATTTGAACGCATCTTAACTTTGATGATAATGATAAAGAATGAACACGATAGTGTTAAACAGAACTATATGTTTACTTTTTAAAAATGCCTACTGGCAAACAGCATTTGAGCCAAAGGTGGTCCACATATAAAAATGCCAATATGCCCTGCACATTACAAAACAGTTCTGGGCCTCATAATGTAAGTGATTACATCCAGTATGCACCTGCAATGTCTTTGCAGTTTTGGCTCACATGCTGTTTGCCAGTAGTCAGTAGTGCCATATCTGTGCCAGAAGTGCACCAGATCTGTTTTGAGACATGTGGGCCAAATTCTCGTTTTCAATATGTGGGCCACCTTTGGCTCACATGCAGGTTGCCAGTGCCGACACACACACGCACACAGTCCTGTGAACCATGGTGCATTGAACTCTATTGGGCTGTAGGTGAATGGGGAGCATGTTTGTTCATAAAAGCTGTGATGGTGATCCAGTTTCATGTGTTCAGACACAGGCAGGATCAGACAGGCAGGATGGTGCAGGTGGACCTGCTGTGGATCACTGCTGCTCTTCTGTCTTCACCACTGCTCACACTATGCGACCCACTGTAAGTATATCACATTTATTTTTATTGTTATAAATCACAACAGTGGCTTATTATTCTGGGTTGTACCTTCTGTGTGTGTGTGTGTGTGTGTGTGTGTGTGTGTGTGTGTGTGTGTGTGTGTGTGTATGATAGTAAACACAAAAACTGAACAATACATAGACAAACTATGTCAGTATTGCTTTTTAACAGTAGCCCAATGGGCCCACCTGAAATGGTGCTAAATATTGTTTCGCGTCTGAATTTCAACAAGGCTGAAGTTAGCTTTTTATATGCCAGCTTCTTGTTTGTATTTTCCACTCCACCTTAAATGGTGCCTGTACCTGCACAGGTGCCTAAAAGTAACTGCTGCACCATTTAAGGTGGAACAGGAAATTCAAATAAGAAACCAGCATTCAGCTTAATCAAAGTCATTTGTCTTAAATGTGCATTTTGTGCAAAATATGGTGAGGATACTGAACCGTGGACCCAGTATCGTGAACCAAATCGAATTGAAATTTTAAGTTGAAAGTCCAGTGGAGTTAACTGAAGGGCAATAATAACACCAACAGTGGAGTGGTGAAAGGTATAAACTCCTAATAATAAAAAAAGTCATTCCAATGATTAGATCTAACCAGCAATGACAGTGGAGGACTTAAACAAACAAGGCATGGTGTTAGCATAGCATGCTAACAGCTACATAAAACACACTGAGAAGTTATACAAATGGTTTAAAGGCAGTAAAAAAAAGACAGTACTTACACCAGCATAAGAAACAAAGGTTTCCTGGTAAAGGAGACAGTTGTAGCGGAACAATAAATTTTAATCATGTTGTCATTATTGTTTGAATTTACAGACAACAGGTATGAGAGGTAACATGCCACCATGGATGCTTCAAACAAAAGGGAATTTAATGACTAAATGCCAAACAACATTGAAATTACTTTGGATTTAGGAGATAAAAGAAAACATAAAGCTCAGAGAACTTTATGACTAAAATGGTATAAGGCAATATGCTTAAGGCACTTTCTGGGAAGGTACCATGAAACTTAGGAGTGAAAGGGACCTCCAGCCTATATGCTATATGGACATATACATCTATCCTATTAAATAAAATAGCATCTGAAACCTGAGCGCATAAAAGATGAACACAATCCTACATTTGAGTTGAGAAGTCAGACTTCAAACCCTCATTGAGGGGTCGTCTCGGAGCTGGGCTGGATCTGAAGAAGTTTGCGCAAGAAGAATGAAGAACTTTGAAGAACTTTGACCGTCTTAGGTGTTTACTGATTTATTTTATATATGCCAATTTACTCTGACTGAATTGAATTGTGCCTTATTAAGGAGCTATTGTTGGCCAAAGCTATGCTGTACATATGCTCAGCTTGTACAGGTCACTCCAGCCATCAGCACTGGACCGATCACCGTTCTTCCACAATTATGCATAAACACAGCTAGCTGACTAGCTCTCCTCTCTGCAGTCGTCCCCTTTATCCAATTTCATCTACATCATCAATGCTAGTTGAGGTCTGCCCATGAAAAGCAGTGATGCCCTCAACCTGACAGTGCACTCTGCTCTGGAGAGAGAAGTCTGTTATGAATGCTGTACTGCAGCCAATGTTAACTATATTTTTTGACTAGGGCAGCATTCTTACTTGCTGACTTAACCCCCAGTGGATACGCCTGGATTCGGTAACTCACTTGATTCCTCCACAGCTCTGACTGCGGGGCTGGTGACATCTGTGCACCATGCAGGATGCAGAAATTGTAGCAATTGGAGACACTGCCATGATGAGCTGGTCTCACGCTAACTCCCTCTGCACAGAAGGTGCCATGAGCATAAGCTCATCAACCTAACATTTCAATATCATTAGCTAAGACTCTCAATGTTTCCCCTCAATGTCTTCTGCAATTACACTCCTCAGATTGGGGGAGCCCAGGCTGTTCATACCACTCGAAATGCCTGTAGAGTGCCCCAACTAGTGCACTGTAATGAGACCTCTCATGAGGGCCAAGCAACAGCAGACAAGCTACTGCATCATAGGTTAAACAAAGCATCAGCTGCAGGGCTTTCTGTTTATCAGACCTCTCAAACAATTTGGCTATCAGTTCAAATTCTGCACGGAAAGCTTCCCAATCTGTCTACCTGGAGTATTTGTGGGTCTTAATGCTTATCACTAAAAGCCGTTCATGTGCATTTGTTTTTACTATTGCACTCAACTTTTCTACTGACGTCATGTGCCCTGGCAGTTCGCCTCCAAGCTAGCCTGCGCTTCCTGGCTTGGCTCTTCCTTCAACACCACAGCTTTCTCACAGTTCTCCCTTGCAATACAGCTCACCAACCCGGCGAGTGTGGTACTTGTAAAGATGCCAACTTGTCATCATCCTCCTTTATTTTTATACAAACAGAGTGCTCTATCCTCACTCTGAACTCTGTAGCTTAGCTTAGCTGCTGGTGACTGAATATTCTGAAGCTTTACTATTCAGGCAAAATGTTTACTATTTAACACCAATCATACTTTTCACTGCTACTGTATATGTTGATTATTTAAATTGACTTAAAAAAAAAAAATAGGCTGTTGAGAGACCATGAAGTCCTACCGTGTACATCAACACCTGCTTTTAGTTTCAATGCACAGTGTGGTTAGCAAAGCTGTTGTAACTCAGTTTCACAGTGTCATTTTGAATGTAACAGTTTTATTGATAATTGTCCATAGACAGAGCTGTCCATAGGTACTGCATTTCCTGTAGCATGTCATTTGGATCTAGTGTTTTTGTACAGTGTGAGCTTATAAATTGAAGGCTTTGTCCACATACAATGGTCTTTTCAAAAGTATTTTCAATAAAACCTTCCTAAAGAACAATAATTCTATTTCTCACAGTTTATGTCTGACTTTAGAAGACATTCAACTACAGCTCAAATCAGCCAAACAAAAGCCTCCAGTGAGACGTAAAACTCAAAATGTGAGCTCCTTGGATGTAATTCCTACTGTCACTGTGCTACAGAGACTGTTGTTAATATAATCAGATGAGGATCAAAACTATGAAGCAGACTTTACTTACATCTGTACAGAAGTGCTTTTCTGATATGGAACAAAACCTGCTCCTTTCCCCAGAAATGCTACTTGATCCAATGTAATTAATGAAGCATAGCTAGATAATGCATGTGATTTAAAATGAGTCAGATTTGAATAATTTAACAGTTAAGTTACATTTATACAAACAACCAACTAAACATGCTGCTATTGTGTTTAATTAATGTTATACAGTGGGGCAAAAAAGTATTTAGTCAGCCACTGATTGTGCAAGTTCTCCTACTTAGAAAGATGAGAGAGGTCTGTAATTTTCATCATAGGTACACTTCAACTATGAGAGACAAAATGAGGAAAAAAATCCAGGAAATCACTTTGTAGGATTTTTAAAGAATTTATTTGTAAATTATGGTGGAAAATAAGTATTTGGTCAATGACAAAAGTTCAACTCAGTAGTTTTTTAATATAACCTTTGTTGGCAATGACAGAGGTCAAACGTTTCCTGTAAGTCTTCACCAGGTTTGCACACACTGTAGCTGGTATTTTGGCCCATTCCTCCATGCAGATCTCCTCTAGAGCAGTGATGTTTTGGGGCTGTCGCTGGGCAACACGGACTTTCAACTCCCTCCGCAAATTTTCTATGGGGTTGAGGTCTGGAGACTGGCTAGGCCACTCCAGGACCTTGAAATGCTTTTTACGGAGCCACTCCTTCGTTGCCCGAGCAGTGTGTTTGGGATCATTGTCATGCTGGAAGACCCAGCCACGTTCCATCTTCAATGCTCTCACTGATGGAAAGAGGTTTTGGCTTAAAATCTCATGATACATGGCCCGTTCATTCTTCCCTTAACACGGATCAGTCGTCCTGTCCCCTTTGCAGAAAAAACAGCCCCAAAGCATGATGTTTCCACCCCCATGCTTCACAGTAGGTATGGTGTTTTTGGGATGCAACTCAGCATTTTTCTTCCTCCAAACACGACGAGTTGAGTTTTTACCAAAATGTTCTATTTTGGTTTCATCTGACCACATGATATTCTCCCAATCCTCTTCTGGATCATCCATATGCTCTCTGGAAAACTTCAGACAGGCCTGGACATGTACTGGTTTAAGCAGTGGGACACGCCTGGCACTGCAGGATTTGAGTCCCTCTCGGCGTAGTGTGTTAGTGATGGTAGCCTTTGTTACTTTGGTCCCAGCTCTCTGCAGGTCATTCATCAGGTCCCTCCGTGTAGATCTGGGATTTTTGCTCACCGTTCTCATGATCATTTTGAACCCACAGGATGAGATTTTGCGTGGGGCCCCAGATCGAGGGAGATTATCAATGGTCTTGTATGTCTTCCATTTTCTTACAATTGCTCCCACAGTTGATTTATTCACACCAACCTGCTTGCCTATTGTAGATTCACTCTTCCCAGCCTGGTGCAGGTCTACAATTTTCTTCCTGGTGTCCTTCGACAGCTCTTTGGTCTTGGCCATGGTTGAGTTTGGAGTCTGACTGTTTGAGGCTGTGGACAGGTGTCTTTTATACAGATAACGAGATCAAACAGGTGCCATTAATACAGGTAATGAGTGGAGGACAGAAGAGCTTCTTAAAGAAGAAGTTACAGGTCTGTGAGAACCAGAAATCTTGCTTGTTTGTGGGTGACCAAATACTTATTTTCCACCATAATTTACAAATAAATTCTTTAAAAATCCTACAAAGTGATTTCCTGGATTGTTTTTTTTCCTCATTTTGTCTCTCATAGTTGAAGTGTACCTATGATGAAAATTACAGACCTCTCTCATCTTTCTAAGTAGGAGAACTTGCACAATCAGTGCTGACTAAATACTTTTTTGCCCCACTGTAGTTCTTATTGTTACCATTATAGATTAACTTTTTTATGTTGATATTTACCACTGAATAATAGAAAATGCCATAATATAAATATGAGCTTATATCACCCACTCCTAGTCTTTAGGCTTCTTAATGGCTTGTTCATGATTCCTCTGACTATATCCATCCATCATGTTGCTGGTTGTCCTCTTCCTCTTTTACTTTCAACTGCAGAGTTAAAGAATGTTGTCTTTTCCAATTAACTCATCCTTCTCGTAATAAGAGTGTAATTTGGGTTATCTGGCCTTCGAGTGAGAGGTGAGCCTTGATTTGTTTGAGGATCCATTTTCATATTTCTTGACTGCTGGATCCTTTGCTGATCCAAGCAGACTGTCCAAAATCTGTCCACCACTTCTATATCTTCACCATCAATGGTATAGTTCACAGTCTTTCCCATGAACATACCTCAGGGTTAAAGGAAAAAGTATGTTATATTTAAGTTTTTTGAAGTCAAGTTCAAGTTCAGCTTTTAATTGCTAATGGAAAGGTTACATCCTGATACTTTCCATTACTGTTTACTAGGATAAATAATTCTGACATCCAGTGAACTGGTTTAAATGAAACAACACATACCGCTGCAAGCAATCAAACCAAAGTGGCTTAATGTGTCTTAAAAATAATAAAGGGCCCATATCAAGGAACTTGATGCAGTATGTAGACTTCATTAGTTTCCAAATGTACTGTTCATGCCCAACTCCATACAATCCATATATGAAAACTAAACTAGATCAAAAACAGATCATTTTGAATTGAAAGTTTTATGTGATGTCACAGCAATCAACAACTACACCAGATTAAACATAGCCATTCATGCTGAAGTTCTGAGAAGTCTCTCAACCCAGGCTGGTTTCTGAATTAGGCATCATACAGGGCAGCCAGCTGAAACACAGGTCATTAACATACTGCAGTCTTAAAGGCACAGAAACAAACACAGCTGAATTTTAAGAGCTAGAGGTTGGAAAATGATGATGTAAAAATAAATTGTGACTGCTTCTGGTGCATAAACCCATACAAATAGCATAAAATGAGCTCAGGAAAATGAAACAAAATATGATTAAGGCCTTTTAAACATAAAAATATAAAACATTTTTATTTTAAATATAAATGCCAGATCTCATTTCCTTCTACTTCTGTTTTAGGTTTGTTGTGTCAGCTCCCCAGATACTGAGGGTGGGCACAACAGAGAAGGTGTTTGTGGAGGCATTGAATTACAAAGAGGAAAAGCCCATAAATGTTATTATCAGAGTGATGAACTTTCCCAGCAATGACAAAGATCTCTTCTCAACAACTGTGACGCTAAAGCCTGAGGAAAAATTTCAAGCTTTTGCTAATGTAACGGTGAGTGTTTTATTTCAGTAACATTGATGGATGAGATGCAACAGCTTCAGAGAAGTAGTTTATTAACTCATAAACTAGGGCATTTAGTACTGTAAGTTATCATCATCTTACCATTTGGTCCTGTCATATTATAGACTGCTCATTAAAATCTTGATGCATTTCTTTATGAGTATCAATTACAAGATGGTGACACAGCACTTTTTCTTTGCAGATCAACAATATCAACAATATTTTTCACACAGACTTACAAAAAAAACAGTATGTTTATCTGACAGCAAACTTCGAAGGACACTATTCCATGGAGAAAATTGTCATGGTCACCTTCCAGTCGGGTTATATATTCATACAGACAGACAAGACAATATATACCCCTGATAGTACAGGTGAGACAATGTTACTTTCAATTATCCTACAGGTACTAAAATCATGATAAACATTAGGTGGTCCTATTCTCAATCTCTCTACTAAGATATCCTTGAGGTTTGAAAATTGTTAAAGCAGCACAGAATTGTCCATAATGCCGTGGATTTTCTCCGCAGTACGATACAGAGTTTTCCCCTTGAACTTAGAAGCAAAGTCTAGAGTGAGTCCTTTTGTGGTGGAAATTGTGGTAAGTGTTTATAAAAGTTGAAAATGCATTTTTTCATAAGGCTAAAGATATATCGATCTGCTGACATGTTTCACAGTGCTGTTGGTCATGAAGAATTTCTTTATACTGTAATCCCATATTTTGTTTTAACTCAAATACATTAGGTCTGTTGTACATAAAACTGAATATGACTCAATACTAGTCAACTATTTTTAAGTAAGTGAACTTTTTTGATGCTTTCTACACTCAAATGGCATTTTTGAATGAGTAGTTTAGCCTGTTGCCATTGGCAACTTTAAAACGACCACATTCAGAAAATGAAAGTGCACTGATGTTGGTTTCAAGCATTTCACTCTCATTAATTTTATCAACAAATGTGTATAACTTAGTAAGACTAAGTAAGCTGCCTTCCCTTAGGCATATATTTTTCATTTATATGTTGCTTAGCCTCTTGGCCTCATGTTGTTGGTTAAAATGCTGAGTTAACATTCCCCCTGTTGGCAGAATACTACAGTGACCACATGTGCACTAAGTGGTTAAACATTCAGTGTTTGGCAAAATGTTTGACACTGAAAAAGTTAAATCAACTTAGTAAAAATTTATGAGTTGCAGTAACATGCATTTATGTTAATGTAACAGAAAAAAAAATAAGTTATTCTAACATGCAGTGCTATTATGTTAAGTACATTGAACTTAAACTTGCTTGGTTTGTCACCAATGCTTATTTTTTTTTAGGACAGCAGGTTATCTCAAGTTATTTAAGTTTGATATCTTTGCAACATGTAGAAAAATGAATAAGGGTAAAAAAAAAAAAATGTTTTATGAGTAGATGTGTGTACGAGTGGTAGCGTGTATGAAGTAGAATTAAAACAATGATTCAATAAGCTAATATTTACTGTCTTTGGTATGATTTCTAGACACCAGAAGGGATCATCATTCAAAGACACCCACTTTATACAATTAGTACTTTTTTCAAGAGCATGGAGTTTAAACTGGGGAGTCCCATCAGGTTGGTTTTGTTGCACAGCTAATTCAGAGCCTTGAAAATGAGTGTTTGCTTATTAATTTACTCCACCCTGTGTGTCAGTCTATATGATTGTGTAGGTGCATATAGCAGTAAATATTGAAGACAGTGCTTTACAGTGATGATTCTCTGAACAATTCAGTTGATAATAATTTGGTCTTCTTCCACATTATATGAACACAAGAGAGTTAAAAAAAAACACAAGATACTTTGTGTTCCTGGAAACAGTGATGTAATGTTTACGAACCTAATTCAAAATCAGTGGTTCAGCAGCTTATGTTTGAGGTGCATCTCATGAACTGCAACTTTTTTGTCTCAATGAGAGAATGTGCTGCCCCATGCCTGATCACAGAGTATTGCTACATAGGTTGTTTCATGGGGTTAGCTATGTGCCTGTTTCAAACTGTAGATTCTGATTGCAAAATTAAATTGTTAAATTGAACTCAAGCTATGACATTAAAGTCCAAGAAGCCCAGATTTCAGTATTCATGTGCAATGGGGTTTGCCCAGAAGTGGAATTAAACCCTCCAGCTATCGGATACCAAAGCGTTACTGGTTAAATTACCGGCTGTGAACAGAGAGGAATCTCAATTGCTGAGCACAAGGGCAGTTTGTTGTTTAGAACAAGATGAATGGTGTAACTAAACAAAGTCTAGAAGTGCTGGCCCAGGTGCCACAGAGATCCCTTAACTAAAACTACTCAAAGCTTTTTACTCTTATTTTTATGGGTGCTGGGACTCTAGAAAGGGGCTAGACACTCCTATAGCCTATAGTCAGTGACCAGTATGCAGCCAACTGAGCTACAACACCACTGATACTACACTAAAAGTGGGGCTAGCCAAACATTTACACTGCATGTGTCGTTGTCACAGCAAGGCTTAGAGAAACCAGAAGAAAACTCTGAGACTTGTGGGCAATAACCCAAATTCCTGCTTGATCAGAATGTATGTGCACATGTCATGCAAAATCATGACTGAGCACATTAGAAATGACCAGCCACTTTTAAGTAGAGCCAAACACAGGTGTGACCAGTTGTCTCTGATTACCTAGAGGTGGCTCTCTGCCCCCATCTAGTGGTGGCATTGGATCTGACCACTGGGTGACAGGACAGAGGAGGACTTCTTGAAGACCCCAGTTTGTTGCAAGTATAAAGAGTAAATAGTTCTCCAGACATGACTAATAAGCTTCTGGTCCTTCACAAGCTGCCGAAACAACACAGACTCTACAAGACCTCTTAAGGTGCTCTGTGATATCTGGCATCAAAATGTTTAAGTGCTATAAGTTGCGAGGTGGAGCTGGCATGGATCAGACTTATTGTTCCAGCATATCCTACAGATCCTCAATTGGGTTGAGACCGTGGGCATTTGGAGGCTAAGATGTTCCACAAACCATTTCTGAACAATGTGTGCAGTGTGGCAGGTTGCAATATCCTGCTGAAAGAGGCTGATGCCATCTGCAAATATCAGTGCCACGTATCTGTCAGTGCCAGTTACTCACGTCCCTGAAAACAACCATGGTAAAAACAGAAGCAACAATAGGTAATCCTTGGGTGTCGCTTCGTTAAGAGCAAACAAGAAGAGTAAAGTAAAAGGAGCTAAATAAAACGAGTGAAAAGAAAATCTCCTAGGTACGTATTTATCAGTGTTCTCAAGTCACTACTTTAAATGGTTACATCAGTACCTTATCAAAATGTTATACCACACATTCCTAGCATCTAACAAAAAAGAACACATATTTTAAGTCATAGCGTACAAAAAACACAAGCATTATCACTTGGAGATTATATGAAGTTGATTGTCATGCATGGCTGTGAATGAGTTTTCCTGGGGTGCTTTGTGAGAAAGTCCTTATGGTAGCAGTGTGGTAATTCTCATTTTTACCACTTAGGGTGCTATGGGTCCATGCCTGAAACCCTCATAGAATTTAGAAAGCTTGAATTTCGGTCCAGATTGACTTATCAGTCTCGTTTTTTGGTATGTCTCATTCCATTGAAACGAGCCTCGGAGAATCGTTGCAGTCTGGATTGGGTATGTACCTTAAAAATTTGCTTTCTGTTACTTACAAAAAAAAGTTATCCATAGAATTTTGGAGGGCAATGTGGCTGAATTCCAGGCGAGGTATTATATTGCCCCCTGGGTCAGGAGAAGTGTTCTGGTCCTTTATTCAGCCGTAAATTTGGCTTAGTTCAGGGTTTATGAGTGTTCCTATAGCAGATTTATGCTCCTAACTCCAGACTCTCAGATGCCAAAAACTCTTAACTCTTGGGATGGTGATAAGCTAAGTAAACACTCAGCTTAAAGCAGAGTTCCAGGTACTGTTCACTACACGTGTCAATTTAACATTCACATGTACAACTTCTAATCCAGTGTTCCCCAGGAAAACATTGCCCAGAGCATCATACTCCCTTCACCTGCCTCTTCTTACAGTGTATCCTGTTGCCATCACTTCCCCAGGTGCACATGCACAAGACTGCACATGTGACCCCCAGGAAGTGACATATTACAGTTTTCAAGTGCTGGATAACTTTTACATAGCGAATAAAAAGGACTTGTAACTGAAAAGCAACTGCTGTAAACATCAGTCAGTAGTACTCAGTCATAACTATTTGTAATGAAACTGCAGCAGATTTTTGCATTTGTGGTGTTTCAGATGTACAGCAGTAGTATGTAGACATGATGGTTTTAAATGCAGGATGTAATCAGAACATGAATTGGTTAAATCTGTCGTCTGACACTGAAGAGGATCTCCCTATAACAAAATATTTTTAATAAAGCATTATCATCAGTTCATTACCTTTAATACCTTTTAATAGCAGAATTGTCCAATGAATGTATTAGATGTAATACTACATGTGATTGATCTTGTGTTTGAAGCACTGGAATCTGGAAAATAGTTGGAAGCTTCACGGACAATCCTAACAAGAATTTCACAACAGAGTTTGAAGTCAAAGAATATGGTAAGATTACTGTTTTTTACATTAGATTCAAAATCTTAAATCAATAAATTAATAGATGAAGACAGATAGATCTGTTCATCTACTGATTTATTTAAATATTAAAGATAAAATAATATATTACCAATATATTACATTCAGTATTGCATTACTGAAAGTTAACTCCCCTTCCCAGTGCTGCCTAGTTTTGAAGTAAATCTGATGCCTGAGAGACCCTTCTTCTACACTGAGGATGAAACATTCCCAGTTACAATTAATGCCAAGTAAGAGTTCATACACATGTTTTATTATGTTTTACTATTGCATTATTAACTTTAACCCTTGGACTGTATTAGAGATAAGTTCAGTTTATTCACCTGCATCCAGAATCAGATGGCTCCATTATATATACATGGAAACCTTTCACCATTTGGTAATTTTTTACTCAGATTTGGTTTGTTTACTCAGATTTTTACCAGGTGTTGAACAGAGGGTGCAAATAGATTTTGTGTAAATTATTGTTATTAGTTACTAAGGCAAATACAACCCTGTTTTTCCATGAAATTAATGCTGTTATTCATACAACACATTAATTTCTTTGACCTTTCATCACCACTAAGATGCCATCAACAAATTACTATTCATTCATAAAGTCGCAAACAGCAATCACTGGCAAAGCAGGGCATGCTGATATGGAGCAATATGGTGACTCTTGAGCCAGAATATGCCTTTATGCAGGTGAACCACTGATCTGATAGCCAGTGTGGGGGCAATATCAGCTGAAAATGATGAAATGGAAGTCAGGGGGGAAAAGGAGCGAATGTGATCTGAGACTGCATTTACATTTTACATTTACAGCATTTAGCAGATGCTCTTATCCAGAGCGACTTACAAAAAGTGCTTACTCTATGTAGAGAAAGTATCTTTGCTAGTTACAAATAAGTTAAAGAGAAAGCTGGTCTTGAGCTCAGATACTGTTAGAAACAAAAGCTAATGTTGATACCTAGAGAAAAGAAACAGAGTTAAACACAGCACAGTGCAATACAATACATTTCAATCAGTTCATTACAATACATTACAATGAATGTTTCACTCAGTGCTCCTTTAAGTGCTGTATAAAGAGATGAGTCTTCAGTCTGCATTTGAAGACAGCGAGAGACTCTGCTGTTCGGACAGCCAGTGGAAGTTCATTCCACCACCTGAGTGACAGGACAGAGAAAAGTCTTGATGCTTGTCTTCCATGCATCTTGATGGCGGGTCAAGCTGAGCTGTATTTGGAGCTTTAAGGGCTCGAGGTACAGTTTGTGTTTTGACCATTTACATCAGGCAGGGAGGGGCTGGTCCATTTTGGCTTTGTAGACATCAGGTTTTGAATCTGATATGTGCAGCTTCAGGAAGCCAGTGGAGTGACGTGACTGAATTTAGGAAGATTGGAGATGAGCCGTGATGCTGTATTCTGGATGTGTTGGAGGTGCTTGATGACTTACATAGGAAGACCAGCCAAGAACGAGCACCTGGGTGGCCTCTCGAGTGAGAAAGGGTCAGATCCTCCGGATATTGTACAGCAGACCGAGTTAGGTTTGCGATATGAGCCGAGAACGATAACTGGCCATCCAGAATCACACCAAGACTTCTTGCCTCTTCAGATGGAACAATCAGAGAGTTCTCAAATGAGGACAAGATCATGATGAGGACCTGTAGTTGCAGGGATGAATAGCAGCTCAGTCTTACATGCGAAAGCAGTGTTGCATGCTTTTTGCCAGAGATTATGATTTTTACTGTTAATATAAAATACTTCAGTTGACTCCAGAAAATTCAGAGTTATTGAATTACTTCAATTATAATTCAAAAATCGTCCTCTAGAACAGTGTGAATGGGGAGAGAACATTCTAGAACTTTGTGAGTGGGGAGAGAATACTCTAGACCAGTGAGAAATGGGGAAAAAGAACTCTAGAACGGTATGAATGGGTAGAGAATAGTCTAGATCAGCATTAAATGGAGAGAAAGAACTCTAGAACAGAGTGAAAGGGGAGAGAATACTCTAGACCAGTCATAAATGAAGAGAAAACATTCTACAATAGTGTGAATTGGGAGAGAATATTCTAGACCAGATGTTAATGGGGAGAAAACACTGTAGAATGGTCAGAATTGGGAGAGAATACTCTAGACCAGTGTTGATGGAAAACATTCACGCAGGGCAGTCACCGGAAGATTGCTGGTTCGATCCCCAGAGACAGTATGTGACTGAGGTGTCCTTGAGCAAGACACCTAACCCCCAATTGCTCCCCGGGTAGGGTTGCCCACCGCTCCGGGCAAGTATGCTCACTGCCCCCTAGTGCGTGTGTGCTCACTAGTGTGTATGTGTTGTTTCACTTCTCAGATGGGTTAAATGTGGAGGTGAAATTCCCTGTTGTGGGAGTAATAAGGGTCACTTAATCTAATCTTAATCTAATCTAGAATAGGGTAAATGGGGAGAGAATACTCTAGAACAGTGGAAACGGGGAAAACATGTTCTAGAATAGTGTGAATAGGGAGAGAATACTCTAGAACAGTGTTAAATGGGAAGAAAACACTCTAGAACAGTGGTAAAGAGGAGAAAACATTTTAGAAGGTTGCGAATGTGGATATAATATTCTAGACCAGTCGTCAATGGGGAGAAAACATTGTAGAACAGAGACAATTTGGAGAGAACACTCTAGATCAGTGTTGATGGGGAGAAAACATTCTAGAACAGGGTAAATGGGGAAAGAATACTATAAAACAGTGGAAATGGGAAGAAAACATTCTAGACCAGTGTTAATGGGGAGAGAATACTCTAAACCACTTTTAAATGGGGAGATAACATTCTAGAACAGACTGAATGGGGAGAGAATACTCTAGACCAGCATTAAATGGGAAGAAAACATTCTAGACCAGTGTTAATGGGGAGAGAACTTTCTAGTCCAATGTGGATGGGGACAAAACATTTTAGATCAGCGTGAATTGGTGAAAACATTCTTGATTCTCCCAAACAAATAAAACATACCAACAAAAGGTTTGTTTCTGTTTAAATCACAGGTTTTGTTGATTTTCTTTTGTGAAAGTAATTAACTCATCCTCTGAAGAGAACACACTTCTACATAATTTAATGCACATTTACTGTTTATTTTCTGAATTTAACACCTTAGGAAAAAGCATAAATGTAACATGCTAAACTTATAGCTGTGCAAAAGTTTTATTTTTTATATTTTATATTTATTTTATTTTTACAATACGTTAAATTCAGCAACTTATTTTCACCTAGAAAATCAACAAAGCATGCAGTTTGACAAAGGGAATTCAAACTGTAATTACCTCAATCATTTACTGTTTTATGCTGCCGACATGTTTATCATTTTGACCATTTATTCATTATCTAACTATTTTTTAGGTATTTGTTTGGTGAAGCGGTTCAAGGCACTGCTTTTGTAGTATTTGGCATCTTCAGTGAAGGAAAAAAGACAAGCCTTCGGAGTTCCCTTGCCAGAGTTAACGTAAGGCTGTAGACACATACACAAACATATGCATTAGAGGTCCAGAGTGATTATTGTAGTTTTGCTATCATTTATGTGATATGTAATTATATAATTAGTTACATAATTAGGGGATGACTTTTCCATTTTATTTGCATCGTCTATTAATGGGTTTGAGTTGCAATTCTTCCATCTGTTTAAAAGAACATGCAAAGGTGGACTTTTTGCTAAATAATACATTTTCATCAAATTATATTGTAAAATAGCCATGTTCTACTTACATAGACAAACATGGTTTGGATTGAGCGTTTAGAATTCCAAGCATGTTTCTTAACTACAACTTCTAAAGGTCAAAATGTAACTGAGAAATAATCATCTCTACATTAAAGTACACACAAGCTTAAAATGTTGTTCTTCTGCTCTGAACTCTGTAGATTGTTAATGGACAAGGAAAAGCAGTGCTTAAAAAAGACCACATCCGTCAAACCTTCCCAAATATTGATGAACTTGTTAGGAAAACACTGTACATATCTGTCAGCGTGCTCACTGAAAGTGGTAAGTAGTGTGCGCCCTAATCTCTTAATTTGTGTATTGGTTTGCATGTTCTCAGGCTTAAAGTATATTAAGCTTATAAAATATTTAGGTTTAGAGCAGCAGTTCCCAAATTCAGGTATGTCAAATGATGCTGGGTGTATGAAAATTCTTTCATTTACACTCCATTAACTGGCCACGCAATTACACAGGTATTTCTCCCCAGTATGGATGGTACAAACAGCTGTGCCAGCACTGCACTCCACTCACCAACTCCTGAACAAGGGAGCATCACTGAAACTGTTACATTTAATCAACAATGCCAGATTTGTGGATAGCACTGCATGCTGGTATATATCGCTCTTGTCGGAAGAAAACCTTGTATCTCCATTTTTGACGTTTTTCAGTTTTTGACATAATTTGAAAATGCCTGTTACCCTTTACATTGTATGTAAATTTCATGATGAATGGACCAAAAGAAACGGCCTTAAATTACTCTGAAAAAAAGTCTGCTTCCATTGTCTTAACTTAAAAGTAAAGTAGTTTTTTTTTTTTTTCTTCCTCTGTAAAGTTATCATTTTTGGGATACTAGGTTTGCTTCCGGCAACAGTGACATGCATGAGTGAATGGGGTTTTTATAACATCCAGCACATTACAAATCTGTGCTTTAATAGGCAATTTGCTCTTTCTTTATTGTTATTTGTATAAAAGGCTGTGTGTTTCTCTCTGGTCCATTCTGCGCACTTTGGAGCAACTAATTGTAAAGTTAATTCATTAGTTTCCCTGCACTGTTGTTGACATGCATGAAGTGAGCATCGTTCTCTAACTGTTGTTAAGGCCTGTATGATCCATGTGAGTTGAGTATTGAAGTTGGTTTTACTTTCACAGATGTGGTTCAGTTGCTGGTTGTGGTAAGGTATTTGTTCTTAGCTGTGCCTTTAGCCTTTTGGTTGCATGTTTGTAAAGCTGGTTCCAACTGTAGGGCTGTTGAAACTAAACAGATGATGTTACTGTGCTGAAAGTGATTTGTGGCACATGTTATTTGCTGTTCGTACTACAGCCACAGACTCTCTCACACATTCCCTCATATAGACGACCATGCAGTTGGAAATCACATTATTTATTTAGTATATCTGGTGGGATAAACGTTTGAAGTCAGACTGATTTTACAAGACTCATGAACATATGTGCATATGTAATGTTCGAAGGAGTACAGGACTGTTCAAAGTTGTAAATTGGCTTCAAAAATTGGATCAAAATTTTAGGATGACGTTATGGGAAGCACTGGCTGGCTGCTGTCCATTACAGCAACAAAAATACTGCAAGTTCATTTAAAACATTAACAGAGCAATGAAGCATAACAAATTTATTTTAAAAACTGCCCTCTTGTGTGAAATTCCATTTGACAGATATACCAGTATTCATAATATCATGGCTTAAAGTACTCCGGCACTGTGCTGGCGTTCCGGTGTGGGACCTGGGCCATTTTAGATTTAAAAAAATCAAGAATCATATCGTGATAGGCATGGAGAGGTTGGTTTGTGATGGGGCGATCATGTGATGAGGATAAGCTGTGATGTCAAGAAGATCAGTGGTTTGAAAAAGGAGCTGATCCAATACGGCAGGATTGGCTGGAGCTGGGCACAGGACTGAGTTTACTGGGACTGGCTGATCATTTATGGATGTGCTTCGGTGTGAAACTGCTACAAATGCCACAAAATGAATTGTAATCCAGAAATCATAATCTTAATAACCTTAATGCTGTTATTTTTGACCAGTCAGACTTGGAACTTTACCATGATGAAGCCTTCACATCTAACACACATTAGCACCCGGTATTAATACTTAATTAATTACCACTCAGATTTTGGGCATACACCATTGACCCACAATGAAAACGTAGGCCTGAAATCCATGTAAATTGCAGGATAGACACTGCTATCTACCACTGTGGGTAGACTAGGGTGCTGTGCCTTATTCGTTGTTTTCTGTTTTTAGATTTTCCAAACGTTTTAAAGTTTCAGCCTGGTTGAAGAGCCTGTCACAATTTGGTAAACGTTCTGGTAAACATTGAGGTTAAACTACATTCCGAGTATAATATTGCATCAGTTCCTCTGCATTTTGACAGCACTGGTCATATAATACTTGTGAGTTGTCTCAGAAGTTTTATTCTTTCTACTTATTTTCTTATTATTAGTTTAAGTGCTGTCTTCCAACACACATGAAATTGTCTAATCTATAGGGAGTTCATTTGCTCAGTGTTACTAGGTTATTTTAACCAACTCAAAACTTCTTAAGACAGCATTGTTGTTTATGTAGGCTGTAAAAAAAATTGCAGCACTCGTGATTTTGATATAAAAACAATTCTTATTTCAGCCCTTGGTGTGCCACAAGGTTTCATATTTTGTCCCCTTCTTTTTATATTTATGCATTACTTTTAATCAAAATGCGATTTCTATAAATATGCAGGCAACTCACAGCTTCTCATTGGCATTGAGGCCTGAGGTTAGGAATTTAGGTGCTTTTATTAACTCAGAGGAATTTCACTAATGCATGAACATCTTACAACAAGTGATGTAACTCTTTGTTTGTGTTTCAGGAAGTGAAATGGTGGAGGTGGAGAGAAGGGGAATTCATATAGTGAAAGCACCATATACCATTCACTTCACAAGAACCCCAAAATACTTTAAACCTGGAATGCCTTTTGATTTCATGGTACAGAAACATCACACTTTCATCTGTTTCAACTGAAAACTAGTTAGAACTCAACTTTAAAAGCATTTTTGAGCCTGCCCTATATTGAGGTCTAACAAGAAAAAGAGAAATGCTGTTTATATAAAGAAATACACTGCAATTTTCAAAACTGTTGCTTTGTTAACAGGACATTCTCAAGGGCACTGTTGAGAATTGTAGATATATTGTGAGATAGTGTTTAATTTCAGAAAATCATGATCATAGCCTTTTACTTTCATTCATATTTGATTTATTTGAACAAGTACAAATGAGAAAAAAAGAATGCTATCCAGAAATTCTGGAATAGGCAATAAAATATTCTCGCTGTCCAGGAAAAACAAGTACCTCCCAAAATGGTAACCTTACAAGAGAGGTCAAAAATGCCTTTAACTTTTAATGTAAGTTAATGTAGAGAGATTTTATTCCAAGTGGTTTTGGGGCATTGCTTTTGGTCCAATCGTCATTAAATTCTTTACACAATGTAAAGAAGAATTGCCATTTTCAAATAATGTAGAGAAATAAAAATCAACAAAAATAGAGACTTTTTTTTCTTTGGACAGTGACAATGTGAATTGTGGTGAAGAGATTTTTTAACGCTAACTGAAAAATGCTACTTTTCATTTTTTAATGTCAATGTAATTATTTTTGGGTTAACTGTTACTTTAATGGAGCTCACTCTATGATCTTGTCTAAAAGGTCTATGTAACGAACCCTGATGAGACACCAGCAGAAGGCATTGACTTACTGGTGAACCCCCCAAAAAAGGAAAAAAAGACAAATAATAACGGGATTGCCAAGTTCACCATCAACACCTTGAAAGAAGCCTCCATTCTGAATTTTACTGTAAGCCCAACTTTTATAGTATATTGTTATGTCTTGATTTTCTGGAAAAGTCAAAGTGAGCTTTATTGTCATTCCATCTGTGCAATACACTATGCAAACACTATACCAGGGGTCTTGGAAAAGTCTGGAACATCATAATGTCTAAGTTGCATCAGGATTCAGCACCATAAACTGTTTACTGAAGTAGTCTAGTTGGTACAGTATCTCACAAAAGTGAGTACACCCCTCACATTTCTACGAATCTTTTATTGTATCTTTTCATGGGACAACACTATAGAAATGAAACATGGATCTAACTTAAAGTAGTCAGTGTACAGCCTGTATTGCAGTATAGATTTACTGTCCTCTGAAAATAACTCAACACACAGCCATTAATGTCCAAATATCTGGCAAATCAAGTGAGTACACCTCACAGTGAACATGTCCAAATTGTGCTCAAAGTGTGTGACCACCATTATTATTTAGCACTGCCTTAAAATAAAATTTCTCCAGATCCACATAGGGCAGCGTCTGGGTCTGGACCGCAGTCCGCCTATTAGTGACCTCTGCACTATACAATAAATTATTCTCAAAATATATAATAACTAAAACTATACAACCAGTGAGCACAAAACAATAGAGAAACAGACCATCTGTTAGTCCAAAGCAGCAATGACAGATCTGTCTGTATTGTTTATCAGTGCTCTTATAATTAACAATACTTTTGTAACCCAATCACAAAGATCAATAAAACAGATGCACATGATGTACAGATGAAAGTAACTGTGAAAGTAAGTGAGGTTAATGTTTCCCAGTAAAGTGGCTGAGTGAGGAAGTGCAGTAGATAGTTGTTTTAGCTTATAGCTAATGTTAGCTGGCTAATTCACTAATATTAGCTGATTACTTTGCTAACAGTCTCTTTTTGCTGCAGAGTTTGTCCTCTATTGTTTGATAAATGAGGCTAGCCATCATTCTCAGATAATTTCCAGAGCTTCTTTCTGTCTCCTTTCATAAACACCACCAGTATAAAAAATTCATGGCTAACATTGCCTACATAGTTATGTGACTGAGTGGACGCTTACATAAATAATGGACACTTGTGCTACCCAGCTGTCGTATGAATAGCAATGCTAGTTAGCTATCAGTTATCTGTGGTGAAGCAGGTAACATATCCATACTTTTTCTTCAGTTTCTTCAGAAAAAGAGTTTACATCCACCCTAGAAAGCCGCATGTGCAGTCATTAGATTGACCCACTCAGGAAAGGTGACCGCAACGTAACTCACGTTACAAAATGTTATTCTGCATATTTTATGCAGTTACATATTTCCACAAAGGAGGTCACCAATTCACCAAATTTGCCAAAGTTACAAACTGCAGCTTTAAACATTTCAGAAAAAAGTATTCTGCGCCTAAACAATTTGGTGATTTATAGACAAGTAGCAACACTTCAAAAACTATTCTGTAACTAACCATAAGCCAGTGTAAGGACTTCAGAGCTGGAGTAATGTGCTCTGTTCTGTTTGTCCTGGTTAACACTCTTGAAGCAGCATTCTGAATGAGTTGCTGACCAGCTGTTTAATGGTCTTTTTGAGAACCCCCCTTAAAACCTTTACATTAATCCACCCTACTGGAGATAAAAGCATGGATGAGTCCTTGTCTAAGTCTTGCCGGGTCACCAAATGGCATTCAGCCATATATAATTTAACATCTGTTTGAAAGTTGTCACTGTGACTATTTAATTTTTAAAAAGTGCTGAGCTGTCGCAAATCAGTTGTTGAAGAGTTAAGAATAGTTAAAAAAAAAAAAAGTCAGACAGCAGTGTCATGGTTGACAAGCTTACAGTACCAGACATGTTAATGTCAATTGCATTCAATTGTGACACAGGTATCAAGTTATTTCCTAGTGATCAAAGAGTCAGCATAGTTTCATTATTTGGCTGTGTTGTTGACGGTCATTCTAATAGTTCTGGTACTGTAAACTTGTCAACCATGACAAACTGATTGTGGGTGTTGCTGATGTAAACATTAACAACATCGGTGATGTTGTTTATCACTATTCAGGAATTTGATATTGCAGACCAGAATATGCCACTTTAATCAAAAAAAAAAAAATGGTTTTGCAAAATTTTCAGTATAGAAATAACATGATTCACAGATATGAGTGTAATCCAATTTAAAGCAAAAGAAACCATGATTTTATTATCGAACCAGGGAGATCTTTCAACCACTTGTTTACACTTACAGAAATAAAAGTAATAGTACCCCTCTTCTCACTGGGGTGAAACCCAGAAGGGTACATCTCATTACCTTTAGTCAGGAGACATAACTGTACCATAATCCACTGAAATTATATTCTCTAAGCTGTACTGACTCCACACACTCCGTCTCGTCTCCAGGCTTTTATTTTATCAATCTGTTTTAAAACATTCGGTTATGAAAAGGTACAAATGCAAACTTTTCACCTGGAAAAACTTATTTAGGGTTCACAATCAGACCTTAAAAGCACTGTTGAACCTTTGAGGGAACATTTACATTGTTTGTACCTTGATGAACACAAGTACAGAACCTTTATTACTAACAGTGTACCAATGAGGAGGTTTGAGCAACTAAAGCTGCCACATCACATGATTGAATGCTAAAGCTAACATTGGAGCTTAGAACTCATATTAACAATTTGCGTCACCATTATCAATCATCACTTACACAGTTTTTTGATGGTTCTGACATTCAACAGTGTTTTCTTGTTTAGAATTTGTTCATAGGTAACAGAATCTACACTTACTCAAGAGCACAAAAGGTTTGAACAATTCTGTCATGAATCTGACATAGACTTTATATGACCTTTCTCAAGAGCACATTTGAGAAAAAAAAAACCTAGGGAAAATATAGAAAGAGGCCCAGTGTTCTGTGAGATTATTTATTATGAGACATGATATAATGAGGTGTGCAGCTAGATAATGGATGGGCCTCATATCTTTAATCATTCATTCTAAATTTCCTTTCTTTGCCTCATTTCCTTGCAACTAAGCTCTACCCTCTGAGGAAAAATGAAGAAAAGAAGATAAAATAACATGTTCTTTGTTTAAATCTTGTAAAAGTGAAGGTCAGTGTGTTTGCCCTAAGGTGAGTACACATACAAAGGGTATTCCAGCAGAAAAAACGATGACAGCACATGCCTACAAGCCTAAAGATGGATCCCAGAACTACCTGCACATAGATGTAAATGCTGAATCATTGGAAGTCGGGAAACAAGTCACCTTCAAGCTGCATGTAGACAAGGCCGGGGACCATGAATTCACTTATATGGTGAGAACTTCAAGCATACAAAAAGAACACTTACGTTTAATCCAAAAGGTTCAGAATTAAATTGATTACCTGAATAAAATCAATTTCACACGAATAAAATGTTATATCAGCACAAGTTTCCCTTACTTATGTCATGTTCTAGATTTCTGGATGTAATATCACAAATCTTGATGATAAGGAATTTTGACAATTTACTAAACTCTGACAAAATGATCCATTTTTAAAATTTAAACCTTGTATTATTTAAATATATTACAATTACACTCAGTACATCTAGAACAGTTAATATTTGTGCCAGAATTGGTGACAAAGCCACAAAGCCTGGTCACACTGAGTTAGAAACAAAAAACATTCATGGTTTCTTCTTACAGTTTGAACAGAAGCAGTCTGAACTTCTTTTGCTTAGTGTTAGTATATATTAGTTGCAGTGGCCAAAAGAAAAAAATTAACATTGTCAGCATTACTGCTCAATGGATCCATGTCTTCTTCCTCTTCAGCGGATTCCTTGGTCTCAGTGTTCTGACTTGATGTGAAGGTTTCAGTGCAATGAATCTGTAAAAATCTACTTAATGTCAAAAAACCTGATGATTAAAACCAGAGCTGGAGTTTTGGTTGAGGCGCAAAGTGCTCATGCATACAAAATGGAAAGGGAAAAAATATATATACTGTACTTATGATTTCATGACTCATCAATACATTGTTGTGGTCCAAGTTGTGGTCCAAAAAAAAAAAAACAAACACCCTTAAAAAGTTAGGAACCAGGCTTCAAATAAGACGTTAATGGAATGTAAGAGAGACTATTGTTGTGTTTCATTTTTATTCAAAGTGTAATTAACTGAAAATCAATTGAATATTATATAAACAAGTGTTTTTTAAAGTGTAGGAATACATTATATTCATGTGGAAATAATGTACACATTTAAGTCAAGCTTATTTCATTCATTGTTTTTAACTTTGCATCATTTTTACTCTTTTCAAACTAGGTTTTAAGTAAAGGACGTATTGTAGATGCCTCAAGAATCCAACACACAAGTAGTAAAGTGATAGCTGAGTCACTCGAAGTCACTAAGGAAATGCTTCCCTCTTTCCGTTTGGTGGTATATTACTATGCTGGAGACTCTGAGGTCGTGTCTGACTCGATCTGGATGGACGTAGAGGACACATGCATGGGATCGGTAGGTCAATTACCAACCCAGGTTTGTCAGTGAATCAGCAAATAAGAAATTAACCATTGTAGAGTTGCTGCTGTTGTTTTGCTTTAATTACATTTTTCAGTAAGTGATGATTAACTAATTTAAAGTATAATTTTTTGTACAGTAAATTTTCACCGAATTTAGATCATAAAATTGATCCCCCTCTGTTGATTTTTTATTGTTTTCCCCTTCTGTTTATAAACACAATTGTGATATGGATTGAAAGTTTAGAATCTGCACTTTCCACACAATTACTCCACTTTTTCAATGAGCTGCTATTGAGAAATCATTAAACAAAGCATCACTCCCAGTTCATTGAAAGTACATTTAAGTAAAATCATCAGAAATGCACCAGAATTCTCAGGATAAAGCATACTCAAAAATGATTTGACACAGTATGTGCAAAAATATTAGGCAGTCATAAAAAATGTTTGTCTTCATTTTGAAAGTAAGTATGTTTTTGGCTGGAACAAAGAATTGAATGCATAATAATTAGCAAATACTTTTTTTTTTATTAATATGTTGTTCAGAAGAATACAGCATAACACTTGACAGCCTGTGTTTTAGAGTGTAACTTCCTATCATTTACAGTGTAATTTCCTGGAACTTACAGTGTAACTACTGCATATGAATCAGCACATATAAAATACTTACTGGTCCTACTGCAATGTAGGTGTCTATACCATGTAATTTGTAAACGATGTAAACAGTGTAACTTTCTTGTATATATATGGATCAAGTGCAACTAAAACAAATGCTTTTCCCTTTTCTCTGGCCATTGTGACAATCATTTTTTATGCATGTGAGTTCAGCATAAAAAATGACTGTCACAACAGCCATGAGCAAAGGGGATAAACTTTTGGTTTCATTGTATTTTCATATACATATATACATATATACATACACACAAGTTACACCATTAGTTCCAGGAAATTACATGGTAAATGACACAAAGTGGGCTGTATTATTAAGTGTTTCCAAGTACAGTTAGAAGATCTCTTGATGTCTTGGAATTGTTTAATTAAATCAGCAGCACCTTATTTTATTTAATGATAGCATAATTTTGAAGGAATACATATTTACTGCCAGGATAAATGCTTTTAAATGTAATTTTCTTAATTTGCACAGTACGATAATGTGGTTTAGAAGGGCAGTTGTGGGCAGGAGGTTAGGTACCAGGCCTTATGACAGGAAGGTTGGTGGTTCGATCCCCTGAGCTGACATGACTGAAGTGCCCTTGAATAAGGCACCTAACCCCCAACTGCTCCCTAGGCACTGTGGATAGGGCTGCCCACTGCTCTGGGCAAGTGGGCTTGCTGCCCCCTTGTACAGCACAGATGGGTTGAATGCAGAGATGAATTTCCCTGTTGTGGTATTAATAAAGGGTAACTTACTTATAGTACTGTATGACTTTGTCCAAATCAATGTTGCCAGCTCTGGATACTTACGTTTTCCCACTAATTATTACTTTTTAATACAACCCAGAATGCACAATGAAATACTCAGTAGCTCTATAAACAGTAGCAATACCTCACAAAGTCCCTATGCTAAAGACTGGGCTTACAAGGCTAACTAAACAGGTCATATGACTGACAAAACAGGTGAACACAATCAGTGTTCAGGCAAGGCTGGTCTGTGACAAGTTGGGTGTGATGGTTACAGAGTAACATGATCACCCAAGGGGTTGTGGGATTTGGAGTTGATGCTGGAGGACTGCGTGACACATATATACATGTTATGGTTTCTTTTATCACAGTGATGACAGGTGAAAATGAACAGGTGATACAGTTTGACACTTTTGTTCTAACTCATCAATTAGGTAAGCAATTTGCTAACTCTCATCTCTCTTTCCAATGCACAAAGCTTGAAGTTAATGTAGAGGAAAGCCTATATAAGCCTAGTGATATGACTGAGCTGAAAATCACTGGCGATCCTGGAGCAAAGGTCAGACTGGTTGCTGTGGATAAGGGAATCTATGTCCTCAACAACAAGAACAGACTCAGCCAGACCAAGGTCAGTAAAACCATGGCAAACTATATATAATCAATACTGGAATGCCTAGTTACATGCTGGTGTTGCTAAACATCTCAGGGTGGCCCAATAATTTACACATTTTATATCATTTTTTCCCTTTAATGTTTCACCTGTCAAGAAAAAAAAAATAAAATAAAATTCTAGGCTGCTGATCCTTCTGGGTCATGGGGGGAGCTGGAGCCTATCCCAGTGGTCATTGGGCGGAAGGCAGGAAACACCCTGGACAGGTCGTTGTGCTAATATAGCATTGTAATATTCATCAGAAGAAAACAACACTTACCTTTAATCTATACTCTTTGTCCATTTTATCAGCTCCACTTGCCATATAGGAGCAGTTTACAGTTCCCCAATTAGAGACTGTTATTTATGTTTCTCTGCATACTTTGTTAGCCCCCTTTTACCCTGTTCTTCAGGGTCAGGACCCTCACAAGACCACCACAGATCAGATATTATTTGTGGTGATCTTAGTAGCGGTGGATCATTCTCAGTACTGTAGTGGATGTTTCTTAGATCTTAAATTTTCCAACAAAATTGTTGAAAATGCAAATTGATCAGTGTTGTTGTCAAGTAGCATTATACACAAATTCTTGAAGATCACAAGACACACTTGGATACACTGAAAGAGCCACGGGGTGCACTACATTTGCCTGTACTGGTGAGAAATCCGCTTAAATTGGCATTTAAACCAGGTTTAGGTAAAACTACTAGAAACTGCTTTATCTTCCCAAGCCTAAGATCAAAATGCACAATACTAAGTGTCTGGGGGCAGCAGTGTTAATCACACCACCACCAGACTCTGGAGCAGTGGAAACGTGTTCTCTGGAGTGATAAGTCACATTTTACTGTCTGTTGTGGTGACAGTTTGGGAAAGGCCATTTCCTGTTCGCATTACTGAGCCCCTGAGCACAAAGTGAGCTACATGAAGACACATTTTGATGAGTTTGGTGTGGAGGAGCTCCAGTGGCCTGCGCAGAGCCCTGACCTCAAGCCCACTGAACACTGTTGGGATAAATTGCCTTTTTGTCCAACATCAGTGCCTGACCTCACAAATGGTCTTTCAACTGAATGGGCATGAATTACCAGAGACACACTTTTTTGGGCCACATTTCAAAATACAGGAAAAATATTTTAACATTTTCTAGACCATGGAACCTTCTCTGCTGGGCTTAATAAGTGTAATGAACGTGTAAATGAAAAATGACTAATTTAACATTTATACATGTGGTGCTTCCTTATTTACCACCAATAGATCTGGGACACCTTTGAGAAGCATGACCTTGCCTGCACAGCTGGCAGTGGTAAAGACAGTATGGGAGTTTTCTATGATGCAGGACTCCTGTTCATGTCTAATTCTGCAGGAAGCACCCCTGACAGAAGAGGTATGGCAAAGGGCCTGAAGGTGATATTTTTGTCTATTCTGGGCCTGGGACTACAGGTTGTTTTTAAGGAACAATTCAACTAGTAGAACTTAAATAGTAAGTTTTGGTTAACATTTACAATACTGGTTAATTTTCTATTTGGTGTAATTTTAAAAGAAGAAAATTTAGCTAAACAGTCCAATCAAAATACGCTCTGCCAGACATTCTTTTAGAGTAGCAGCACTCAAGGCTATATGTTTATTTATAAACCCCATTTCCAGAAAAGTTGAGACATTTTGTAAAATGCAATAAAACAAGAATCTGTGATTTGTTGATTCTCTTGATTCTTTAACTGACAAGAGTACAAAGATAAGATTTCCAACTTCACGTATTTTTGTAAATCTAAACAAATTTAGAATTATCTGCCACACACTCAAATGAAATTGGCGCAGAAGCATGCTTACCACTGTGCTACATCAGCTTTCCTTTCAATTACACCTTTTAATCATTTGGGAACAGAAGATAATAATTGTAGTGGTTTTGCAAGCCCATCATTGCTTTACACTTCCTTGACATTAGCTGCTCAACAGTCTGTGGTTTGGGCTGTTTCACAATTTGACACATCTTTGCTTGCAAAGACTGAGCCTTTTGTAGATGCTCCTTTTATACTTATTCATGATACCTTCACCTGTTACAAATCCCCCTGATAATTGTGGAATGTTTCAAAATAATGTAATTTGAATATTTTATAAACTTTTCACTCTTATTTTGTCCCTATCCCAACTTTGAGTGTGTTGCAGTCTTCAAATTCAAAATTTGTTTAAATTGAAATAAGTTGGTTAGTGAAAACATTGGAAATCTCTTCTTCGTACTCTTTCAGTTAAATAAAGTGTGAAGGGAAGTAACAAAACACAGATTCTTGTTCTTTATTGCATTTTACAGAATGTCTCAACCTTTCCAGAAATGTAGATTGTACTTTATTATTGCTAATTCTAACTGGACTAGCTTAATGTTATTCCAATGCATTGTGCACAATAATCATTTTTTTTTAAAATGAATGAAACATGCTTCATTTTCCTGTTCTGTTTCTTTCCCTTGGTGAAGATTTCTCTTGCCCAACTGAGGCCAAAAGAAAACGACGCGACCTCACCAAAGCGCAACTCAAAAAGACTCTGGGTCAGTAAAACCTATAGTTGTGAGAGACGGTTTTATGCACTGTTCTTAGGTTCAGGAGGGCCACAGTACTGTACATTTTTCTTCTGTTGTAATTTACTGAAAACGTTTTAGTATTTAAATGAACACAAATCTCATTTTGTTTAAGTAGTGATGCACAAAACTATTGGCTAAAATTCGACAGTGCTTCATACTGTATTTGTGTATGTGACACACTTTGTGCTTAAAAATGCACTTTTGGGTGTGAAGTAAAAACATTTCCCATAATCACGAAAAGCTCTGTGATCCCTTATGAGTGAGCAATACTCTACATACATAGCCTAACCAATTTAATGAAATGTTCCTAAAAGATGTTTCATGTTTCAGTCTGAACTGATATTTTAGGTTGGCTACCAAAGAAAAAAGGTACAAAAATGACAATTTTGGAAATCAGTTTTCGGAGCTTGTTTTTTGAATTTAAGAAATGGCATTCCTGCGCTGCACAAGGAGTATCAGAGTGTGGGAGTGGTATCAGCAAACAGTGGACGGGTGGCCTAATGGAGCAGCGGGCAGTGCAGACACACAGACAGTGGGTGGGCGGCCTAACAGAATAGTGGGCAGTGAAGACAGAGCCAGGCCAGTGGAACACATGGATGGAGCCACTAATGTCAGCAAAGCTGAAATATATGAGCAATGGGTCTGCATTGGAGCTAAACCCAAATGCCTTGCTACATGTAGCTCTGTAGTCTCTATATTCCACCCTTGCCAGCCCAGCCCATCCTACTGTTTGAACCACTGCAAGGCCTCAGTGAATTTCTGAAAGGCAGTGAACATAATGCAGAAAGAACTGGAGGTGTCAGCCTGTCAGAGCACCCCAGTAGAGCCACAGGGCCCCAGTCTGCCACAGCAGACACCCTTGTTTTTTGTGGAAGACTCTCTAACTACTACAGAAACTCAAAAAAAAAAACAGAAACTCATAGTTCGATGTGAGCTGAACATCAGTTTATGAACTGAATGAAAGGTTTCCTACATTACTGGCTGAATACACAGCAGTGATGTAGTTTGTTGTTCATGTTGGCAAGAATGACACAAGGAAGCAATAGTCTGAGACATTAAAAAACAACAACTTTAAAATCTCTTTAACAAAGTCAGCAAGCTCAACATCTGATCATTTATCAGTGGTCCTCGTCCTGCATGGAGAATGAATATGTTCTCAAGGCTACTTGGATTAAACACATGGCTACATAAAAGCTGCAAATCAAATGGACTGTACATTATTGACAACCTTAATTTTTGGGAAGAGAGACTTTTTTAAGGCGAGATGGACTACATACTAACAAGAGGGGTGTCGAATGTGTGACAGAGAATCTAATTTTCTCTATGCGTAACTTATCTACTACATTGGAGGAGACAAATCAGCACAAACACCCAAGGACTCTTTCATTACTCAGAGCTGCATTTATTGGATAAAAGCCATGACAATGATCACATTGTCCTCCATCATCACCCCCACCCCACCTGATCCTCCCTGCAACTGTGAAGAAGCTGGTGTGAGCTGGAATGAGGCTGTTGCTTTTCCTTTCAGCCAGTGAAAAATAAGCCCAGTTTCTCCTCCACCCTCATCTACTGCTTCATTTACACTTCCATCTCCCACACCTTCCTCTAAGGAGATTCAAGCTTCCTCACCACCTGTAACACCTCAAAGAAAGAGACAAGTTCTTCAACTTTCAGAAAGGCAGCTCTGCCTCATCATCAGCAGAAGCTCCACCCACCCTCTTCAGCTGAAAGGGTCACCCTATTTTCAAGTGATTCAACAAATTGATATGTTTTAGATCTATGCTACTACAATGGTTTCCAATCAAGCACATACTCTGCGTGCCAATAATCTTTACAATTCCAGTAGAGATCAGTTGACAGATCCAGTAGTGAACCAGTTGACAGAGAGCATGAAAAGAGCTCTTAGACTGGACACTTTCCAATGCAGGCTGTAAACATTCCTGTTTGAACATGCTTTTGGCTTGGTTTAAAACACTGTTAGCTCGACTGAACTTCTAGCCTGTAACGGCACCTTATTAATGTAACTTAATTTTTGTTTTTAACTAATATTTTCCTACGTCTTTTAAAAAATCTATTTATCTTCTGTTTTTTGTAAAGCACTTTGAATGACCACAGTGTATGAAAGGTGAATATAAATTATATAAATAAATATATAAATAAACTTGCCTTAAAGAAACAGTGGCTTGCTTTCATCTGAAAAATAAAGATAAAAAAGTACCAAAAAGGGTTTTTGGGTTCTCTTTCAATGCTTTTGAAAAACTAGTTTTGGGTCAGCCATTCAGTGGATGGATCATTTGAGATGTTTTGTGTGACTGTAAAGAACACTTACCTACTTACTTATTTATTTATTTATTTATTTATGCAGTGGAGGATTACAGTGACAACCTAAGGCACTGCTGCTTGGATGGAATGGTAGAAAACCTTCTCGGTTACACCTGTGAACGCAGAGCTGAGTATGTTGAGGACGGAGAGGAATGCCGTAAAGCCTTCCTGAACTGCTGCAAGAAACTGGCTGAGGTAAAGCAGGAGGCAGTTCACGAGGAGCTGCACCTGGCCCGAAGTAAGAAACATCTACTATTATAATTCCACTATTGTGTAAACAGAAGATAACACAGAAGATACATCAGCTAAATTTAGTATCAAATCCACCCTCATTATAATTTTCTTCTTTTCAGGAGGCTTGCTTTCAGTTTTTTAAAGAAATCTGCAAGGATGTTTTCCACACCTCCAAAGTTCAGTCTTAGAAGATGAAAAAGACATCAGTCAACAGGGTTAGAAATTGTGGTTGAAAGCACACATTCAGTGAGCTCATGCATTAGTGTGATATGTAAGAGCGGCTGTTCCTCAGGTGACTGAGAATGTCAATACTGGATGTGATCAAACTCAACAACAATGGTCCATCCACATCTATGTAGAAAGGACTGTTATAGTAGGGCTACAGTGCATAAACCTCACCTTACAAAAACAAATGACCATTTGAGAATTCAGTGGAGAAAAATCATCGCACCAGTCTACAGAGATGCGAAAAAAAAGTGATGCAGTCTGATGAGTCATCTTTTACCACATTCTCCACAAGTGGACAAGAGCATGTGCAGCATACACCAAGAGAATGGTATCAGGCCTAAATGTGTGACCCTTGCAGTGGGGGCTCTATTATGTTGTGGGGGACATTTTGCTGGCATGGTTTGGGTCTACTTGTCTCCCTGTGGTGCACTTTGACTGGTCCAGTGCAGTGAAGAACGTAAGTGGTTGTGTGTGTATACTATGAGGGCGTTCCCTGAGGGTTGACCGTTGCAGCAGCCATTTTTACTTTATTTTTTAATGGAACAAACAAAACACAACCAAAACCAAAGGCACTCTTTTCAGGCTTGTTCTCTAAAACCAAACTATTCAGCTCATAAGTCTGTCGCTGCTGCTGCTCATCCCTCTCTTCCTCTGTTCCCTCTCTGCTCTTTTAAAGGTGCTCACTATCAGCTGATTCTCATTAAGGCAGTGTGAGCACTTGTGTCAAGAGTGGCAGATAGCTCTTTGCTCCACCTCCTTGTCACTGCTCTCAAATTATAGCCTAGCGGCCTCACTGTGGACCAGGAGGCAGGGCCTTGTGTTCTGCCTTTGTGCCTCTGGTGGCTATCATCGTCACCCGCTCCCTCTCTGGTGGCTAACTTCCCCCTACTCCTGTCACTGCTGCCTCTCGTGGCTATCATCTGCCTGGGGGATGGGTACAGGGCACAGTACCATTCCAATAATATTTTTCAAAACATTGGCTGTGTTTACATGCAAAGATTTTTGCCAATCCGATTGAATACAATCCGATTACAGATTCACTCTATTCAACAATTTGATGGAAAATCTTTGTTTACATGCTCACTACAAGTAATCCGATGCAAAATGATGCGCATGCATGGAGTAGCGCTTAGAGTAAACATTAACATGACAGCGAACATCACGTGAGGTCCAGTCCGCGTGATATGAGTTTTCAGTTGTGCTGGAGTTTTTAATTGCTTTAAAATGAGGTCAGACTCAGGAAAACGTCCTTCACATGTGCTTATAAAGGAAGCGGCAAGAGGAAGACGTCTTGTTCTGAGACACATAACCTTGAAGTCCGTTAAAGATCAGAGCATAAACTTCGTCTCCTCTGCAGACCAGTTTCTGCTCCCGCCATGCTGAACGGTATAAACTTTCGCCATGACGTGACGCACATGCGCAGAACATACTTACAAGTTCCGATAGGGAATGTAATCGGATTCAGGCGTTTACATGGCTATTATTCTTATATTTAACGGATTATTTAGAGGTTTGCCCACCTCGTTCAATCGGATAGAAATTGTATTCCGAATGGCCTCAATCGGACTAGTCTATTCTGATTGAGATGTTTACATGGACGTGTTCTATTCCGATTGAGCTATTAGTCGGTTTATTAACGGATTATCAGGCTGCATGTAAATGTGGCTATTGATTAGGACTAACTTGGACAGATTCAGATTTGGGGAGCAGAGGTTGTTGATCACATCACTTGCAGTCACCATCAGTCATTTCAGTTTATTAACATTCAACCCTTCATTTTCCCTCTCAAATTTCATGTTTGTGAGTTAAAGTAGTTGTGTTTAAATATGTGAGCATATACTGCTGGTCTTCCATCACACACAAGAACATTTGAAAAGTGGAACTTGTGTTTCATATGTTGAGCTTCAGACACAAATCATGCAAACAGCTCAGCTCTGCTCAACTTTGACACACTGTATACCTCAGATCTGATACACATGACCCACATAATGCATTATGTCTGATGAAAATAGCAGTTCCCATTATTAATGAATAGAATATGCTGTGGTGTGTTGCCATGCAAATGCAGTGTTAGATAAGTTATTATGACTGCTGCCTTCCAGGATGACATCCTATCCATGGGCCACAAGGGGTCACTGAACGGCCTGATGTAGGGATGTACTGATACCAATTACCGGTATTGCGTATTGGCCCAATACCATTAAAATTTCTCATACTCATGCTCATAATACCAACGATACCATCAACTGATACCTCCTGATGTAATGTAAGCCAAGTGTACATTGCCACTAATGAGCAAACGACTCAAGCTGGAATTGAACAAGGGCTTGCTGACACAGAAAAGTGCTGCTGATGCAGTGGCATTAGATGCAAATTTGCTGGTCACTTGAAACATTCTGCTTGGCAGATTCCCACCAGGCGTACACTTATACACAAATAAACACAATCAAAATTACTTCCCCAATATGTTGGCACACTATATTGTCTTACCATGTACATCAGCAAGTGCTTTGCAGAGTGTGGCACAAGTTAGCAAAGCTGCTGCAGTGCGAGTATATAAATTGCAGGCTTTGTCTGTACATGATGGTCTACTCAAATGTACAGTGCGAGTCATCAAAGAACAAGATTTCTAAAATCGCACAGTGCATCACTGGCTTTAGAAAACATTCAACCACGGCTCAACCAGCCAAAAAGACTCTGATAAGATGTAAAACTTGAGCTCTTCAAACGCATTAGCCTCGGATGTGAGGCTGATGTCATTGTGCACTTGGTTTGAAAGCATACTAAAGGACATTTTGCTACAGTATAAGCAAAGTATGTGAGAATATGTAACTGCAAAGAGGAGAGGCACTGTTTCCATTCTACATTTGAATTGTGTCATCTTTCTAGCTCGGTGTTTTATTTGATGCAAATTCAAATGCATTATTAGAGAGTGCAAATGCATGTATGGTCAATTTAATTCTTATTGTCCTTTTGACACCATTATTGCGTAATCATATGAAGCATAAACATGCAATTCTGGAAATAAACTTTAATTTAAATAAAGCTACCTAAAAAGCACATAAATGTCTGCATGAATGAAATATCAATGGTAATCTCAATTGGCAAAATAACCCAATAAAACTAAATTTGAATTTTCTGATATGTTTCCATATTTTTGTGCACACAAGGCCACAATTGAGCTGTAGACTTTAGTACACCTGACCTCATGAATATGCATTTTCATGCAAGGTCAACTGACAGGAAAAATGTTGTGTTTAACATCATTCATTTCTTAAAAGAAAATTTCTTGCCTCTTCAGAAGAAAAAATAGGTTTTCTATTTCTACAGATTCATGATCTCCTTATATTTAGCAGTTTTCTATTAATATTGCTTTCATTAACTTATTACATATTAAATAAATTATGCAAATTTAACAAAATGTAAATTTGTGCACTTTTAGAATGTAAAAAATACAACCGTGAAGCATTCAAATTACACTCTGGCTTTTGAAGAGTCTCTTTAAAATGATGTTTTGTATAACAATGTGTATTTTGAATTTGCAGTAGAGTTGGTTTGGAATTCTCCAAACTTAAGTTTTAGCATTATGGTTCCGGCAGGTACCTAAATAAAATCTTTTAAAGTCTTCAAATAGGTTTAAAATTTTTCAGGTAATAAAGTGTCTGTTTCTTGCTCTGAAAGGTATTAAATTTTATTTTGCTTTTGCTTAAACAAACCTAAACATTGAAGATATTAAAGTATTTAGCAAATGTTTCTCTCTTTTCAAGGCGAGGAGGAAGAGTATGATGAAAACAAGTCTGATAATATTGTAACACGCTCAGTCTTTCCTGAGAGCTGGATGTGGATGGATTTAGATCTTCCTGACTGCAAAGAGAAACAGAAATGGTCAGTATGACAGTTTATCAATTTAGTCTTAGCAGAATAAATAAACAACATTAGACATACAGAATATTTCATTAGATTAAAAAAAGTGTGTAGCAGAAAAAAGCATTTATGGGTAAATCTACATTCTGCTTTGTTAAAAGGCCCACATCACGGAAAAGTGTACAGTCAGTTTTTTGGAATAAGAGTTTGTAGTATGTAAGTTTTAAATATACCGCTCACTCCTAAGTACATACAGTCCCAATATGGAAACTAAACTGTAAAACAAAGCTGTGTCTAGCATAGTGGGTAGGCTTGACTTTGATTCCCCTTCCAAACATTCAGTAACATTCAGCATACTTAAATAACATGATTCAATTACAAGTCTCCCAGAATACAAATACTGTAATTGTAAAATTATATACCACTGTATATATCTTCTTATACTACTGCATATATTTTATAGTAAAATTATATCAGGTAGTGTTTCAGCCTGGACTGCTTTTTGAACCAGGTACATGACAGCCAATCAGAACAGAGGTAGTTTACGTCATGGCATAATTCCTAAAGGTACAGTAACAAAAACAGATTGTTTAACTCTAAGAGATAAACAGAAGCTGGACAATGGCCATTAAAATTGCTATTGCTATTTGTATTGTTATTGCTGCACAAGCATCATAAGTGAATATCAAGGGAAAAACATTAAATAGGTGACAAACACCAGACATGGGCACTTTGACTGAAATTGCAGTCTGGCTTTGTAGTTTAACTTAAATGAATTGACAGAAAGATTGTTGCTTTCACACAGTGACAATAGCACCGAACTGAGATTTCCAGAATCCATCACCACCTGGGTGATCACTGCTATCAGCACGTCTGCCGACTATGGTGAGTGAGCGTGTGTGTGTGTGTGTGTGTGTGTTGGTCGGTAAAAGTGAATTGTATGCGTAACTGTCTTTTTTCTTTGGTTTAAAGGTGAATTATGGCTTGTATTTGGTTTTCTTTATACTCAAACAGAGGCTCACACTGTGTAGGTTAAATGAACTTATTAAGTGCACTAACACATTTCCAGCACTTTCGGTAACACTTTCCAGGAATGTCACATTTGTAAGCATTTATAAACACATTCATAACATGTTATAATCCCTTCATATGGCATTATAAACATGATTATAAACATTTATAAAAATGAATTACACTTTATAGCCATGTTTATTATACATTATGAATTGTTATTATAATGCATTATAAGAAGTGTTGATAACATGCTATACTGTCAGTGCCAAAGAAGTCAGTCCCAGCTTGGAGAATGCAAAGTAAAGACAAATACCAAGCTAACGGTGGTGAACATTACCTTTCCCACATTGGGTAAAACACTGATGGCAGCACTAGTTTAAACTCTGACATTTGAAGCCTGTAATGTACTTTACTGTGTATGTTTTAGTGTTTCAGTAAATTCTTCAGTAAATACTTCAACTTGAAGCCTCACTCTTAACACTGGAGGAGGCTTTAGTACAGTACGCTTCACTTTACTTAGAGCGGACAAATACAACTTTTGAGCTCTTATAATTTGTTATGATCGGTACTTATAATGTATTATGTTAACAATTCATAATAAGCATGGCTATAACATGTAGTGCATTTTTATAAATATTTATAGCCATGTTTATAATGCCTTAAGAATGCATTATAACATGTTATGAATGTGTTTATAGATGCTTACAAAGGTGACATTCATAGAAAGTGTTACCGCACTTTCTGTTAGCCAAACTCATGGACCAAGCTGCCATTTTGAATTCTTAAATGAAAAATCATTCATTTAAAAATTAAATGAAAACATTTTCGGTAACACTTTCTATGAATGTCACCTTTGTAAGCATCTATAAATGCATTCATAACATATTATAATGCATGCATAAGACATTATAAACAATGCTATAAATATTTGTAAAAATGCATTATACATTATAGCCATGTTTATTATGCATTATGAATTGTTAACATAATACATTATAAGTACTGATCATAACAAACTATAAGAGCTCATAAGTCGTATTTGTCCGCTCTAAGTAAAGAGAAGTGTACTGTACTAAAGCCTCCTCCAGTGTTAAGAGTGAGGCTTCAAGTTGAAGTATTTACTGAAGAATTTACTGAAACACTAAAACATACACAGTAAAGCACATTACCTGCTTCAAATGTCAGAGTTTAAACTAGTGCTGCCATCAGTGTTTTACCCAATGTGGGAAAGGTAATGTACAACACCGTTAGCTTGGTATTTGTCTTTACTTTACGCTCTCCAAGCTGGGACTGACTTCTTTGGCACTGACATTATAACATGTTATTAACACTATTTATAATGCATTATATTAACAATTCATAATGTATAATAAACATGACTATAAAGTGTAATACAGTGTAATTCATTTTTATAAATATTTATAACCATGTTTATAATGCCTTATGAATACATTATACCATGTTATAAATGTGTTTATAGATGCTTACAAATGTGACATTCATAGAAAGTGTTACCACATTTTCATTTAAGAATTTGTGTTTAAATAACACAAATCAAACAGTCAAGTGATACATTAAAAGTCATATTTAATTATGCTATTATAGTTTGGTTTAGGTGTAGTAGCAGCATTCAAACGCAGTACAGGTGCAACCTTTTGGTCAAAAAAAGGGCAGATTGTATGTTTTGTGCAAAAATCTGTAGATTCTAATTCTACATCTCTACAACACAATGAAGAGTTCAAACTACAATCAATAACTTAGAGAAATATGAAATGAAGTATTTTGATTTAATTTGAATAATACAACAAAACAGCTGTAACTTAATTCTGGGCAAAACTTAGACATTAAATAATAAATAACATTTTCCATTTTATTAATATATTTTAAATGATTTTATAGTCATTGTTTGTGAAATTTCAAATACTACAGTAAAATCATAATGTCTTTTTGTCTTATGTCGATTTGCATTTTTTTCCTACCTTTTCTCAGGTATTTGTGTGGCAGAACCAAAGGAGATTGTGGTTAAGAAGTCTTTCTTTGTTGACCTGAAGTTGCCTTATTCGGCTGTAGTCAATGAGCAGATAGAAATCAAGGCAGTCGTTCACAATCTCAATCGTCCTGCAATCAACAAGGTTGTTTATCCTGTAGTCTGTAAAAAATAGTTACACTCTCAAGAATAATGGCATTTCTTAGAAACAGTACTATAAAAAAGAAGCAGCAACTTCAACGGCTGTAAACCTTTTACACACCATTTCATGTATGTGTCCAAGGCAACTGAATGAAAAATGAAAAGTTTCTAACATAATAGCAAAGTCCTTTGGGATCTCTAGTGGTCAATTTAATGCAAAATATAGATGGAAACATGGAACCACCAATTGCAGGCAAGAGGCAGATGACAGACACACAAATCCACCAGTTACACACACTGAGAGGCAGACGGCGTGTGTCTCAATTATTCATAGCCTTATATTTCCGGATGAGAGTCACATACGATCTCATGATAAGAACGAATTGAAAGGGCGACTTTACAGATTCAGGAAAAGTCAGAACTGCCTTTCTGTGCTGTATTACGGCAAAGATATTAATAGAAACACAGAGAAACATCTACATTGGGAGTAGGAATACATTTGAAATTAGCCTATATTTTGCCCAGTTTTGTTCATGCTATTGTTATTGTAGTGCATATACAGGCTTAGAATGCTACCATATACAAAGCAAAATCAATTTAGAAGATAATCACAATTTAAAGCTCTGTGTTTTCACTCAAACATGTAAGAAATCTCACCAACCAAGGAGGGAAGAGTTCAAAATATACATGTAATTACCACTAAAAACATGGCTGTTTTGTTACCGCTCAACTACAATTTAAGTGTCAGCAAATGCTGGCAAAAGTAATGCTTTCTAGCCATGCAAGACAGTGGTGTGCATGACTGATGAAAATTGATTAGCAACAGCAACCAAATAATAGAAAATAATAGCAACCAGTAGCCATGTTGGTTACACAAGAACCTGGCACAGCAAATCACACCAACAAATCTGGAAAAAATTAGGCAATTTAATGTTTTCACCTTTTTTCACCTCTTTATACTAGAAACTAATGCTAATTTCTACCAGCTTGTAAATGGGTTTTCAGTGTTACATTAGTGTCATGCTAACGGTGATGAAGATTCACTTTCTCCCAGTGGATTTAATGATACCCTATTTAGTTTGGTTATTTGCATGCTCACATAATCACACCCATTATGAACATCCCTCTCAGTTCGTATGCTGAGACTGTAAGAAATATGAATGCATTCGAGCAATTTATTGAAATTATTGTTATTAGGCTACATGTGGGTCACAGTGAAGTAAAGGCGACAGAGCCTGAACCGTATTGCTTAATCTCTGTTTACTTTTTGCATCACGCCTGCTTTCTTTCTCTCCAAAACAGTCCAAAGTGTACTTTCCAATTTTTAGTATTTTTCAAAGTTGAACTGGGGTAGAGAGATTTGAAACTAGAAGGTATCAATGCCCTTTATTGAACCACTTCTATAATGTCTGTGTAGAGAACCTTGAGGTGAGAGAATCCCCACATAATCCAAACCATAAACCATGTATTTACCTTTATTTCTGAGAGTGTATATCACACACTGAATGTCAGAATATTGCACTGAGCTGGTAAAGCTGGTGATTCAGCCCCATGTTAAACTAATCAGGACTGATTCTGTATGAAATCCTTTATTTAATGCAGGCTATAGTGGAGCTAAAGGAGACTGAGACTATATGCAGTTTTGCCAGCTACAAGAAGAAGTATCGCACCACTGTGAGCATAGCTGGCAAATCATCACGTGCTGTTTCCTTCGTTATCATCCCGCTGGTTCCAGGCCAATATGACATTGAGGTGACAGTCAGGGACCCCGATGGAGGGTCAGACGGTGTGAAGAAAAAACTGAATGTAGTGGTGAGTGACTTACTGTTTGCATATTTGCTGATACAATAAGAACAACTGAATAAAGCGACAACTCAAAACCAAAATGAACAGGAGAAAGAAGTGAAAGCACACAGTTCAAAGATTCTAGAACATATAAAGAGCATACAGCAGACAGGTGGGTTTTATAGAAGGTGAGTAGCACCGGAACCTTTACTGATGTGGGGGCAAGCTGTCCATAAAAACTAATCCTGTCCAAATACGGCTTAAGTAAGCAATGGCTTCTGATAATTTCATCCTTAATTAAAAAAACTCTCTTCCTACCAAATTCTCTCTGACACACTTTTTACCTGTCATCCTTTACATTGAGGCTTAGGTTTCCCCACTTGTACAAAATTTTACATAAGGTACACTGTAAAATTGATGAGAGAGGGGACCCAAAAATGTTGGTGATGAAACTTCATATCTCCAAAATGGTAATATCAGGAGAAAGAAATAAACTTTGGTATACATTAATCAAAAGGGTTTTATTCAAAGTTCTTTCTATTTACCTGTTCATCATTAAATCTTTACGCAACGTAAAGGACAACTCGCCTTTACCAATGACAAACAAGTAAAAAAAGAACAATAAAAGATGTGTGGTTTTGATCTGACAGTGAAGATATTTGTCGAGTAATTGTAGAGTAACAACATGTTTTTATGTCCAACTGTTTTTCCTCTTTTTTCTGTGGTGACTGGGACAGACCCAGGGTGTTCTCAAGTCTGTTGGAGAGCAGACTGTAATTCTAGAACCTTCCAAACATGGTGAGTGACTGAAAGCCCTTTCTTACTCCAGGGGTGTCCAATCTTGTCCACAAAGGGCCAGTATGACTGCAGTTTTCATTCCAAACAAGCAGGAGCACCTGAGTCTACTTGTTTAATCAGTTGGTCTCCGTCTCCAACAGCTGTTTAGGTGCGTTGCTGCTTTGCCAGAATAAAACCTCCAGCCACAACGACCCTTTGTGGATGAGAATGGACACCGCTGGTTTATTCAAACTGCAGTGACACATGCAACAGGGGTGGAAATGACTAAAACCCAACATTAAGTAATTGATGACATGTTGAAGTAGTATTTCATACACAAAACTCAACAGGCAGTGATATAAAAAGCAACAAAAAAGCCTTTAAAAGTGGTATGCAAAAGGCCCCCTTGGTCATATTACACATTTGTTGATTTTTAAAAATTAAATACCACCTCTGCATGGAACAAACTTACTGGCAAATTTGTCTGCAGATTTTCATGGATCATTACTATTGAGCGGCTGAATTTCGCATTTTGAAAACAGGGATGGCGAAGGCAATTTTAATACCTTAATCTTTGAGTTCAAGGTTGATTTTGATGTATGTTTTGCATTATTGTCTTATAATATCTCACTGGCTATAGATTATAGGCTTTCCTATAAGAATAAGAAGAAAGGAGAGTAAGAAAGAATCCCTTCTTCCCTCTGTTTCCACATTTCCTGTGCAACTGGCTGCCACAGAACCCCACAGCAAAAAAGATTTACTCTCATGCTTAACAGTCAGCAATGTGTTCATCAAATGCTGCTAATTGTCCTCCACATATAGCTTATACACATATACATATGTTGATTGTAGACAAAGAGTTCCATTTTTGTCAGACCACAGCACTTGATTTCAAAATACTTCTGATTTACCAAAGTGCTGTTTTGCATACTTCAGACGTTAACTTCTGTGATGTGATCACAGTGAAGTTTACCTATTGATGACTGTTTCATGTAGAAGAGTTTGCTCAATGATGCTCTGCAGTGGCTCAGCGCATAACCATTGTTTTGCCATCCAAATCTTCCTGTATGTGCTTGGCAGTGATGTGGGGAGTTTGTTTTGTATACCTGGCAACTCTAGGAGCAGTTATTTTTCAAAGATTTCTATATCTTATCTTGACCACAGTAGTTATCCTTAAATTCCATTTCTTAGTGCCATGTTGGTCAGTGAAAATTACAAACAGGATGCAAAAAATCTAAGCCCAAAAGTTGAAATTTAAGTATTTTAATTACGTCAATTTTCCATTCAATTTAAATACATAAATCCAATGTAAAAATGGTCTTCTATTAACTTCTAAAGAGTTAATAGTACCTTCTGTATTCACAGCACAATTACTTAGACTGTGTAAATGTATTAAATGACAACAAATGTTAAATTCACAAACATTTATTCAATACAGTCTAAACTGAATTAAACAGTATTTGCTGAGGCACATTACAAGACGCATGTACACTTTAAAGTCTAATGTGAAAGAAATAAACAACTTTATATACTTCAGCTGTGATCAAATTCCCTGCTTTAGAATTTCTATTCACTAGCAACTGAACTACTAATTAAAGCAAATGTTTATGTGTACATAACTCTCATGCTAACCATCATGCCAGTTAGCCAGCTAACGCTATCGGTCACCTAATGCCATGCTAATATGACACCTACTGTTACAAATACCATGAACTGTTGATTTGAATATTAATGGAACACATCTTTATATACTCTGCTTCACAATAAATCACTGCCATTGTTTATATAATCTAAGTTAGCTAGAGTATCTCTCAAAATAAGCAAAATGAAACATTAATATTTGGTCAAAAACATTAAAAAACACAAATTAAGTTAATGTGCATCACTATTTCATTGCAGTTACACTGAATAATAAAGGATGGCAGGAGACTGTAAAAATAAAAAGAGTCATTTCATGTCCACCATGCCAGCTGAAGCAATTTCCTGGTTGATGATGCGTTTCCTGTTACTATTGCACATGCGCACTGCCTCCTAATAAGATTTAGTGGAAAAATCTAATAGGTCTTATACAATTCAATTACATCAGTTTCAGATTTATCCAAATTGGGTTGCTTCTAATGAATATAAATAAGGAAAGTATATTTTTAAGTATGGTTTTATGTAAAATATTTGCTCAATGTTTATGACAGCCATAAATCATTTTTTGAGTGTGTTTAGATATATTTTATATTTGATCTTTATTTCTCTCTTTAGTTATCTTTAGTTTCACGTCCTCACTGAGCTGCTTAGATGTGCCCAAGGCTGTGGAGAGTAAGCACAGCACCCTGAGAAGTTTTAAGATGATGTTCTGACTCACTGTCACATAAAAAATCAACAAAACATGTAATTTGACCAGAGGTGCCCAAACTTTGGCATACACTTGTACATGCTGTGTGTAAATGTTCTTTTGTCTTTATCAGGTGGAACGCAAAGATCAGAATTTAAGAGACACTTCCTGGTTAATCAAATGCCAGACACGGACGCGTACACCTACATAGCTATTAGAGGTAATACAGCTAAATGCTGCTAAATCTTTTTATTATTATTATATTTTATTTATTTATTTATTTAGCCTTTCTCGAATCCAAAGATGCTTTACAACATTAGTGAAATACACAATTAGCATTAAACAAAACAACCCACAACAACTCAACAACAAAGAAATAAGCTGTGATGTACTCCAGGCCTCAATGCCCCATCCCTGGGAAAATTCAATAAGCAATAAACAATAATCAACTGGGGGATATGGGGGAAAAATGTAAAAGCTTGAAATGACTAAACAGGAATTTGAAGCCTTTAGATTTAAGACAATCTGATTGCCATAAAATCTGTTTGTCATAAAACAGATCAGTAGTCATTGTGTTACATTTTAAGTTTGAGGCTGCCAGGTTGTGCACTCTTTCAAAATAAACCTTAAATAACTTTTACAGTAACACTACAACTGCATGGTCATATTATTTGTGTCACTGGTCAGGGCACTGGCCAAGTCACCCTGACTGGGAAGCTAAACATGATCTCAAGAACACTCACAGACACACAGGTGCAAAGTAGAGGTTTAACCAAAATCTCAATACTTTAACTGCAGTGAAGCCTGTTTTGGCCCAGGCACAACAGTCTCTCTCATAAGGCTTTCCAGCCCCAGTTCCTCTCTGGCTGGGAGGGTCACCTTTTTAGAGTGTTCTTTCTCCTTCCCCTGTCAGTCCCAGCTGTCCTTCTTCAGGAGAAGGAACAGTAAATGAGGCCAGGTGCCAGGTCATTAGTACCCCTCAGAAACACTAAGTGGCACTGTGGAGCTGAGCACTAGCTTGTTAGTACCTTCTGGGACACTGGGGAGGGCTGGATGCTGTCCAGTGGTGGATGATGTCTTGGCTGTCTCACTTCACTGAGGAGACTGGGTAGGTTGAAGTAGGATCCAAACCACTTGCTACAGTGAGCTGAGTGGTGACTCGTGATGTTGGAACATCACTCAAACTAGCTGGTGCAACAAGATGTAATTCAACTTTGTATGGACATCTTTCAAACACCAGTCCAATGTCTATAAACAAAACCATGCTTCTTTGGGTGAGACCCTATCTGGGAGTTTGCAGTTGTCCTTCGCAACTCTTCAGGTAGTAAAAGCAGCCTATCAAAGTCCAGAGCAGATTGTGATTAATCTCTAATCTGCAATAATTCTGCCCGATCATATATACATAGTGATCCTCTAACAAATATTACTGACAACAGTAACGAACATAACAACAGAGCCCACACCGTGGCAAGCCATGCGGCCGCCATCTTGCATTAGGCTCTCTATCCTTAGTTCCTGTCTTGACTTGGTGGGAGAGATACCGATGTAAAATTGCTCCTTCCTAGCTGTCCTTCACAGGAAGAAGGACTTAATTGTGGCCAGTGAAACATCAGCTTGGTCTCTCAGCCTCAGATATTTATAATAATGCAGTATGAAATGGCACATAATGATATCATGGTGTGTGTGTGTGTGTGTGTGTGTGTGTGTGTGTGTGCAGGCAAACCAATATCACAGCTGGTAAATGAGGCCATCAGTGGAAAGAGTCTAGACAGTCTGATTAAGGAGCCTCATGGATGTGCAGAACAAAACCTGATCAGAATGGCCCTGCCACTGCTTTCAACACATTACCTGGACAAAACCAACCAGTGGGAAGAAATAGGAGTGGACAAACGCACTGAAGCGCTCGGACACATTTCTACAGGTTGGAGGAATGTAAATCCTTACAGTGTCATGCAACCTAGACTGATGCTGTGGTCTAGACTAAATAAATAAATAAGTACATATAAATTTCTAAGTGGACCTATCCATGCTCCACAGTCTTTCATAGCAACTGTTGCTAGGTTTGAAAAGATTTACAGAACACTGGCAAAAATCTCATTCAACCTAACGAGAAGCTGAAGCACACAACTTTGTTCTTCTTGAAATACCTACATTTAGCTGTACAACAGTAGCGATAAAAAACATGGAACGTGGTTAGGTTATAGAGAGGCATCATAGAAGTGTAATTTAATTGCTCTGAAATGGTTTCTGCTTTGTCTCAGGCTACACAACAGAGCTCAAGTACCGCAAAGCAGATGGATCTTTTGCCAGTTTTAATGCCAACCCAGGCAGCACTTGGTCAGTTCTTTTCTGGCTTTTCTGATTTTGGAAATGTCTATCATTCATCCCATTCCTCTGTCCATATTCATAATCTGCTTTCTCATCTCTCATCATATAAATCTCTAACCTAACAAAGATTCAGTTTTCAGATTGCTTTTCAAGAAATTATTTAATTAAACACAAAATATTATGTTGGTACTATTCATAATTATTTGTTTGAAAAAATCCACAAATGATTTATGTAGCAGTGGTAGAATAAATAAACAATGCACCTTTTTACATTTGAAAACAGCCTGGGAATTTCATTTTGTCCAAAATATGAGCACAAACTTCACTGAATTTGGCAGCGTTCACCCCTTTTAAAAGAAACTTTTTCCAGCTGTTGTCGGCCACAGTTGTGCTTCTCTATCAGGTTGTTCTCTGACTCCTCACACACTTTCACACCGGGGTTGTTCCTCACCCCACCCTCTCCACTAAGAGTCCTTAGCAAAATGAACCCAATGAATAAATGCTTAAGAACACACAACCTAAAACTATCATGCCAAAAGATTTCTTGAACGAGCTGCAATATTATTCTAACCAGTTAAAATGGATTGTAACATTCCAATTAATGTGGATGAATCACCACCTTCAGATCAATGACTATCTTTCTTTTTCTCATCCATTCTTAGTTCTGCAGTTCTTTCAGTTCTTTTCACTCAGTGAAGGTATCTGCGTATTTTTCTCTGTTTATGTTTCCTTCCAGGCTAACTGCATATGCTGTCAAAATGTTCAGTAAGGCATCCAATCTGGTCAAAATAGATCCGGATGTTATCTGTAATGCCATCAGATGGTTGATCCTGAAGACACAGATGCCTGATGGGGTTTTCATTGAGATGGGGAGATCTCCCTCCAGTGCTGTGAGGGTAAGCTACGACAGCAGATGAGTTTTTGTATAATATTTTGAAAAATATGAAGTTATCCATTCAAGCACAAAAAGCGAACATGCCATTTTTTTTTAAGTCAAATATGAAATGCATTTTTCTTCCATACCAAGACAGACTTCTGAGTAAAACACTGTCATTGAGAGAAAACTCTAGCTGAGTATTTTCATTCAGTGATAGGTGGGGGTGGTAAACATGATGTGATTATTCAATATTATTTTCCCCCACCTGCTGGTTCACTGTGATGTCATCAAAAATCAGAAGATGTTGTTTTAGAGGTGGGGCATCAGATTATGAGGAAACAAGATTTTTGTCTTTTAAGTGATATTACAAATTATGCTTAAGACCGGAGGCTAACAACAAGGTTAAAAACTAACAAGGTTAAAAAAGGTCAATTTGGTGTCAGGTTGACTTAAAAATTAAAAAGCCTTTGTTTTAGCATGGCTTTGAAGAAAATGACTAAAATGTATAAATAATTATAAATGTATATAGTAGCACTCTCAATCTTTTCATTTTTGGATTGTCTTTACAACTCTTTGCAGTCTTTAAACACAAGGTTCTACACCAGTGGTCACCAATACTCCTGAATATATACCAGAATTCAACTCCATCCCAAATCTAACACACCTGCCTAAGGAGGATCCACCTGGCAAAAATATGTCATCATACATTTTATAGTTAGCACATTTTATATGGAAGACCAGCAGGCCTTAAAGCAACAAAACAGCAGGAGGTTGTTGATAGACATTGTGTTGATAGTGAGAAAACAAGATGCAGGTAGCATATATATATATATATATATATATATATATATATATATATATGTATGTATGTATGTATGTATGTATGTGTGTGTGTGTGTGTGTGTGTGTAAGACTTCTCAGATTTTCTTTTTTTCCTGGAGCATTATTTTTCATCTAGTGATGTGTCATTGGAGAAACAATTTGCTCTTTGAGACAACTCTTCTAGGTGAACATTTAGGATACATTTATTTATTTATTTACTTATTTATTTACTTTCTTACTTATTTATTTTTATTAAGACAAACCAAATGGATGGATCTTAGGATGCTTTAGCTGCACCCTCCTCAAAGTCCTTGGAACATTCCAGCTCCTACCTCATTATCCCCAAGTAAGGTTTTGCTTAGAGCCCTGAGAAGGCTAGGACTGCCATTACACACTGCATCCAAATACTTACCATACCTCTCAAGGCCCAGTTTCCCAAAAGCATCTTTGGTCATGTTTAGATTTTTTGGCAAATCAAATTTGAACAGAACAGATTTTCTGCACTCTGAATGGCAAAAAACACATGAAATCAGACCTTTTCTAGTCAGATTAAGTTTGACCGGTCACAGATTTCATGTTTAATGAGCCACACCTGCTCAGGGGGCTTTATAAGGGCTGGGAAGAAGACACACTTTGCTGTGTCTTTGTTCCCAATTGCTGGAGCTTTGAGATAGTCGGTAAACGGTAGAGGGCTAAGCCTCGCTTCCTTGCTCTCGAGTCACTAAAGTTCTTCCCTTGCTTTACCTGTCCTTGAAAGAGAGAAAGAAATAAACATAAAACAGGAGAAGGAACAAGTTAGTCCCTCTCTCTTCTTCATTCTCCTTTGGGCATCCTCTTCTGTTGGGAAAGTAGTTTATTTCAGTTCAGCCTTTCCTCAGTATTTGAGAGAGCCAGTCTTTTCCCTGGTGTCCTTTGGTCTTTTCCCGCCCAAGCCTTAGTAGGTGGGTTTTCATACTGCCATTTGTTTTCTACCCATTTTCAGGGAGTTCCCTTTTAAGGCAAACCCTTCCTGCACTATGTGACGCGGCCTCTGTAGTGCAGTGGTAGAGCATCGGTTTATCAACGCAGCGGCTGGGTTCGAGCCCTGGTCTTCACGGTTTAATATATTATTTCAATCACACCTTCCAATCACATATAAGCTTAGCGTTTGGGTCCTGCCTTCCAAAAGTCTGTGGTGGCTCACCCAATTGACCTCTGAAACACCACCCAGATGATCTGAATTCAAATCCCACCTCTGGCAAGCCACCTGATTACAGATCTATCTATCTATATCTATCTACCTATCTATTATATATATATTATGTCAGTGCCTGGAAAATGACAAAACTAGGAATACAGATTTTGTTCTGACAGCAGTGAGACATCAGAAAAGGTTATTTAACATCAACATGTACAGTATATCTAATTTGATTTTTCATGGAGCCCTCAGCTCATGAGGGCCCTGGGCATCTGCCTACCTTTGCCTAGTACACAGACCAACCACCCACACTCAATTTTTTCTTTGTATGTGGTAGTTTACAGTAAATGCTTCATAAAAAGATCTGAACTAAGCATGTGTCTGAATGTCACTGCTACAGCTTATAGATTTTAGCTCTCTGTCGAGCAGATCAACCTGCAACCTAATGTCATGTTCTGCTTATTGAAAATAAGTGATTCCAAATACTTAAACGGCAGGAATGATCTGGATCAGATGTGTTCAGTCAGGGCTGGAAATTCTCCAGGAGCAGGGTTGGTGACCACTGCACTGTATACACTTTGGTATTGTTACTTAGTATTTATATAGTGTTTGTATGGGAACTTGTAGTCTGGGAGTCAGTGCAGACTGAGCATTTCATTGTGCACTGTTATGTTTCTGTATGACAGTATAGAATATGTCACAATAAACTCTTGAATCTTTAATGAATCTTTAATCTTGAACTAGCAGCAAGGTAACACAGCAGTGTTTGACCAGGGGGTTTCTTTTTATTCTGACTTCATACAGAGCAAATCTACACAGATACCAATGACAGCTTTTGTACTCATCGCGTTACAGGAGGGGAGTCTGATTTGTACTGAAAAAGTCAGTGTAAGTATAAATATACGAACGTGGACAGGTAATGAAATATTTCCAGGTGCCAGTATTTGAATACTGAAATCATTATTTAGGTATTCATGACATTGCATCACAGAAAATTAGGAAGATATTGGGTTGAAAAATAAACATCTCTACACTAGTGTTTTAAAAATAAAGCCACCGAAAAGTGTTTCTTGGGAGCAATAACACAGAATAACCACTTTTTTTTCCCCTAAAGAGTCTTTCAATGGATGCTACTTTGTAGACCTATTTTTGAGATGTGAGTACACAACAAAATCTTATTGAAAGAGCCACCACACAATGAAAAAGTTCTGTACCAATTAAAGTGCTCTCATTTTGGAAAATTTTCTTGGCATTTTGAAATAATATGCAGTAGGTAATCATCGTTGTGATTTTAAAACATACTCTTCATTTCCCATTCCATGCATTCCATATATTGAAACACAGCTGCAGAAACAGCCTGTTTGGAATTCATTATTTTTGTGATGTCACTAAAACCAACACAGTTATAAACTTAGCCTACTACCCAGCCAACAACAGTTTAGCCCCGCCCATTAATGCTGAAGTTATAAGGAGTGTTTCAGCTCAGACTGCTTTTTGAACAAGGCATGATATAAGACAGCTAATCTAGAGGTCATTTAAATATATCAGTCTTAAAGGCTCACTGGCAAAAAAAACAGCCTGTATAATTGTAAAAGGTGTTAAGAAAGGCTGGAAAATTGTCATGTCAAAGAGAACTGCGAATTGTACATAAAACAACACAAATATTATATGTGAGCCACACGAAAAAGTAAAGAGTATATTTCATCAGTATCTTATTTATTTTATACATTTATGCATAATTTAATTGTGAAGATTTTACTTTGTAAACAAAGTAATTTGAAGGTTTGATGTGAAATTCATTTGAGAGAAACACAGTCAGAGCTGTTCACAGTGGTGACAGAAACCAGATGTCTCTAAAAACTATGTCACAAAAAAAGTTATTACATGAAAGTGTTATGAATGTGAATACAGCCAAAGCTAATTTTTTTTTTCTTCCTTGCAGTAAAATAAATATCAATTCATTAACTCTGATCAATTTCAGAGCCTTCAGCAGAGCATGGACAAGGCAGCAAGTTATATTTTGAACAACATTGCTTCTGAAAGCAATCCTTATGCTGTGGCCATTGCATCTTATGCTCTAGCAAATGCTGGCAAACAGAATCATGATGTACTGTTCAAATTTGTCTCAGCAGGTAAGCTGAAAAACTCACCATACTTCAAAACAAGCTGTTATAGTTAATCCATCTTTCCAAGGTCCAGGAGATTTTAATTAAATTGAGACCATTAAGTTTGCAAAAAAGCATTTAAAGTAGTTGTAACAACTTTAATGATGGGTGGAGGAAAGATGCCAGGGGCAGGTATGAAGAAGGAGAGCTTTCTTTTATTATTATTTATACACAACGCAAAACACTCGGCGTTTCAGCCCACAAAGTAAGACAAGACGCTTGCTGGGACTTTTCGGTCCTTTCTTTTCTTTTCTTTTCTTTCTTTCTGGTTCAGCTCAGCTCAGTTCAGCTCAGCTCAGCTCTCCTTCTCAGGTCTCCTTCTCTCTCTGGGCTCTGCCACCTACTGAAGGAAGAGATGGCTTTAAGTAGGCTGGCACAAACAAGGCACAGGTGAACACAATCAGCTACTTAGCCCACTGGTTCAGCCAGACCGGCTTCTCCATCCCGCATTTGACGCTCGGCCACGCCCCCTTCTCCACAGTAGTCTTTATGACAGATGACACCTATTGAAATAAGCATTTATAAACATTTATGTAGGGTTATGTCAGTTGTCAAGACAAGCTTATGTAAGTGTCATGTACCCTTATAAACAGCACCCTACAGTAAAGTGTTACCAAATTCTTAACTCATGTAGAACTTGATGGCAGCAACACATCTCAAAAGTTGGAACAGGGCCACATCTACCATTGTGTAGCATCCCCTCTTCTTTTAACAACAGTCTGTAAACATCTGGAAAGTGAGGACACCAATTGCTGGAGTTGTAGGAGAGGAATGTTGTCCCATTCTTGTCTTATATAGAATTCTAGCTGCTGGGTTTTCTTTGCCAGATTTTTCATTTCATGATTTGCCAAATGTTTTCTATTGGTGAAAAGACAAGACTGCAGGCCGGCCAGTTCAGCACCCGGACTCTTCTTCTGTGAAGCCATGCTGTTGTGATGGATGCAGTATGTGGTTTATCATTGTCTCGCTGAAATATGCAAGGCCTTCCCTGAAAGAGAAACTGTCTGGATGGGAGCATATGTTGTTCTACAACCTCTGTATACTGTTCAGCATCAATAATACCTTTCCATATGTGTAAGCTGCCCATGCCATAGGCACTAATACAACCCCAAACCATCAGAGATGCAGGCTTTTGAACTGTGCGCTGATAAGAAGGTGGATGTTTTTTTTTAGCTTACGCAAGATTACCAGTATTTTGCCCCTGTCCCAACTTTTTTGAAACATGTTGCTAGCATTAAATTCAAAATAGGCATATATTTTTCAAAAAACAATAACATAATATGTTGTCTTTGTACTCCTCTTGATTAGATATGCGTTTAAGTGATTTGCACATCATTTTTGGAACAGGGTTGTATGAGTGGAATCAGGATGGAAGAGTTGACAAATCTATTTCTGAAGAATTTCTACCTCCTCAATCCACTGTCAGGCAGATAATGTACACACAGAGAAAACTGAACAACCCTGTCACCCTTCCCATACATGGTCACCCAACAAAAATCACTCTAAGAACAAAGCCAATATATTCTGCTTTGCGTTCTTCATGGCTCAAATTTAGCAAAAACCAAACGCTGCATTCCTCAATATGAACCTCATCCCAATTATGAAATATAGCGGTGGTAGTTTTTTTGCTGCTATTGGCCCAGGGCAGCTTGCTAACATGCAATGGTATTATGGATTCTGGTTTGTATCAGGAAAATCTACAGGAAAATGTACCAAACAATGTTTGGATCAGAGAAAATTCTGTATTCTGAGTCAAGTCCAGACCTTAATCCAATAGAAGTGTTGCAGCAGTATCTGAAGCGTTGATTTCAGATACTGAAAGAAAGACCACCATCACAAAACACCACTGAGCTGGAGCACTGCTTTAATTTGTGTGTTTATCACAGAGCGCACTCACTGGACAGTTACGGGAAGTCATTCTTATACCCTGGAGGCCACTGGTTATGCTTTGCTGGCACTTCTGAAGACTAAGAACTTTGAGGAAGCTGCACCAGTTGTGAAATGGCTAAAGAGTAACCAAGAATACAGCAATAACTACCACTCCACTCAGGTGAGACACATATGTAGTGTAATATACAAACATGTATACGTAACACATACAACCCCATTGTAAAATGAAGAAGAAATATTCCAGATTCTGCACTATTTCTATGTTACTACTCAAATTTGTGACACTGACCATGTTAATGTAACGGGTTTTGCAATTTTAATGTTATTATTGCTAGAACCTTATGTGAGGGTGTGAGGTAACCCGGATTTATTTGAAGTCTACAGACCAGGGCAAGAGAGAGAAACGCTCGCACCAAGGATGCTTCAGAAAAGGGAATTTATTGGCTAAATATCAAACTACTTTTGGACTACATTCAATGATAAACAATAGAAAATAAAACAAGAAAACAAAACAAAACAAAGTGATAGTAATGAAAGACAAAATAGCTCGAGTAAGTAAGAGTGATTCGTACTAAATGGTATGAGGCAGTGTGGTTTGGGGAGTTGCTTGGGAGAGCCTCTAGAGAATTAACCTAAGCCTGGACAGGAGTAACTATATGGCTGGATGTACCTATAAAAGTTCTCTTATTAAATAAATTGGCGTCAGGGCCCTGACTGCACATTGATGGTTCCAGCTTACGTGGGAGTCGGGGGCTGATTTCAGGAGGGGTCGTCTCAGGACAGACACGATCGAAGGCTGGAGCTCACGCGGTGGTTCCTCTCCTAGCTGGCCGTGGATGCTGCATCTCAGTGCGGGCACGCGCCTTCCCGTCAGTGATTGGGCGGAGGCGTCTCGTGGCCGTCTGACGGTGGAGCTTGGGCAGCCTTTCGAGGGTCGATCTGTTCACAGATCAGTGCGTGGCTCTGGGTGTGATGCTGGGTCTCCGTGGTGTCCAAACCACTCCCACTCCGCTGGCGAGGTTCAGGTTGCAATCAGGGTTCTGAGGCTGGTGGTACCAATTTAACTAACTACCTCTCTTTAGCAGAATTGAAAGTTATGGATATATTCTCCCTGGCCCGACAAGAAATATCCACCTTCCTTCTCTGAGGGTGGTTCAAACTTAAGGTGTGTAGACGACCAGGCAAGTTACAAAACAAACAAGGTTTCAGATCTGATAATTTAGCGTCCTAATACTTCTGACCTGTCTTTCTGACCTAGGCTGGCACAAACTTAGAAACTTGTTGCGAACGCAGGAACTCTCCCAAATTTGCGGTGCACTCTGGTTTTGCTCAGCTGGAGGCCCTACCCTTTGGAGGTGGTGCCAGAGTGCTGATAGGTTCTCTTCACATAAGGTTCTCTGATTGGTTGTGCATAGTTTGAGGAATGCCTTCCCCAAAATCACTGCCTCCTTTGTTTCACCTAGTTTAAACAAAGAAAAAGAACATTTCTATATCATCCAATTGGTTTAACTTTCAAAATCAAGGAATGAACAATTTAGATATTCAGGCATGTTTCTAAGAGAGAGTTTAACCCTTGTTACCTGATACACAATACATGTCAAAGAACACAGGTACTATTTGCCTATCATCTCTGAATATGACCCAATGCATGAAAAAAATAAAGTCAACAATAAAAGGAAAGGAACAAAGGAAGAAAGAAAAGAAAACCACATTCAGGATACATCTTGGTCAAAGGTCTAAACTCAAAGCAATTAAATGGTTGGGTCTGACTGTTATCAAAGTTATACTCTACGTATTTCTAGCACTTAATGATAAAAAAAAAAAAGATACAGGTAATATTTAGGTACTACCCAACAACAAGATTAATACCACAAGTAGTATTACTTACAGATCATGGAAACTTTGATAATCAAGGAGACAAAGCACGAATCATCAAGCAGAATCAAGCAGACAAAGCACGAAGTTTTCTTGCTTTTTTATAAGCACAAGTCCTTATGGTGGTGATGTGGTAATTTGTGGTTTCACCCCTTGGGGGTGCTGTGGGTCCATGCTTGAGATCCCTAGGGAATTTAGAAAGTTGGAATTTTGCCCTCCAAAGTCGTACAAATTCCGTTTTGGTATGTCTAGTTTAGTTAAAAAGAGTTCTAACGAATGGTTGTAGTTTGGAGGGGACAAACACCTTAGAAATGTACTTTCTGTTACTTAAGATAAAAAGTGGTCCACAGTACTTTGGAGAGCCATCTGCCACGTTCCAGAGGAAGGTGTCCTGTTTTTCTCCAGGTCAAAGGAGAGGGGTGCAGCCTCTTGATTCAGCCATAAATCTGACTGAGTCTGGGGTTGGGGTATTAAGCCGACAGCTTTACGCCTCACTCCCAGACTTGCTGGAGCCAAAAGGCCCTTAACTTTTGGGTAAACACTCTGCTTGAGGTAGAGTTTCAGCCAGTGTTCGCTACATTAAGGTCCGATGTTGTGCAAAAAGATCCATTTTTTTAATCTTATTTCTTCCATTAAAGCTCTTGTTCAGACGACTCATGTGAATCTCAACCGTTCATCAGAGACTTTTGTCAATATTAGTGATCAGAGTCTGTGCCAGCTCAAGTGCAACCTGTCATTAAAGCAAAAGGGGGACAAACAACACAAGAAATCATGAAATGAAAAATTAATGTTAATGTTAAAATTTTAAAGATTCTACTTTTCACTCAGATTGTTACACTGATAATTCCATTTGTTATGAAAAACTTTGTATTAAATTAGGAAAGAATGCAAAATAGATTTTCACTAGTGTTCTTTTGGACCCCATATATGCGTATATTTCGAAATATTCTTTATGATATATGTGCATATATGGCATATATCAGATTTCTGTATGGGAAAATATAGAAGGAGAATAAAATAAGAAATACATAAACAAAAAACAATGTGCTGTAAATACAGTATCTCATCAGTGAGAGAAAATGTGGCACATAGAGAAGTCTAGCAGGGGAGGAGTGTAGTGTTCTAGGTGGAGAGGAACACTACAGGATATACAGGGTTTAAGTATTTAAATCTATTCCTTGTATTAAAGAAACTCAGTGAAGGTCACTAAGTATAGGGGTTATGCTGGCTTCTCAACAAGATTTGAGTACAGAAGTATGGAGAGAGTCAAGTTAAGAAGTGGGTGCATTGAATTTAGTTACACGTTTAACTGACCTGAGTGAAAGGTTTTTGCCCACCAGTGTTGGCCTGTTAGAATGTTCTCCAGTGCTCACTATGATTATTATAAAAATCCCGTATCTCTTTGTTCTCCTCTACACCCTCAGGCTACTGCTTTGATCGTTGAGGCAATAACGAAGTACATGACGGAGATGCCACCACCACCCACTACTGGAGGTATGATTGTCACTGTCAGCTCCACTGCAAGAAAAAGCAGTTTCAAAGGCACGTTCACCAAAGCCACCAGAGGTTTACAGCGTTCTGCCAGGGTAAGCAGAGAGCCATCAGTGCTTTATGGGTTTTTTTTGTTCGATTTTCTGGATGACTGTATATTCTGTAATTCATCCAATCATCCAAAAATTTTGGCTCGTACATGCGTCACCAGGGTGTTAATTACTCCCTCACTATTTAGCATTACTGCTACTAGATTTCGTGCTGACTCAGTCATAGCGGCACACTGCATCAGTATGGGATAATTTCACATATCGAAAAAACAAGAGATGTTGCAAGTTCCTTGATGTTGTCACATTTCATTCCATATTCTCAGGTTTCATTGCAAATATTCACATTTTTTTAGTCTATATATATTGTGATGAAGGTATCTTGACAGGAAACTATCTAGAAATGTCTAGAAATATCTTATAATAATAATAATAATAATAATATACATACATACATCATGTAAACCGCTTACCCTTCTGGGTCGCGGTGGGGTACTGGAGCCTATCCCAGCTGTCATTGGGCGGAAGGCATAATAATAATAATATGATATAGAAAAATAATTGAATCCACTGGTTATTGACTTAATTTAAGATGATTTCACTTTTTGAGATGTACCTTTTTGCAGTGTCATTCAATGCTATATTGCGTTCAACAGTTCCAAGCTAATGGAGATTTAACAGTGGTGGCTACCGGGGAAGGTGAAGGCTCCATATCAGTAAGTTAACTGCTTATACACTTACCAGCTACTTCATTAAGTACACCTCCTTGTATCTTCACTCTTTGTCCATTTTATCAGCTCCACTTACTATAAAGGTGCACTTTGTAGTTCTACAGTTACAGACTGTAGTCCATCTGTTTCTCTGCATACTTTGTTAGCCCCCTTTTACCCTGTTCTTCAGTGGTCAGGACCCCCATGGACCCTCACAGAGCAGGTACTATTTGGGTGGTGGATCATTCTCAGCACTGCAGTAACACTGATGTGGTGGTGGTGTGTTAGTGTGTGTTGTGCTGGTCTTAGTGGATCAGACACAGCAGTGCTGCTGGAGTTTTAAACACTGCGTCCACTCACTGTCCACTCTATTAGACTCTCCTACCTTGTCAGTCCACCTTGTAGATGTACAGTCAGAGACGATAGCTCATCTGCTGCTGCACAGTTTGTGTTGGTCATCCTCTAGGCCTTCATCAGTGGTCACAGGATGCTGCCCACAGGACGCTGTTGGCTGGATATTTTTGGTTGGTGAACTATTCTCAGTCCAGCAGTGACACTGAGGTGTTTAAAAACTCCAGCCGCACTGCTGTGTCTGATCCAATCAGACCAGCGCAACACACACTAACACGCCACCACCACGTCAGTGTTACTGCAGTGTTGAGAATGACCCACCACCCAAATAGTACCTGCTCTGTGGTGGTCCTGTGGGGTCTTTACCATTAAATAACAAGGTAACAAAGTGTGCAGAGAAGCAGACGGACTACAGTCTGTACAGTCTACAATTGTAGAACTACAAAGTGAAACTGTATGGTAAGTGGAGCTGATAAAATGTACATGTTAGGTGATGCATGAAGTGGCCAGTTGGGGTATCCTCAATCTTTATAGCAAATTAAGAAAAAGGGTTGCATAATAATTATTTTGTTCAATTTTGAAATTATTATTATTTATCACAATGATTAATTAAAAAAAAAAATACTTTCACCAGTTTTATTGCAACATATCATTATAAACCAACAGTCAAATTAAGACCAATACCTTAATCACATTAATTAAATGTATGCTAAAGATGAACAAACTTAGATTTAAAACATAGTGTGCTACCACAGTATGCAGCCAAATAGAATTTAGATGTATGAATGCATAGAAAAGGTAATAACATTATGTAATAGCCAATTAGCTTCCTTTAACTAAGCTCAATGATATCACCGTAAATTATGGTTATTAAAGAAGGCAAAAATCTTAATCAGCTATGCAGCCCTTATAAGAAATCAAACGGGGAAGAGTAATAGGCATGTAGCCAACAATTCACCACTTCCTTTATGTCTTCCAGGTCATCACACTGTACTACGCCAAACCTGACGAAAACTCCACATCGTGCAAAAACTTCGATCTGGATGTGAAATTTATCAGAAACAGAACAAGTATGTTTACTTTTTCATATATTTCTTTTTTCATTCTTATCTGTGTTCAGTTTTTAATGAGTACACTGTAAATGTTAAAGCAGTTTTGCTCACATCAAATCAACGCTATACAAACAGATTTAATAGTTTACCTTTACCATTCACACGCCAGCTGTAGCAGGAATGGATCCATATCTGCGTTTTAGGGCAGCGTTACGTACGTCAGCCATTTTTCTCTGAATCGTAATGTGGAATTACAGAGTGATTTTGTGGGCACCACAATTTCCCACTAGTGAAATCCATAGATTGGATTGTCCAAATGGCCATTGTAGCTGCAGGGTTTCATTCCCAAAAAGCAGGAATGCACCTAAACAGCTGCTGAAGACTAAGACTGAACAATTAAACAAGTGGAATCAGGTGTGCAGCCACACCAGCCCTTTGTGGATAAGACTGTACACCATAGATCACTAAATCGGATGACTGTATAGCAAAGTGCATTGCGAGTTTCCTGTTACTAACCAGCAGACATAGGAATGTTAGCTAAAGTTAACAGACATAGAAAATGAAACTTATCAGACTCTCAACCTGATTTTGAATTACAGTGGAGCTTTGCGGAAAGAAACAGGAGCTCAGTTGAAACACTATAATCTGAAGTTTTAGGGAGCTGCTTTATGTGGCTTTGGCTAATGTGAAAAATAAAAATTAGATCAAAACAGACTCCTATGAGCCCTGTCTCTCCTGAGTGCTTCTGTCCTGGCTTTTCTCCTGGCAAGCCATAAGCGTTGTTATACCAAGCTGAATATAAAATAAAGGCATGTGATTTGAAGCTCTTCTGTGGGAACTGGTTCATTCCTGTGCTGTGGTTTTATCTGTGTAATGGTTGCTTTTTCCATACTGCTGTTTCTATGGTTAGTTTGTAGATGTTGTATTGTTTGTTATTGTTCAGTGGTCAGTCATGTTGGTAAGATTTGGTTCCATTTTGGAACAAATGTAGGACGGTGTTCACTAGTTTGCCCTGTAAACACACAAGGCAGCAATGTAGCAGTGCATATACGCAGTTTTACGGCATGTTTAATTCTCTGCGGAGACTGTCTAGCTGCATACATACCTAAACATGACCAGAAACATGTTTATGTGTATTTTCTACTCAGCTTTTACTTGATGTTCAGTTGTGGGTCATAAAACCACCCGGTGCCTTTATGTGTTCTGATGTTTTTTTACTGTCATTCGTTCTCCTGCTGTCATGCCCTGCAGTCACTGATAAAACTATTAGAGTGCAAGCTGACTAGTTAATATATGTCAATAGTGTAGGAATGAAGTGAACACATCAGAGCAAGTTATTTGAATTTGTGAAATAATGATGACAGTAATACCAACAGCTAAATGCATTATAATGCTAATACACACCATCTACTTTTTGCAGTTTCCTTTGACGGTGCACTTGCAACTTACACACTTTCTATAGAGACCAAGTAAGTAAAACATAGGTTTGCTTCACATGCAAAAGCATCCAGGAGTTTTATCGTACTGGGAAATACAAGTACTAGCTAGTAGAAAGCTATCAGAGCTTCCAGTTGCTGTAAAGGTTCTTGTTGAAGCAGCAGCCCCCACTTTAAATTAAGTGTCTCTAATAACTGTGTAGTGACATGTGAACAACATATGCTACAACATTGTAACTACTAATGATTGTTACGGTTACAGATGGATTACAGAAGTACAGCCTTGTGTAATTACACATGTATATCAACTTCAATTTTGCCTCATGTAATTACACAAGTGTGATCGTAATAGTTGTAACAGCCCATGCTCTCATGTATTTACACAAATGTAATAACAAACATAATTACATTTGTAATCAGACTGGAACAGCTGATATGGTCTAGTTGCTTTGTGGTTAAAGGAATGGTTTACCTTAGGTTTGCACTGCAGCTGTGAAGCCAATATAAAGTTTGTATCACTCAAAAAATTTTAGAGATTTTAGACCTTCATTACTTGTCAGCCTGATAACTCCAGTGCAAACTTCATTGAATGTGTTTGGTTTTAAAAAAGATTCTTTAGTCAAGAAAATGATTCTAAATAGAACCATGAAAACTTAAAGAACCCTTTGCATGATTAAAGGGCTCTTTGCATGGTGAAAATGTTCTTCAGATTAGTAGAGCTGTAGATGGTTCTATATAGAACATTTTTGAAAATAGTTTATTCTATGGGTTCTTCTGTTGTTACAGTGTCAAGCATGTAACCCATAGAAGAACCCTATTTGGTGCTATATAGAACCCTTTTTAAAAAGGTTCTACATAGAATTATCTACAGCACATTCATGCATGGTCTTCATCAAAGTAAAGAACCCGTTCATGTTGCAAAGAACCCTTTAATCATGCAAAGTGTTCTTTGAGTGTTCATGGTTCTATTAAGAACTATTTTCTTCACTAAAGAACCCTTGAGGAACCATTTTTAAGAGTGTGTAATATGTAGACTTTTAGAATTAATGTAAATATCCCTCATTTTATCAGCCATTACTGACAGACAGGAGAACCAGTCTTAATTTTTCTGTTTTAGTGTTAAGATACAGATCAAATAAGAACAAAAGACTGAACATGCATGCAGACAAAGCAATGAAATCAGCCAGACAAATAGCTAAAATATTGTGCATCGACTTTCTCACATTTAGAATAAGAATGATCAGTGACTTTCTTTTGGGAAAGCTTACTAATGAGCTCATCATGACCAAATGATCATTTTTTTCCAAAAAAAAAGAACCCTTAGTGAGGATGATGAATGATTGGCTGCCACTAAGGGTGGGCAATACAGCAAAAGTAGAGCATCACAATATTTGAAGATATTTGAAGCATTTTCAGAATCCACAATACTGTATCATTCTGCTGGGCACCTCCTGCTAAATAACAATTTCTTTGCAGCTAACCGTTAGTATGTTTCTACTATGATGGCAGAACTCAGTGCCTGCAACGGAATCAAAGCCTTATGTTATTTACACTCCCTGTTGTGTTTCATTGCCCATTTATTATTTATCATGATAATGATATCATCATATTGCCCACTTCTTCCTCCTAGTGTGAAGAAAATTTTGTACAAATTACCTACAGATCAGAGCAGAGTAACTGCAATGTAGAATAATGTGCTTTGTAGAGCTTGGTGATATGGCCAAAAATGTTATCACGATAAACAAAATTCATATCGTTCGAAATTGATACATATCGCAATAAATGTCAAATCATTATTTCTTTTAATTTTGAAGGCTGATTTTTGCTCTCGAGTGGTTAATTGTGGATGCTTTATGGTCAGAACATGACAAATACTCACCAAACAATGGAACATTGGACAAATCTGTCATGGGACAGTGGGAGAACGTGTCTGGTGAGCTGTTTTTATCAGCTGGAAAAGCACAGCCGCAGTTTTTGTAATAGTCATAATTTAAGAAAGCAAAGATTATTTTTATCAGTCTGGTGACGAGCGCTCGGCTATCCCATTACAAATGCTAAACAAGTGGCATCAACAGTGCAAAACTGTTTAGTTTCTCAACAACGTCAACTTCGTATGAACAGCAAACATTAGCTGGCTCAGTAGGCCAGTGATCGATCACACAGCCTTACTGCCATCAGTCCTACCACGTCCATATCAGAGCACATCACAGTATTCAGACACCGGCTAGCAGACGACTGGATTTCTCTAATTTATCATAGTAGTTTGAGGGGTGAACTGCAGTATATCTGATGCTCGCTGTGTAAAAGCATTAATTGCAGTGTGAATCTCTCACACCAGACAAACAGAGTCCTCCTTTTATCTACGTTTAAACTAAAAGCAGTGCTTTTTTGTCTTGTTTGATCTACAGTAACATGAATTCGCTGTGTTGTGCGAGTGACCGATCGCTGCTTCAAGGTAGCCAGCTGCTAGAAACTGCTAGTCTGGGAAGCTAGCATTCTCTCACTCTCCAATGCCTCACAGTTTCCTCAGTTTACTTTCATTTAAATCAGGGCTATAAGTTGCATGAACCCACTTCATTCTTTCACTTGTTGCTTGGGAATGCACTAATACTTAAATATGACTGTTTAGCTCAGTAACACCGTGCTGGAGTTGTGAGGTGCAGACATGATTAAGCATTGCTAAAGCTTGTTAGGATGTACAGAAAGAGGTAACTGTAGGACAGTACAGTTACGCCACTGATCTCGTCACTCACACTTGGTCACAGGAGAACAGATCGCTGGTCACTCCACTCAAACAGGAAATATATAACTCCACCTTTCAGACATTGCTAAAGTATATTTGTATATGTATCCCTCTCTATTCATGCTGAAAAACTCGGAAGTGCGCCCTCTCCTGGTTAGAGCAGAGTAGTGTTGCTTTCCTTGCAGTAGAAAACGCCACTACGGCTTTCACTAGAATATGAAATTGTGAGAATAGTGTATTATATTGAGTATTTATTGAACCTTTCTTATAGTTCTATCGAAGAAAGTTGTATCGCGATAATTATTGTTATTATTTTATCGCCCAGCCCTAGTGCTTTAGAAATTAAAGTCTTCACTTTAAGCCCCATCTGTTTTAATCTTAAGTCTCAGACCCTCAGACAATAAGAAAAGCATGCTGGAATTTTATATTGATTAATCCTCCATGCCTCGATTACATTTGTAAGTAGAAGAAGAGATGTTTTGTTATGATAATATATGATGGTTCATCCAGTGAGTGTGCAGTGTAGTTTTTGTGGAAAGGAAAGTAGTGAAAGGTATATGCCAATTTTTTTTTTGGCATATAGAGCAAATTTGATGATAGGTGCATGCTCCCAGGTCACCTCTGTAAAGTTCACGCTGACTAATTTCACTTTAGGTTTCTGAATGACACCAATGAAGCCGCAATGACAATTCTGGACATCGGCCTGCTGACAGGGTTTGTACCAGATACAAGCGATCTGAAAAAGGTACGAGATCTGCACTGCAAATCTGAGAAAAGAACAAATGCATAACTTTCAGTAAAAAACTGAACTTTTCCCCTAAACTTTTACTTTGGGCTACTTTATGAAATATGAACTGTAGGATGAGTTGGAAAACGTTTGGTCTTTATTTTTGCAGCTGATGGGAACAGACAGGTACATCCAGGATTTTGAGGTGAACACACAACTTTCAGAACGCGGATCTCTCATCATTTACTTGAATAAGGTAATACTAATTGTCATCATCATTATGTTTTTATATATTTTATGCTTATCTGATCTGATTTTGTTACATTACTATAATCTGTTATGTTACTGGTAATTTTAACAGTTTATTGATTTAATGGTTTAGTGGTACTTTTTTATTATTAAATGTTACTATTATGATTTTTATTACTTTATTATAATATTTGATTTCTTTTTACTACTCAACTTTTTTTAATCCCTAATTTCTGTATTGCTCGGCTACATTGTAAATGAGGGTCTCCCTCTATGTATTCCGAGTTTAAAGGTTGATTGATTGATTGATTGATTGATTGATTGATTGAGACTTACTGAAAAGTATAAATTTAAGGATGTCCAGGCATATTTCAGTCAGGTTTCAGCTAAAATGAGCTCTGTACAAATCTGATCATCTGTTTCATTGGTCCCACTTTATATTAAGTGTCTGTAGTTACATGTGAACAACATATGCAACAAAAATGTAACTACTAAATGATTTGAGTTACAGATGGGTTACAGAAGTACACTTTATGTAATTACACGTCTACCAACTTCAATTTTGCCTCATTTAATTACACAAATGTATCATAATAGTTGTAACAGCCTATTCTCTCTAAAGTAATTACAAAAGGGTAATTTTTTTCTTAGAACATAAAGTGACTTTACTGCAGAATATCAAAGCTGGTAGCCAAATCATCAGATCAGACAATCAAAATTCATCATAAGTCAACATTAAACACTATAAATATAAAATAGTAATTTTGAAAAAAAAAAATAAAAAAAAAAGAAAGACTATAAAACAAAACACACCAGTCCAGTTTGTTTTAGCACATGCATATTATTCATGTGCTAAAACAAACTTGTTTTATTGTAATATTAATTGATGTCTAGAGCCTGTACTGGCTATCATGCTTGCTTATCAACAGATTTCGCTGAGTTATGTTTTTTATCTAAATTATACTTTATACTTTATAATAAGTATAATATAAAAGTAAGTCTCTCTCTCTCTCTCTCTCTCTCTCTCTCTCTCTCTCTCTCTCTCTCTCTTTCTATCTATCTGCCTAGGTTTCAAATGTAGTTAAAGAGAGAATTGTTTTCAGGATGCACAAGATGTTAGAGGTTGCTCTCCCTCAACCAGCAGGAATCGCAGTATATGAGTATTATGCTAAAGGTAAGAAGTTAAATGTATACAAAACAATCAGACCATCATAGACAAACAGTCCTTACAGTCCATATATGGAAACCAAGCTGCAAAAACTGCCTGTTTTGGGTGAAATGTTTTTTTACAATGTCACAAAAAACAGCACATTTACATACATTCATCACTTCAGCTACAGCAGTTTAGCCCTACCAACTCACACATGAGGATATACAGAGTGTTTCAGTCAGGACTGCTTTTTGAATGAGGCACTGTACACAGCAGCCAATCAGATTTAAATATATCAGCCTTATCAGCCTTAAAGTCACAGTAACAAAAACAGCCTGTTTAATTATAAGGCACAAAGACAGAATGGTCATGTAAACATTAATAGTAAATCTGTTTGGTACATAAACCTACACAAATATCATGAATAGACTACAAGGAATGCAGGGTAAATTTCATATATGAACCCTTTAATCTGTCTCTCTCTCACACACACACACAGTGCACACGCTTATCAGGTATTTGTATTTCAGAGAACCGCTGTGTGAAGTTTTATGACGTAGCTGAGCGAACGAGTGGAAAGCTTCACACCCTCTGCCCTACAGAAGTGTGCAGCTGTGCTGAAGGTAGGTTACAGCATGATGTTTACAATGTGTTAAAGTGAGGGCATATTACTGCTATTGGAATAAAACCTCATATCTCCAAAAAAGGAGAAGGAAAAACACCCAGCCCCATGTTATATTGTTTCCATTAACTGTGTAATTACACATTAATAACATATGCAAAACATTGTAACTACTGATGATTTAGTCAATGTTACAGAAGTGCAGCCTATGTAATTACACATGTGTATCAACTTCAGTTTTGTCTCATGTAATCACCCAAGTGTATCTACAGATCAGAAGTCTTTTCCAGCAGTTTAAGGAAGTATGTTTTACATTTATGTTTTACAGAATTACTGTGATATAACTGTGTTGTAACAAGGTAACCTAATCACATCACAATCACATGTACACGGTACCTTTATAACATCTACATAGGAAAATAGTAGTTGTTATAAAGGCACAATAGGTGGACAGTTCCTGTGTAGTTGTTATGTAAATACTGTGTAATAATGGGTAATATAGAGTGGTAATATAGAAATTGCTTTGGGTTTAATGCAACACATTTAATTAATGTCATAAAAGTTACATGTTAATATAAGGGGGCGTCTGCTGTTCTGTCACATTACAGAATGATTTAAAGCTCAAACTGGTTACAGTCACAGCACTAGCAATGTAAATGCTAGCTAAATGTTAGGAAAGCTGGCAGATACAGTGTAAGTAATGTCTTAATGTAAGTTATTAGATACTTCCTTTTACTGCTGTAAAAAAAATACTGAAAAATTATGCTCGTGTAATTACATGAGAGAGAATAAGCTGTTAGACAACTATTAAGATACACTTGTGTAATTACACAAGGCTGTACTTCTGAAATCCATCTGTAGCAGTGACTAAATCATTAGTAGTTACATTCATGTTGCATATGTTGTTTACATGTACCTACACAGTTATTAGTGACACAAACTAAAGTGGGACCAAACACCCTTAACTTGTAATGGAATTTTTATTCCATTATTTTAACACAATTCTAAGGGTAAATGGAATTTTCAAATTGCATTCAAAAGTAGAAATGACAAAAATGGAGGTACTAGATCTGTTAAATAAATGACCAGTAATGATGCTGGATTCCAGTATTAAATAAAAAGGTACTGTCCATAAATGTGCCCTCAAAATACACAACATAATCCAATCATGAACCTTCAGCGAGTGCGTATACATGCACTTAATAAACTGATAACTGCAGAAAACCAGACTTTTTCAGTAATCTATTAAACACATTTGCATGCTTAACCAGATATAGGGAGAAACTGGGTCTACACAGAGCCAATAAACTCACAGAAGAAGATGTGACGTAAAGGTGATATAACTTCATGCACCTTTTTTTAAAAAAAAAAATCATGCCACTTTACCTGAAAATATTAACATACATCATCTAGAACATGAAAAATACTTTCTATGACAATGTAGTCTGTTAAAGTGTCACTCCAAAAGTGATTTGCTGTGTCTTGCAGCAACACTGCTTGCTTATTTCTGGTACCGCCATTTATTTTCGCACTTGCTCAGACTGAGAAATCTGAAAGAAATCAGAGTAAGAGTTCACATGCACTGAGAAATCTGATTACTGAGCTAATATCCAGCCTCTTTATCAGATTTCTTAGTCAAATTTCTAGACCTTACTCTGAACTAAGAAATCAGAGTGTGCTGTTTACATGACTATTATAATAATCAGATAACTGATGAAATCCAGTTGTGATCAGACTATTACATGCATGTGAATGAATGTGCTTTTGAAAGGTATATTTCATTGACTTTCCCAGTGGAAATGGGCATATATGAGCATTTTAAAAACCTATCTTTTTGAAATAGCCAAATAAAAATAAAAGCTCGGAGTCAAGACAGGGTGTTTGGAGTCAGTGTAACTTAATATATAACTGTGAAGGGATGTGGTACAATTAAGCTCCCTGGACAAAATATTTGTGTGCATAATTTCATCCCCACTACTTGATTAAGCATTTAATCAACCAATCTTGTCAGGTAAGGATACATCAATCTCTGGATTTCCTGTCTATTTTAGTCCACTATTCCCTTAATTTTGTGCTTCATGTCCAAGCAGAACACATCATTGACATTCCCACATTCCAGGATAACCACTGTAGGATGACTGTATGTGACTGATGTTTTTCTGCATATGAGTTGTATTACAAAAAAGTATAAAAACCTCATTATTAGTAAAATCAATACTTTATATCATATATTTTAATATATGATATACTTTTAATAATAATAATTATAATAATAATAATAATAATAATAATAATAATAATAATAAGCTGTTACAAGTGTCTAAAACATTATTTCTTCCTTTAAGAGGTTATGGTTAGGTTTGTGCTTAGTATGAGAATATGTGTGTGTGTGTGTGTGTGTGTGAGAGAGAGAGAGAGAGAGAGAGAGAGAGAGATAGAGAGAGGCATCTGGAGCATTAATACTAAAAAATACATTTTAAAAAGGGCAATAAAGAATAAACCAACCTTAAAACAACCTTTTTTTCACACTGGAACTGTTACTCCACTTATAGCGAACTGCCCTCAGCTGAAAGGTCCTTCTGTCCCGGAAGAAAATGAGCGCACCAATGAAGCCTGTCGCAAAAAGGATTTTGGTAGGGACCCTTTCTCTGTGTGTTTGGGGCTGATGTACATTATCATGGAGAAATCAACTTTCAATGGCTAGATAAAGACAGGTCCTTTATGAAAATAAGCAATATTCTCTTTATTGCATTTATAACTTCCATTTTAAGAAAAAAAGTACATTATCTTTTTTTTCTTTTACTTTCTAGACTGTCATCACTTTACTGTTTCTTTTTTGTTTTGTGTTCAGCTTACAAGGCAACTCTGAAAGAAGTTAAGCTATCTAGGTCCACAATCATCTACGTCTTCACCATAGTAGAAGTTCTTTTAGCAGGTGAGTTACTTTGTCAGGGAAATCCAAGATCAGCACTTTTAGTTGTTTATGAGTACTAAAGTTAGCACTATTGGAACTGAATTAGGTTTACCAGAGAAGGTTGTGTTATGTAATGTGTCAGGATTTGACTGGCTGAGTGGTTCAATAACAGTCATTACCAATAACAGGGCGCACAGCCATGACTAAGAGCAAGTTGTGATATTCCATTATTGTGAGGTAGATTGGAACAGGACTAGTATTACTGAGTGTGTTCTGAGTTTAGTCAGTTACAGAAGATCTTTCACTCCACAGTTACTACTGTTCATCTATAAAAACTACACACACTGTAGATTCATACTGGATTAAATCCACAGATCTGTAATCACTTGAATTACACGACTGATTCAGCTCTTGTAGGACAGGGCTTCCCAACCCTGGTTCTGGCCCAACACTGCACATTTTTGTGCTGTGTCTCATAGAGCACACCTGATTCAATTCAGTATCTTACAGGGGTGTAAAGAGTACTGAAAATCCCTGTTTAATTAAAAGTACTGTTACTGTAGTGATAATTTACTCAAGTACAAGTAAAAGTATTAGTAAATAAAATTATTCAAGTAAGAGTAAATAAGTAGCTTCACATTTCTGAGAGCTGAGACTGATCACAGTCCGTGGTGCTAGAGCACATTACAAACCTTACTGTGAACAAGGCTTATATTAAACTGCATGTGTTTCATGGTTATACAGGACGTCCTAGTTTATCTGTTTCCAATAAAGTATTTTAGAGTCTCTGAAAGGCTGAGCAGAGGCTGTTACAGTTTAATTAAGTTAATTTAAGAGAAAAACCTGAGTCAAAATTATGAGTAAACTGCTTAATTAATAATTCAATTTTAGGTGTCAGTCCTGCTGCCCATCAGCTGGACTCTAGCTTACATTAATAGGTGTGAACTTCTACATACAATAAACATATTCACAGCCTTCACACTGTTTATTTTCACTGTTATCTGTTCAGAACATTTACACCATTAACAATCAGCAGCAACATCAGCAATTAACCCAGATTTTTACTGTAATATATTTCACTATTAATCATGCTGATCACTTCATACACAATCAGACATTATTACTGCATTTAACAGCTAAACAGCAAAACAGCATCTCAGAGATAAAGACAAACACCCAGGCAAAGAGAGAGAGAGAGAGTGAGAGAGAGAGAGAGAGAGAGAGAGAGAGAGAGAGAGAGACAGAGAGGCAGAGAGAGGGCAGGGAGAGATCAGGTCAGGCCAGTCAACAATAGCACGACAGAATTACTGCTCAGAATTTATGAAGAACCTGTATGAGACTAGATTTCTTGTCTCACAGCCATTCATGACAATTTATCTCCAAAACTGCAGCTAAATTAGGCTCTATAAATGGTAGACTGTGGGCTGTGGACGACACCTGTTAATTAAAGTATCTGACACGGTACCTGTTTAGCTCAGATCAGCTAACTAAAGACTAATGCTGCCTCAGGCTGGAGTCGAGTTGTGAGAGCGGATCTCAGCAGGTTTCGCTTTTGGCTGCTGATAATAATGCCGTTTTCTTTAGTTCATGTTAATCGAATACAGATGACCGTTTGGACATGGTCTGTTCCTCATGTGTGCTGGTTAAGTTCTCCTCTGTCCTTCACTAAACTTGACATCTCTGTGGTGTTTTTCCTGCTGGAGCTGCTGTTTCTTGATTGGTGAATCTTGTAAATTTAACCACATTCCGCACTTATTGGTTTCTGAGCTGATATGCTCATAATTTATTTTTACTCTGTAACATTATGAAAATTAAAATAGCAAAGTAAAAGTATTTAGTTAAAAATGAACTCAAGTATGAGTAAAAGTACTATGATTTAATTTTACTTAAGTACCGTTACAAGGAAAACTGTACTTAATTACAGTAACAAGAGTATATCTAATTTGTTACTTAAATTCTGGTATCTAATTATTAAGCCCCTCATTGGCTGGGTAAGTTGTGTAGAGAAGACAGACCACAAAAATGTGCAGAGCAAAGGGTCTCCAGGACTGCGATTGGACACCTGCTTTAAGGCATAAGATGCCATGAGCTGTGACTATGTTGGCCAATAGTCATTAAATTGAAGACATTTCATAATGCTATTTATCATTATTGTGATATTTAATAAAAAAACACTTTCAGCAACTTTAGCATTTATGAAGATTCTTTAGTCCCTTACATGGTATCCAGATGTTTTTAATATCATTAAAGTACATAGATATACAGTACAGTCTCTTTAAACCAGATGCCATTGGTTGTGACCTACAATGACCTACAATCATTAATACTGTGTTAATGATTAATTGTCCTTAAAATAAAAGTCATTAAGATTTATTAAAGTGTTCTTAATAATCACTAAATGCATTTTTAAATGGAACAATCAACCAAGAAAAGCATCATAGTTCCAAACTCTACCACCCCTTCCAAAATAAAGTGGGCATTATTGTTCTAACAGTGCTAATAGAATCAGTCTCATCATGCATCTGCAATTTATTTTATTTATTAATAAAACATGTGTTTGATTTTCTCAGGATCTGATCCAGTTCATCCCAAACGTCAGATTAATTTTTTGGCTCATTCTCAGTGCAAAGGTAAACTGGACCTGAAGGTGGGCAAAGACTACCTGATCATGGGGCCTGAGCCAAAGAAGGTTGCAGGAAGGTAAGAAACAATTCCAAGAAAGAAAGAGAAGTGTTTATCCATCTACTTTTATAATGCACTTAGGTTTGACCACATAAACTGACTGGTTGAGGAGTGTTCTACGCTTGCCGTTATACCTGATAAGACCACAGTTTTTTAATCATATTTGTTTCTTTCCACTAACCACTGGTAAATAACAGCAATATTTATAAGTAAAACTATGGACAACACTAAAAATTTCCCGTTTTAAAAACATATTCATTTAAAGCCATTATAAAATACTCCATATAATGTAGTGTTGAAGATGCTCTCAAGAAACTTGAAGGAGTCAACGTTCTGGTCCATGACTTAGATTTAATGTAGTTTTAATGGGAAAAGCGCACAGAATAGGAAAAACGCAGTGCTAATTGCTAGCTCTAGGCTCTTACTGCTCAGACTCACTAAGAAGCTTACTACAGCAATGAACAACACACTGCTCTTCAAAGTCCCTGCAAGAATGAGCCTAATACATGAACAAAATAACATAAAATAAACATGAACACAATTGTTTTTGTAAACAAACATAATAGAACAGGTGTGACTGATGGACATTGTTCCCCCGGGAGTAGTGACCTCACTGCTTTCCAGCTCCATCAGACAAAGTCTTGGAAAAGAGCCCGTTGCCTCCTCTAGCGTCCCCCTGGGCTCGGCATCTGAGCTGGCCGCTGCAGCTATCAGGGTGTCATGGTCCTCCAGGGTTCACTGAGGAGTGTCGTGGGGACTCCACAGCTGCTGGGCAGGGAGCCAGTTGTGCACCAGCAGTGCCGGGGAGCCTGGGGATCATCATTGTGGAGGGTCCCAATGTAAAAACAATAAGGCACTGAATTTTGGTGCGCTCCCAATACACCACATCTGGGTTCCATCCATTCATGGTCCCACTTGGGAGAGCAGCCAGTTTCTCTCCACTGGTTAAAAATGCCGGCCCTTGACCCGCAGATCACAGTTCTCTCCATCGTCCATTGCATTGTTGATGCTTGTGAGGATGACAGTAGTGAGCTGTTTCCTGTCTATGCTGCACTTGATCCAGCAGCTGATGATCTTTCTAACTGGTTTCTTTTTCCTCAGTGGCTTAGGTTTGCAGCACTGACTGATGCAATGTCCTCTCTTCCTGCACCACCAGCACACCAGTCGCTCTGCTGCCACTTGCTTGGGGGCCATGTGGCACCTTCTCAAGCTCTGCATTCTGGCCTCTCCAGAGCTGGAGTCTCAGCCTATCCACCATCCCTGCCAGCACAAGAGCCACCGTGTGCACTCTCCTTGGCAGTAGGCACCACCAGTCCAAGCTGGTCCCTATGGACCACAACAGTCTGTCTCTATGGACCACAAGCAGCTGCCACACATGCTTCCCAGGCATTCCCAGGCAATATCTCACATGTGTTACAGCATCTTGTTAGCCAGCCAGCATGAAGTTCCTTGGTGGTGGGCCCATGTGGCATCATGCCTGCCCAACCCATTTCCATCTTACCTGGAGCCATCCACATGCCCAAGAGAGATGTGTTTCTTTCTGAGATGTATCTTCCTCCTTGGTGTGATGGAGCTCCTCACAGATCACAGCATCAAGAGGTGGCATTTTTCAAATGCAGCCAGCGGTTTGAGACCTTAGTTAGGTTTTAGGAAATATCCAGGAGTACCCACATGTGAGCAAGCCATCAAAGTGTGTGTGGACCAGTACATTGTGTAAGTAGATCCGTGGGAAAATCGGCAAGCATTTGTTCCATGAAACACTTCAACATGGCCAGTGCATAATGAAGGTCTATGGCCATCACCGTGAGCTAACCCCAAGCTGGTGCCGAGCATGAATGCTGTTTTTTTTTTTGGCATCTGTTGCGAGTGCCACTTGCAAGTATTTGCTCCACATGTCCAGTGAGCTGAACCATGTGTAGCTAGCAAATTTTAGCAAAAAATGCAGAATTCCATAATTTACATATAGACAGGAGGTAGCCATTTTGAGAATCAGCTACGTTTATATAATAAATCCATCATTAATTTAATAAGTGGGCTGTAATTCAACAAATCCATAGAATGCCGCAAATGCAGTGAGAAATCAGGAATCAGAACTGTGTTCTTCTGTGTTTTTCTAACCAGCATGTTAATAACTGGCAAAAACAGTTTTACTGTTTTAAATTAGATAAACTGTTTTAAGCAATTTTCTAGGCTGCCTCTGATTTTTGTACAGTATTGTACAGATTCATTTACAATTAAACTAAACTTATGAGAAAGGGAATCTATTGTTACTTAGATGCCCAAATTATTTATTTATTTAAGGTACTTTTATGTTCCTGCAGTCATTATTTCACTGAAGTAACAATACTTGTTCTTGGGTGTAGGCTATATTACATCTCGTCCAAATACTGTTGATAGACATCAATAACCTCCTCTAAAACTGTCTTTTAAGTTTCTTTTGTTGCTGTTTGCATTTAATAGCTAGCTAACATTTATGTGCATCTGTAGCCAATCTTTTTTTTCTACAACCCCAATGCCAAAAAAGTTGGGACGCTGTATAAAATGTAAATAAAAACAGAATGCAATGATTTGCGAATCTCATAGATCCATATTTTTATTCACAATAGAACACAGAACATATATCAGATGTTGAAAGTGAGACATTTTACCATTTAATAAAAAAGACTATCTCATTTAGAACTTGATGGTAGCAACGCATCTCTAAAAAGTTGGGACAGCGCCGTGTCTACCATTGTGTAGCATCCCCTCTTCTTTTAACAACAGTCTGTAAACGTCTGGGAAGTGAGGAGATCAGTTGCTGGAGTTTTGGGAGAAGAATGTTGTCCCATTCTTGTCTGATGTAGGATTCTAGCTGCTCAACAGTCCTGGGTCTTCTTTGCTGGATTTTTGGTTTCATTATGTACCAAATGTTTTCTGTTGGTTAGAGGTCTCACTGCATGCAGGCCAGGTCAGCACCCGGACTCTTCTTCTGCAAAGCCATGCTGTTGTGATGGATGCAGTATGTGGTTTAGCATTGTCTCACTGAAATATGCAAGACCCTCTCTGAAAGAGAGGTATGTTGTTCTAAAAAACCGATGCAATTCCAGACCATCAGAGATGCAGACTTTTGAACTGTGCGCTGATAACAAGCTGGATGGTCTTGAGTCTTTATGACACGGTGTCCGTGGTTTCCGAAAACAATTTCAAATTTTGATTCATCTGACCACAGAACAGTTTTCCATTTTGCCTCAGTCCATTTTAAATGAGCTTTGAAAAGCCCAGAAAAGATGGCAGGATATCTGGGTCATGTTGACATATGGCTTCTTCTTTGCATGATACAGCTTTAACTTGCATTTGTGGATTGCACGGTGAACTGTTTTCACAGACAATGATTTCTGGAAGTGTTTTCTGAGCCCATTTTCTGATTTCCAGTACAGAATCATGCCTGTTTTTAATGCAGTGCTGTCTGCGGTCCTGAAGATCACAAGCATCTAATATTGGCTGTCAGCTTTGTCCCTTGCTTACAAGGATTTCTCCAGATTCTCTGAATCTTTTGATGATATTACGCACTGTAGATGGTGGGATATTCAAAGTCTTTGCAATTTTATTTTGAGGAACATTTCCACATTTTTTTGAAACAGCTTATCTTTGCTACTGAAAGTCTCTGCCTCTCTAAAATCCCCTTTTTATACCCAGTCATGTGAGTTAGTTGCAAATTGCTCCTTCAGCTGTTTTTTATTAGTACCACTTACTTTTCCAGCATTTTGTTGTCCCTGTCCCAACTTGTTTGAGATGTGTTGCTGCCACCATGTTCTAAGTGAATTAATGTTTTTCATGAAATGGTAGAATGTCTCACTTTCACCATCTGATATGTGTTTTATGTATCTATTGTGAATAAAATATGTTTTTTGAGATTTGCAAATCATTGCATTCTGATTTTATTTACATTTATTTATATTTTACACAGCGTCACAACATTTTTGGAATTGGGGTTGTACATTCTGAAAGTAGCCCAAAGGACTGAACCAAACAACATTCAAATTTTTAACCATGACTACATTTTCAAACCAGCCTAAATTGGTGGGAAACCGGAAACCTGACAACTCTGTCCACTGGTACTCTTCAGTCGTAATTCACTGGCATGTACAGTTCGTGCCTTGTTTGTGGGCAGGACTGAACAGTTTCATGTAAATAGGAGGGGGGGGTAGGACATACAGAGGCTCTTTGGATGCTTACTCTTTGCCAAAAACAACAACAGAAATAGAAACCTTTAGTTTTATAAGTATGTGGTAAAAAATATTTTATTAATGATGATAGGGTAATAATTTAATATTGAAAAAAATCAATGTTATAATGATTTTAGGGCCCCTGTCAGTCACAGGCCCTTATAATTTCCCACCTCACCCCCACCCCCATTACATTAATTTAAATGTGTAACTTTCAACAATTCAACAGGAATACAGACTCACATCACTGGAAGAAAAGTTCAGTTAACCACATGAGAAAAAAAGTTCATTGCCGCCTTCCTTTAGAAGAGCCACATGAAGTAGGCTAAGGTTAAGATGCGTTAACATTAGTGATGTAATCATTTATCATATTGTCAAATTATTTTTCAACTGAATACATGTGTGGTTTTGATAAACTGGGCCAGACTCCTTATGGGATATGTCTAATAAAATAAGTTATCCAGGCCTGGTGTTAGAGGTTCATAACCCACATCTATTTGTACTTGCTTCAATAGCAACGAGTGGCAAAAGCAATCAAAGTGAAACTAAAGCAGAAGCAGCACATGTAACGTTTAGTTTCACTTTGATTGCTTTTGCTGCCCGCCACTACAGAAGTATATATAAATATAGTAATATAAAAGATTACATCAATTACTTGAGTAGGGTCTGGATGCATCATTTTGCACTGGCTGCATTACATGTCATGGGAAGATAAATCTGCAGATTTACTGAAAGCGTTTGGTGACTTACTGTAAACATGGCTCTCCTGTTGATTCTCTCCTGAAAATTTATATGGGTCCTTAGCTTTTCTGTCTATGGCATGTGAATGCCACAGAGCCCTCCCACTCCCAGTTCCCCATTGCAGAACAAAATCATGAGTGGGGGGCATCCATGGAGGAACTGGGGGTGGGAGGGCTACAGAGACTACTTTTGTGTACATCAAGCTGCAAACATATGTCAATCTATGCACATTTTCACATCAAAATCCTGTTTTATAAATTATTATTTAAACATACATTTTCACGTATGGCCATTGCATGCATATGAATATTTTAAAAATGAGGCCCCTGATCTTGACATGGAGCCGATACTGTGTAATAATCACATTCTAGAACTGCAGCTACACACATGCTAAAAGAACTTTCTCTGCATGACTCTTGGAGAGTCTGCACTTAGTTGCGAAAGGCTTAAAGCTGCTGTGCTGCTCATGGAATAATGCAAAAAAACATAGCCTGTTAACAAACTATATTGCTTGATGGATATATTATTTATTATAATTACTGTCAATGATTAATTTTTTTAATATATATTTTTTAACATTTTTGTATTTTGTCATTATATTTTGTTACCCTTTTATAATAGCATTATCATACGCAATGCTATGTTTGAAAGAAATTTTACTATGATTAAGTGAATTTTGCTTCTCTTCATTTTGTGCCTAACAACATCCCTTATTGGTGTAGCACTGTAATGCACAGCCTCTTGTGGTTTATTGCTTTAGTAAAGCGCATCGATGTTTGTTGCTATACAGCCTAATTTAGACAGTGTTAAATGTACATGGGGTCCTGCAATAATTTCCTTTTTACAGGAGCTACTATGTGATTGTATTTCCATCCGGATCTGCATTTTTCTCCCTCCTCCCCTGAGAAAATTACAGGCCAAAATGCCTACTTATTTTCACTAATCATTTTGGCTCTGATTCAATAGACATCTCTGTCATTTTCCAGGCAGATTTCATTGCTGTTCAGATGTGAGTTTTATCAGAGGAGATGTGTGAAACTCACCTTCAGATCAGTGTATCACAATACATCAATGCATCATTTTTTACACCACTAACCAGTTTACTAGTGAACCAGTAAAGATTTCTCAGTGATTACTGTGCTGTTGGACAAGCTTTACGGGATGCTGGTAAAAATCCCATTCAACCTAAGGCATTTAGGCTGGAGATTAGACTCTCTACTGCTACACTACTGAGATGGACAATGTTGTCATAGATAATTGAAATTAAGCTGATTTTTATTACTTACATTCAAAACATTAATTACCAAATGACGAATATAATATCATAGTTTTTGCAGTGTTTAGTGTGTCATTTTTTGACCCCCAGCTTTGGAAGCTCCTGTTTTTTTCACTAATGTACCTTTGACATTCCTCTTATACAAATGGATTATCTTTTCTTCTCAGAAATGCCTCCCAAAAATGAATAACTTAATGGCTGTTGACTAGAAATAAATATTAAATAAATCATTGAAATGAGGTGTGGAGAATATGAGTGTCTGTTATTAGGAATAGGATTTAAACATATTAAGAGAAGAGAATGTAAGTTTCTTCAGACATGCAGACATTCTTTAACTCTATATATCATATTGTTTCTTTTCAGTTATCGCTATGTGCTTGTATCACAGACCTGGATAGAATACTGGCCCACCTCCAGAGAAGGCCAGGAGAACAAGAACGACAACAGAGAGAGATATAAGGGTCTGGCAGGACTCAGCCATCTTTTAGACACGTTTGGATGCTCAACCTAAACTTGTTTATAAAAGTATACATGGACATGTGGATTCAGATTGTAGCAAATTCCTATATGCTTCTCTGGTCACATGTATGCTTTCCCTTGATCACTAACTTTCATTAATTACAACAATCATGTAACTATTGCCTGCACTCTTTTTTGTCTTTCTGTGTTTGGCACTGACATTTTTATTATACTGGTTTAAATGATTACTTTGTGCATTTCTGACTTTGCTGGATATGCACTGCTTCACATGTCCATGAGATAGTATATTATACTCATAAATAAATAAATAAATAAATAAATAAATAAATCATTGGGGGCATCAAATGTCTGTGTGGAGATGCTGTGTGTGCCATGGTTATTCTAATGCCATTGTCCATTATGTATCTTAATGAATATTTGAGCAATTTTACCAATAAAAGTAAGTAGCTTGATTTATATATGCACAAGACTTGTAGGAGAAAGAGGTCCACCAGGGGATTTTATTCTCCTGGAAATGTTTTGGGGTCAGCTGATCTGGATTCTACTGGGGGGATAGCAGTACATTTGGTTTTGACAGGGGGAAATATTATTGGCTATAGCTTGGTTTAAATTATTGTGCTTGTTTTAATAGTAATAATAAATGATAAAATAATAAATGATTTTATGCAATGTTGTTAATATGACATTAATTTATATTTTAAATGTCTATTATGCTGTCATTTGCCTTTTGTCATAGCTTATTGCCAATGTGATACTTAACACATGAATTTCCACGTTCCTATTTAATTCAACTCAGTTGAAACTTAGCTGCAAAGATGTAAGCATCTCAACTTTATGAAACAAGTTTCCTGAAACAGCCAATCAAAACAAGAATAATGCATCATGAGACCACATAAATCAACATATTTTCAAACCATTACACCAGGTTAGTGGACATGAAAATAAAATCAAAGATGGCTTATTCAGCAGCTGATTAGATTATATTAGATTAACTTTATGGAACCTTTATGTGGAAATGTGTCTGTGTTGAAATGCAGATACACAAATGGGCAAATAAAATGCAAATTTTACATTAAATACATGAATGATTGTTAAAACATACAAACCCCATTTCTGGAAAGGTTGGAACATTTAGTAAAATGCAATAAAAACAAGAATCTGTGATTTGTCAAATCTCTTCATTCTTTACTTAAATGACAAAAGAACAAAGAAATTACTTTTAATGTTTAAGCTGACCAACATGATTGTAAACATAAACAAATCTTGAATTTGATATATGCAGCATACTCAAAAAAGGTGGGACATGTGCAAAATAATAGTGCAAAGTTTATAGAATATTCAGTTTACACCATTTTGAAACCTTTCACAAAAAGCAGGCGAATAAGCAACCTTACCAAGTAAATATAGGTCATGGCTCACCACTTTGTGCCAAATTGTCAAACAGTTCAAAAGAAGCATTTCTCAACATAATTTCACTTACGATTTTGTTAGTTATATTAAGGTTTAAGAGAATTAACAAATCATAGATTCTTATTTTATTGCATTTTACAAAATGTCCCAACTTTACCAGAAACTGAGGTTTGTATTATTATTAACAACAATAATAATAATAATCATCATCATCATCATCATCATCATCGTTGACCACTTAATCCAGATAGGGTCGCAGTAGCAGTTGGGAGAGCAGAGAATCCCAGACGACCGTGTCCCCCGCAACTTCCTCCAGCTCATTCCCGGGGACCCCAAGCTGCTCCCAGGCCAACTTGGAGATATAATCCCTCCAGCAGGTCCTTGGACGACCCTGGGGTCTTGTCCCAGTAGGCCGTGCCTAGTACACCCCCACCGGGAGGTGTCCAGGGGGCATCCGGATCAGATGCCCAAACCACCTGTAACGGGTTTTGCAATTTTTAATATTATTATTGCTAGAACCTTATGTGAGGGTGTGAGGTAACCCGGATTTAGTTGAAGTCTACAGACCAGGGCAAGAGAGAGAAACGCTCGCACCAAGGATGCTTCAGAAAAGAGAATTTATTGGCTAAATATTAAACTACTTTTGGACTACATTCAATGATAAACAATAGAAAATAAAACCAGAAAACAAAACAAAACAAAGTGATAGTAATGAAAGACAAAATAGCTTGAGTAAGCTAAGAGTGATTCACGGCTAAATGGTATGAGGCAGTGTGGTTTGGGGAGACGCTTGGGAGAGCCTCTAGAGAATTAATCTAAGCCTGGATGGGAAGAACTATATGGCTGGATGTACCTATAAAAATTCTCGGTACCACTTTAAAATAAGACTACCTTTATAAAGGGTTTATAAATGGTTTAAAAATGGGTTTATTAATGGTTATTAATTAGGTTGTAAACACCTTAAAACCCATTAGTAAGCAGATATAAGACATAAGTAGAAAGGGCAACAGTGGCCTGTTGTTTGCCAAATAGTGAGCCCACATCCATTTTTACGGTTAAACTTCAGATCTTGTCGGATTCTAATCTTACTTTGTCTTCTCCGTCAGTCAGCATTTGACCTGTCAGCTTCATCACACATTTTTTAATCATCATGTTGGGAAAGAGAACTGGGAAAACTAGAGGACTAATTTAATTTCAAGCAGCTCGCTATATAGGCTTGTACATTGTGTGCTGCTGTGTCTGATCCACTCGTAACAGGGCAACACACACTAACACACCACCACAACGTCAGTTTCACTGCACTGCTGAGAATGGTCCAACACCCAAATAATACCTGCTCTGTGAGGGTCCATGGGGGGTCCTGACCACTGAAGAACAGGGTAAGAAAGTATGCAGAGAGACAGAGGGACTACCGTCTGTAACTGTAGAACTACAAAGTTGTGCGCATGTTTACATACAGTATGAGTGCCTCAAATGGCCAAAAAAAAAAGCTTGGAATGGGGTATCTATTTTGAGGTTGTAGAAAGATATGGGGACAAATGTATTGGCATGCATTAATAATGTCAGTTTACTTTTCTAAAGCTCAAAATGTACAGTACAGATCTGAGTCAAACCTAGTGTTGACACTTTGACATTGTACAATAGATTCAAGTTAGAATAAAGAACAAATCATGTGACTTGAAGATATAGTCTGTTATATATGCATATATTTATAAATACAATATACATTGAGGTGAGTTAAATGGCCAAAACTAATAATTTCTAAAAACTAAAAACTGATTCAGCCTTGGTGTTGACACCTGTCAGACACTGTAGAATCAGGTTGGAAAGAAGGATATGTCATGAGCTTTAGTAAAGATATAGAGCCAATTGGTAATTATCCTGTACATTTGGGTGGTTACCTTACAACAACTCAACATTTCCACCACCTGTTTCATAATTTGTGTAGACACCTGTAATATTTTGCAAAGAATCAGCTTATTTTGAAATTAAATTCTGCAACACATTGAAACACAAAATCCAAACTCTACCATAAGAAGGACGTGCCCACCATAATTTACAGGCAATAAATTACATTGTTATGGCCTTGAGTTAGACCAATTTTACAAGTCTCACTATCCAACAAGTTATAAATATGTGTTTTTCCAGACTGTAACTGCTAACTGACTAGCACAGTCTGGTCCCAGTATTTATACTTGTTAACCTTTTTGTGGATGTGAGCCTTTATGGCTGACTGGCAGAAATGTCACCAACATAGATCAGCTACATGAAAGACGTGAATGTGGCTAGTGAATATGACATGAAATCTGTAAATTGGAGCTGTCAGTGTTGTATTTACAATGGCTAGTGATTATATTTTTTACATTTATCCTAAAAATTAATTGAGTCTGAGCATGGCTTTGAGATTTTTTACCAGTCAGCCAGTCTATTGTGGTCAGATGGCAAGAGCAAAAATTACAATGTAGAGTTTGAATTAAGCAAATGTTCTGCCATTCTAATTTTTATAATGTCTGTTTGTTATAATGTCTAGCCCCTACTGCAACAGTACTTCTTAACAAGGAGAAACAAGAACTGACCTTTCTAAAGGAGAAGTTGGAATGGCAGAAGAAGAAGATTGAAGAACTGGAAGAAGAGAGAGCTTTTCTCCGTGGACAGTTGTCTGCCCTCACAGGTACATGGCTAGAATTAGCTAGTTTCAGACATCAACAAAAGAGTTACAAGCATTATATGATAAGTACTGGGCAATAGAAAATAACCTAGCCTCACTTTTAAGTATATGGACCACTTCTGTGAATGAAAGTATTTACAGTATGTGTATATAATAATAATAATAATAATAATAATAATAATAATAATAGTAATAATAATAATCTGTAGAGTAGAATCTTTTCATGCCAGTGGTAACTTAAAGTACTTTGCAGACAGGTGATAATGTTTAACAATAATACAAGAAATTCTAAGTATTAATTTAAAATTATATAGCATTACACAAGACAATGACACAAATCAAATTAAAAGAATTCAAATAGACTTAGAATTTTAATTAAACACTGAAGAGATGCATTTTCAAATGTTTATTAAAAGTGAGCACTGAGCTTGACTGTCTAATAAAATGTGAACTGAGCTCCACAGTTTAGAAGCAGAATAACAGAAAGAGTCTCTCCACGTTTTCTGTATTTTATGGAAGGAATTCTGTTGATTCATTTTATTATGAAAATGAATTGCAAACTTCACAACTTTTAGAAGATAAATCACCATGAGACACACTAGCAGACAAGTTAGGGTTAATTAGTTGGTCTGTGGTAGAAAAACGCTTGTTGGTATTATCTATATGTTTATTAATTACACTAGGGAAATATGACTATCTGGATATTTTCATGGCAGTATTGTAGGTGGAGATCTGCTCTTTGAGAATAATGTACCTGCAGTTTAGTTTTCCTCCATAAGTGCTCTGATTAACAACAGTTTCTCTTGAGCTGGTGTATTTTCTCATTCATCCATGTATTTTTATGAGTATGCAAGTTTTCTTCCATTCGACTGGAGCGAGAGCTAGCACTTAGAGACCGAATCACTACAGGAAGTAATCAGAGCTGTATTCGATGAATTGTTATAAATGTTTTTAAACTTCTCAACTGTCACTTTCAGGCACATTCTTCCTATAATAATAGGTAATGAGTTAATGTGTTTGTTTTTTTTTGTACTTTTCAGTTAAAACAAAGGAAGAAACCATGGACATTCCAGTCACTGTGAATGATTCTGAAAGCTCTGATACATCATCCATGTCCGCATCCTCATCCTCTTTATCCTCATCCTCATCTTCAACCCCCAAGAAGCGCAAGCACAAATCCAAAAAGAAGCACAGCAAGGGTGCTAAGAAACACAAGAAAGAGCACAAGACGTTTCAACAGCGTGGTAAGCTGCAAATAATTGTTACAGAGGTGTTTATGCACTGGCAGCATGTATAGGTCATGCAAAAACATTCTTCTTTAGGTTTAGAGTTAAGTCTTGATTTCAGAATTCAGCCTGTTGCTATTAGCCTTCTAAGGTATAGAGTCATAGATGGTAGTTAGCTATGCTAGCTGCCCCAGAAATAGTAACCATGAAATTTTGGATCTTGCTTAATTTGGCAAATTCTTATAACTCATAACCGACTGTAATTGGTTGGCGATTTACTGTTAACTTGCAGGCTTAAAATTAAGGATTCAATTCATCAAAATATCATTTATAAAATGGGCTGTTATGGCTCTGAAATCTGATAGCTTGGACTATGTAAAATAGTTGTATACTTGCACTTAAGAGTGTGTACTTCAATTGAATTTAGTATTAATGCACTGAGATTTTAGAAAGTGTTCCTTTCATTGGCCATGGACATACTGCTGATAGGTCGGACCAGGCATAGGCATGTGTATGAAGTAAACGGCCCATAAGCATACCATACGTAGGAGTTTTGATTTAACTGTGGGGCTGGCAACTTTAATGTGATCCTAATTACATGACCAAAAACTAAAAAGTTGAAAGAATGACTGGAATATAGAATAGGATACTGAAAGTTTTAAATTCTCATTGTATGTCACAGTATGTCACAATAAGCTTTTCTGGGCATATAAAGGACATTGTTAATACTTAAAAACATTTCTCAGCTGCAAAGAGGGCAAAATTAGTTGTGTTTTGCTGGATGTAACTTGACACCTGTTTGTCTGTTTTTAACTAATCATATTGCCCAACTTTAGTTGAAGCACGATTGACTACTACGATTTTCTCTGCAGTGAAACCTTTTTACAACATGTCTCTGTTTTTTCCTGTCTAGTACAAACACCAAGTGAAATTGTATGCTGCTACAAATCCATCCTTAAAACATTACCAAAAGCAAAGACCATGACCAGGGCCTTCCAGAAGCATGCCATTGACAGGAACACTGTGGTGTCCACTTCAGCGATTGGAGAGCTCGCTATTGCTGCTCCTGAGGTATATGAAAAGGTACTGGCCAAGAAGCCTGGTGGAGAGACAGTGCTGGCCTTTGCTAAGCGGTGTGAGGCTGCTATTCAAGGAGATGAAGATGTGAAAGAGAAAATAGAAAGCATGAAGGCTGGGTGTACACTTCTCCCCATTAGGAGAAGCAAACCTGTTTAATGGCTGTTTGCACTTGGTTGTGTTAAAAGTTTAGGTGGCATGTTGTTTTAAGTTAAAGTGAAAACCAAAATTTAAAATGCAGCAGTACGTGAGGTTTGTTTTTGGTTTGTTTAGGTTTTTACTGAAAACGGTTTGTTTTTTTAGGTAGAGACTTGGTAAACATTTAGACGGATTTAATTTAAAATCTGATATAAGGAATGTGGTGAGTAACATTTTGTTTATTTCAAAGACATTTTTATTTAAAGAGTAAATTACCATAATATAGGTCTATGCACTTTTAGTTGACAGTTTAAATGTCAGTTTCCTTTGAACTTTGTATTTTGTTGTGCAAATAAAACTATTTTTCTCATTTCTGTTGTCATGACATTGTGAAGATTTTTATTGCATAAATGTAAACACATACTAAATGAGTGTTAATAAGTGATTAACTAATGGTGAAGTGTTTTACGCTTTAAAATAAGGCTCCCTTTTGGCAGTTATAAGTGTTAGTAACTGATTAACAAACGGTGAAGTGTTTTACGCTTTAAAATAAGGCTCCCTTTTGGCGGTTATAAGTGTTAGTAACTGATTAACAAACGGTGAAGTGTTTTACGCTTTAAAATAAGGCTCCCTTTTGGCGGTTATAAGTGTTAGTAACTGATTAACAAACGGTGAAGTGTTTTACGCTTTAAAATAAGGCTCCCTTTTGGCGGTTATAAGTGTTAATAACTGATTAACAAATGGTGAAGTGTTTCACGCTTTAAAATAAGGCTCCCTTTTGGCGGTTATAAGTGTTCATAACTCATTAACAAATGGTCATAGACCATTTGAGATGCAAAGAAACATCAAACCAAACACGAAAGCCTGAAATCTGTGAATCAACAACTGCAACATTGGAAACTACAGGATGGTCTTGGAGCAGAGTAAGTAATAACTTGGGATCTTTTAAACAGGTCACAGAATGTTACACCTGGAATGCTGTCCTAAAGAAGATGCCACTCAACCCCAGTGATTACAATAGGGCATTCACGCCTGGTGTACATTAGCATCTGGCAGCATTATATCAATACTTATGACAATCATGAGGAAGATGTCAGATAGTATGCTGAAAATGTCAAGTTACAGAATAGTGCCTTATGAATATGAATTTAGTCATTTCAGATGTTAATGTATGTCTCATCATTATTAATATTGATTGGTGTTTAAATTTGACAGGTCAAATGCTGACTGATGGAGAAGACAAAGTAAGATTAGAATCCGACAAGATCTGAAGTTTAACAGTAAAAATGGATGTGGGCTCACTATTTGGCAAACAACAGGCCACTGTTGCCCTTTCTACTTATGTCTTATAACTGCTTATTAATGAGTTTTAAGGTGTTTACAACCTAATTAATAACCATCAATAAACCCATTTTTAAACCATTTATAAACACTTTATAAAGGTAGTCTTATTTTAAAGTGGTACCTTTTACTTATCTCTTACAAACTGACATAGTGTTTAAGAAGGCAAAGTTACCCTTGAATGTGTTGTCATTTAATGTAAATTGGCTTAATTCAGCAGTGAAACAAACAAGAGTTCTGGAATATTTACATCAAAAATCTGTCTCGATAGCTCTAATAGGAGAGAAACACACTTAAAACCATGTGATGTATTTTGTGTTCAAAATAAATACCATAAGGTTGCTGTTTCTTCATCTGCTCCCAATAGAACTAAAGGTGTAGCAATACTGGTTGAAAGGAGGCTGCCCTTATCCATTGACCATATAAGGAATAATGAAGAAGGTAGATTCGCTCTTATAAAAGTCAGATTGGGCACAGCCTGGTTAGTTTTGGCCTCAGTCTATTGCCCCAATGAGTCAGATAGGGGATTTTTAAATGACTTTGCAATACTCTATTAGAGTTATCTGATTCTCACCTTTTGGTTGGTGGTGACTTTCATGCTGTGATAAATCCTAAGCTGGATAAATCTTGCCCTGATACTCATCCCACTATCTTCCAAACTTTTGAATCAATTTGTCTCTAGAGGTCTCTATTACAATTTTGCCAATTTTACTGTCTGACCATTCAGCTGTGTTACACAGTTTACTCCTCCCTGAAATGATCAAGGCTCCCAGATGGCGGTTCAATAGCTCATTTCTGACCAACTCAAAGTTTCTTAGCTCACTCAAAGCTGAGTTGCAGGTTTTCATATGCAGAGAGGCCTAGCCATTACTAGTTCTTAGATTAAAGGAATGTGAAACTAAGGCTTACATCAATGGAGTTATGAACTCAGATGATCAACTAGTCACTGATCCTTCAGGTATTAACAGGGTGTTTTTAGACAACGTAGATACCTTCATTCAACTTGTAATGAAGGAATTTGATGCTTTCAATAGCATTTCAGGGTTCAAGATTAACTGGTCTAAATCAGTTTTAATGCCACTAAATAAACTGTCCACAACTGCTACTATCCCTTCAGTAATTCCAGTTAAGGATTCATTCACCTACCTTGGCATATCTATATGTCAGCCAGAGAAAACTTTATTGGTACACTATGTAAGATCAAGCGTGATATGGACAGGTGGAACAGCCTTAAAGTGTCCCTCCAAGGTTGAATTGCAACAGTCAAGATGAATGTGTTGCCCCGGCTGAACTTCCTGCTTTTTATGTTACCACTCCCCCCTCCTCCAAAATTTTTTTGCTGATATTGATTCAATAGTTTCAAAATTTATATGGAATAATAGGTGCCAGAGAATTGAGCTAGCGACATTGCAGCTACCAAAATCCTTGGGTGGCTTGGCTGTACCAAATTTTACATTTTATTTGTCTTTTCAAATAAAAGCATTGAGGTCCTGGCTTGACATAGAATCCAAAATCCCATGGAGGACTATTGAATCTTCTCTAGTAAGGCCACACCAATTACAAGATTTGTTATTTACAAGTACTGGTTCTAAAAATGTTGATTTGAAATTCAGCTGTATTGTTGCACATTCCCTCAAGGTCTGGACCCATATAGAAAGACTCATGGGAGGCCCTTTCAAACTCTGTCATTCTACTCCATTATGGCGTAATTACAACCTTTTAAGAGGTGCACAACCCTTTACTCAACCTTCTTGGTCTTCTAGGGGTGTTAATGTTTGTGGTGATCTTTATGACGATGGAGGTTTTCGCTCTTTTGAGACCTTAAAGATTACTCTCTGTTTCTACTTTGTGTATTTGCAATTAAGATCAGTGCTTAAAGCCTATGGGGTTCCATGAGGCTTTCCTATAGCTGCTCATCCTATGGTGGATTGGATCCAACCATATATACCCTCCAAAGGATGTGTAGCTAGGATTTATTGTAAATTGATTGAAGCTACTATGAAACCTCTTTCTGTTACTAAATTATGGAACAGGGAGCTTGCTGCCTTAAATTTGACTCCGGAATGGGGAACTATTTGGTCTGATCTTAGCAGGACATCCATCAATCTAATTCATAGAGCATACCTTACACCGTATATAAGATTTAAAATGAAGCTCCATACTACCCATTATTGTCAGATATATACTAACACCGCTCCTGGTACATTTTTACATAAGTTCTGGGAATGTCCCTTGGTTGAAAAATTCTGGAAATATGTAAATTCATTGTTGTCTGATTTACTGGAAATTGAATATAATTATGACCCATGTTTGTGTCTCCTGAATGACAACTCCAATATAGGATCAAAGGCTATACAGAGTAAGCTATTGTTTTCTGGATTTACTGCTGCTAAAAAGACTATCCTACAAAACTGGATCACACCTGGACTTCACGTGGAATCATTCTGGGCTGTTAATTTACTTAACATAGCAAAACTCGAATGTACTGCTGTGCAACTTAATCAAGCCCATGACTGTTGAAACATGGCAAACGTTTGTGTTACATATTTTGGATTTCCTGCAAGGTATGCATTAAATATGGACATTTCCTCCCTTATTTAATTTTGTCTGTGATGTTGTACCTATGATCATTCTTGCTGTCCATGTCTCTTATGTCTCTTTGTTTTTGTTTTGGCTCTCTGCTGCTCCCCATCCCCTTGTTGTTTGTTGTTTTGTGAAACAATAAAAACTCTTGATCACTCAAAAACTCTATGATCAGATTTGACCATATGTACCTGATGAATGAGAGCCATTGGGTTAGGATGCAAATTTATTTGAAACTAACCACAAGACAAAACAACAAAAACCTCATTGTAGAACTATGTTGATGGCTATAATTGATGCACTGATAGTTCACCCATATATTTAGCCTGGACTGCAAAGCTTCTAGACCACATAGCTCCAACAGTCAATGTATCTTCCCATTAGTATGTTTATAATTACCATCTTGGCTCTCCTGGCTGCTCTTTGTCACACAACTGCTACTGCTGCTGTGACTCCAGCAGCCGCTGCTACATCACTGGCCACAATGCCCTCCACCCCTACCAGACCCTGCAGTAGTGCAGGATCCAGGGCAGCTTTCATGAGGCTAGAGAATCTGCATGGAGTAGCTTAGAGCCCCCAGCAACACTGACTCAGCCACCATCAGCACCATGACTTCATGGCCATAATTGAAACTGAAACTGAATTGAATAGTAAAAATGTGTGTAATATTTTTTCATGGCATTCAACAAAGTTTCCATAGCACATGATTTCAGCAAACAAATCTATTTTATTCATTCATTTATTTATTTTTGTGATTTTGGTGGTTGGCCACTAGGGAGTGACCCCAAAGTGACAGCAATATTCAGCTGCTAATGAGCTTAAATGAAGTGCCATGAATTAGAGTCATGTTATTGGTCAAGAGATTGTTATCTGTGTTGCTGTGTGAACAGCAGTCTGTGCACAAACCTTCAGGGTTTAATGTTGGTGAATTAACAGTTATACATTATATAGGAGCCAAACTAGGCTTGTGTAAATTTGTCTTTGTAAATACTTGAGTACCTTCTTGGGAACACAAGGGGGCAAGCTGCACAGGGTGACAGGTCAGATGAAAGTCAGGTGCTTATAGTCACAAGACACTGGGAGGAGCTCGGGTGGCGAGAACATGTGGTTCTTACTGCAGTTACTGTAAGAAAGAAAGCCTTGACTGGATCATAGTACTGCAATTCAAGTTTTGTTATCTTCAAGACAATATTTTATCATCTGCAGTTAAATAGTTTGATTCTATTGAAATGGCTCAACAAAAACGGAAATGCCACCCAACATCAAGTTTTAGTTTGGATATTTGTTTATTGGATGCGCATAAAGGAACATTCTACCCACCCGAGCAAGTGACTAAGAAAATTGGTTCCCCGATCCAATCTCCGATAGTCACTACACATTAACTCCATATATATGTATCCTAATATTTGAATGGACACTAATCCAATTAATTAATTCCTTCAGGAGCATCTGAATATTAGAGCCAGGTGTGTGGGAACTAATCTCACCATGGCAGAAGAGCTTTAGGACCAGAGGTGTGCACCCCTGCTTCAGATGACTAAGACTTAACTTAAAACAAACAAAACTGCTTTTTCACTTTTAGTTGTGTACTTGATTTTATCTGTGAAAGAAGATTCATCCAACATTGTCGTCGAACACATTCACAGAGCAGGCCTACATGGCTAGCGGCTTAAGTGAATAAAATGAATAAGGATTGATGTTTATTTCTCTAAAAGAGCAGGTCTCTGCTTAGACTCGATGCTATTGCTGGTAAAATAACTCTTCTAAGTACCTGCAGCAGGACACATAGGCTACAACTAATATTCAGATGTTCATGTGCACCCGATATTAGCTTTTCAGTAAGCAGCCTTTTTATATCATACTAAAAGGATAATAGAGCACAGCTCTTAAGCACACTCTCTGCAGGTGTCACAACCTATGCTACATAAATTGTGATATAGTTGCACTTTTGCTTGGTAGTTATATAATTTATTACATTACATTATTTACATTTTACATTATTACTGTCCTTATTTATATGTACTTAAAGTATTTTCACTGCAGGCAGAGTCTAATAAAGTGTTCTATTTACAATTCTGTTGAGTGAATATGCCAGCACAGTGTAACGGGCCAGAAAGATTTAGACACTCGTGGTTAAAAGGAGAAAAATAGGCTTTACTGATTGAATCAAAATCCAGGTTTGTGGTCAAAAAAGAGGCATGGATCAAATCCAGAAAAGACAGCCAGTACAAAAATATAAATATAACAGAAGGCAAAGGGCCAGGCAAAAAGATAGAGTCAAATAAACAGGCAAAACAGTCATAAACAGAAATAACATACACAATAGAATGCCCAGTAGATCTGGATAGATGCAATACTTCACAACTAGACTATGCTAAAGCCCGGGCTTATAAACTAAACAACTATGGTCATATGACACACAATACAGGTGAATCGAGTTAGTATTCTGGTGAATAAGAGCACTGATTGGAGCGCGAGGAAAGGTCAGGAGTCACATGGGTCATGTGATCTCCTAGAGGATTCTGGGAAATTGAGTCCAGGTACGTCTCAGAGTTCTTATATTTTCAGTGTCTGCCTTTGCATGGTCTAAGTGTACTTTCTCACACTGACCGAGAGGTGGCAAAGCACACTAACTACATAAGTATGAAGATTGAAATACATTCAATCTTCCTCCTGCTTGTACTCTTCTCCTTTCTATAAACCTCAATTCCAAATAATTCAGGACAGTAGGTGAAATTCCAATAAAATCAGAAAGCGGTGATTTGTACACTTGACCTTGCAATGAATACACCAGTTCCACATGGTGAGAGGTAGATGACATGTGTCTCAGTCCCTCTTCATAGGCTCATAACTCCGGATGTGAGTCATGTATGATGTTGTGATAAGATGGAATAGAAGGTGCGACTCTACAGATTCAGGAAATGTTTTAACTGTATTTCTGTGCTGTTACTGCAAAGAAAGAGAAACATGTATAGAAACTTAGAGAAACAGCAATTTTCACATTCAGGTGCATCTGTTGACCCCAGAGGCTTAAAAACTGATATCCATCTGTGATGGATATCACCCCATGGACCCTAGAATACTTTGACAAATCATTGACAATAAACATTGTTTTGTCACTGCAACAAAGATACAAGTAATGACTCTACTATGCACAGTGGAAGTCATATGTCAACAATATCAAGAAATACTGCTGACTTCTCTGGGCTTAAGCTTATCAGATGTGAACAGTGGAAACATCTATTGTGGTCTTTTAGATTGTTAGTAGAAATAATGGATGTTGTGTTCTTTGGGCCAAAGAAGAAAAGGACCAGATTTTTTTCAGCATTAGGTTCTAAAGCCAGTGTCTGTCATGGTATGGGGGTTATTATTGGTTACACATGTATGAAGGCACCATTAATGCTGACAAATATATAAAACATTTTAGAGCAACATATGATGTCTTCTTCGAGGACATCTCTGCTTATTTCAACATTAAAAACATTCTGCAAATGTTACAACAGCATGGCTGTGTAATCAGAGCTTGCAGGTGCTAGACTGGCCTGCCTGCAGTTCATAGCCATCTCACACTGACAACGTTTGGCGCATTATACAAAAATGAAGGCCCTCGTTGGTTATGAATACTTTTAAAACAGAAGAAGTCTTTCAAAATTAGTGCACATTTACCAAAAAAAATTCATATGATTCCACGTAAGTTATAAGACTGAAGAAGCGATTTAAAGTATATCATTTTCAAAAAACAAAATTCAGAAAATTTGCTTTGATTTTCTTATCCATAGTTTAACAAACAAACACATTTAAGTTTATTGTCAAAGGCCAGTTTTACATACTTTTACCCTAAAATGTTTATTTCTTTCATGGCACCCCTTATACATGGTACACCAGTCCTTTGTGTTTAGTGATGAGGCACACAGAAATCTACTCTTGGATAAAAGGTAAAGCTATTTATAACAAAGCCTCATTGTCTGTCTTCTGACGTAATGAAAATCAAAAGTATTTGGCATAACTTCCAAAAATGGCTTAAAGTTACTGGCTAGTAACAGGAGTTTTTACTACACTTTGCTACTAATTTCATACAAAATATAAAGTAATTGATGCGTGTGAGCAGGAATATCAACGGATTACATTAAAATATATTAGATTATTATACATTTTTTATAGGAAAAAAAACCCACAATAGAACAACATAAAAAGGAAAATGTGTACCTGAGCTAGTTCATAATAGCTAACCACCTAGATACCACTGTACAACAGCTACACATGGATTAAGAGGCTGAGTGCTAAACAAATGTTTACTTCCATTATTTGGTACAGAATCTGTGTATAGTACCAAACAGAAGTGAAACAAAAAACCAAAGTACAACAAAGAGAAGGAAAATTATCTAGCATGACATCAAAAAGGGAAATATACAATAATAATTTGTACATTGATAGAACACTATTGTTAACTAATCAATAATAATCTGTGTCATGCAAAAACGGATTATCATTTAATGATGACTGGAGAATTACTTTCGCAATGTTTTTTTATCCATCCATCATCTAAACCGCTTATCCTTCTGGGTCACGGTGGGGTGCTGGAGCCTATCCCAGCTGTCATTGGGCGGAAGGCAGGATTCACCCTGGACAGGTCACCAGTCCATCGCAGTCCATCCATGTCTTTGGACTGTGGGAGGAAACCGGAGTACCCGGAGGAAACCCACGCAGACACGGGGAGAACATGCGAACTCCACACAGAAACGACCCTGGTCGCCCGGCCGGGAATCGAACTCAGGCCATTCTTGCTGTGAGGCGACAGCGCTACCCACTGTGCCACTGTGCCGCCCAATGTTTTTTATGTATTTTGCTTCTAAAACACGTCACATTGCCCCGAAGCAGCAGCCTACATTCCTTACAACCAGAGAGTGGAACAGAAGTTTTCTGAACTACTGGGGAAGCAGGTCTGGCTAAATGCAAAGAACACACACGCATACGCACACACACAAACACACACACACACAAACACACACACACATACATACATACACAAAAACACACACACACATATATATATATATATATGCACACTCACTTTGCAATTTATTAGGAGCACTATATTAACACTGGGGAGAGCCTCAATTTGCTGAACTAATAGTAAGATTCACAAAACCAGCTTGAGACCACTTTTGCTTTTTGACATGATCCATTATCATGCTGGAAGTGAAGTCTACAGACTTGTCAAAATCACATGAGATCAACACAACAACAATCAAACCAGCTCTGTCTGGCGCCAACTGACATGCTTCGGTCAATATCACTTACATCACATTTTTCTCCCAGTCTGATGGTTGATATGAACATGAAGCTGCTGCCCTATCAGCATGATTCAGCATGACTTTATGCTATGATTAGATAATTGCATTAATAAGTGGGCGTTAGGCATGTTTACATATATATATATATATATATATATATATATATATATATATATATATATATATATATATATATATATATGATAGCTTCTCTAAACTGAAACTTTGTTTTGATTTTCTTTTCCATGGTTTAACAAACAAACACATTTAAGTTCATTGTCAAAGGCCTGTTTTACCTGCTTTTACCATGACATGCCTTTTTTATGTACAGCAGTGTTTTGTGTTTAGTGATAATGCATACAGATATCTAATCTTGGACAAGAGGTGAATGGTAGACAAAACATTTTATCTAAACATTTTACCCATTTTTTAACATTTTACCATTTTATCTAAACATTTTACCCAGTGGAGGTGGTGGGGGACAGGAGAATGAGGACTAAGCTAACAAACATGCTGAAGAACCTGTCCCACCCCATGCACCGCTCTCTGACAGCACTGAGCAGCTCCTTCAGTGCCCGGCTGCGGCACCCGCGGTGCGTGAAGGAGAGATACCGCAGGTCCTTCCTCCCAGCCGCTGTCAGACTCTATAACAGTCACGGCACTCAGTAGACAGTAGTTTACAATTACTTTCCATGTGCAAGAGCTCTCAACATCACTGCCACAGCACTTTACTGTGTGCAATATCTCAATCCACCATGCGCAGTATATTCACTGCGGATCACTGTCAACATGTCTACCACCATTATGTGCAATTATGTCAAGTGCAATATTTCTCCATTTATTACTGTTTATTTATTTGCTATTTTATTCACTGTGCAATACTCACTACAATACATACATTTCTACATTTCTAAATTTAAATTTAATACTTTGTATATTTTTCTTGTAATCTTTGTACATATACATATATATCTTTATACTTTTATTGTTTATTCTATTTTATATATTGTTTGTATATTTCCTGCTGCTCTGTCTTCTGTGCTGCTGTAACACCGCAAATTATCTAATCTAATCTAATCTAATCTAATCTAAAATTCTCATTGTCTGTCTTATGATGCAATGGAAACATAAAATACTTAACATTACTTCCAAAAAATGGATAATCAGCTTATTTGGCCCAACAAAGTGAAACATAGGCCTGTAGTTGATCTTTGCTTGCAAAGATCGAGCCTTTGGTGGATGTTCTTTTAATGCCCTATCATTACACTGTTTATGGTGTAATGTTTCAAAACAACTTGAATGTTCTATGATGTTTTCACTTTATTTTGCCCCTGTTCCAACTTTTTTTGCATGTGTTAAAGACATTAAATTCGAAACTTGTTTATATTTACAAAACACAATCAGGTTGATCAGTCAAAACAATAAAAGTCATATCTTTGTACCTTGGTCAGTTAAATATAGATTCAAGAGAATTTACAAATTACAGAGTGTTGTTTTATGCTACCCATACACTAGAAGACTTTGAAAAGACTTTTGAAAGACTAAAGTCTGACACCCTCTTACATCTAAAGATAGTGTCATGTTTTTTGGTCACAGACTATGATTTTGCAAAGACTAGGAATCTTGCAGTGTCACTATTTACAAGACTGCAACTAGATTTTTGAGATTATTCCCCATCATGCACCTGGTGGGAATTTACAAGCAGATAAACACTTTTCCTTCCACTCTATAGTGGTACAGATGGGAAGATACGCTGGCTGGGTGTGTAAAGATCTGGGGCTCAGATTAGTTCACTATAGGACTGTGTACTCTGGCAGATCATCACCCAGAATCTTTTAATTAACCTGTAAAGTGTGCAGCTGTTTTTTTTTTTATTTGATATAAAGATTTACACATCAACACAACATGAAGTGATTCAGCATGTCGATTGGGTATCATGAACTAAACCATAAGAAACAAACAAACAAAATAAGAAACCCCTGTAGCAGAAAACAGAAAAAAACATTGATGATTCTTCAATAATGGCATTCTTAAAGTCCTCTGCACATTTCCTTATGTGTTACAGGCTCAGTGAACCTGAAATAATAATAATAATAATAATAATAATAATAATAATAATAATAATAATAATAATAACAGTTTACATTTTAAGTTAATATGATAATTGTATTGAAGTGGAGCAGATTTGCTATTTTTACAGAGATTTCAGCACTCACGCCTGCATTCTCTCTCTCTCTCTCTCTCTCTCTCTCTCCCTTTCTATCGCGCCGTGCGCCTGCGCTTGCCCGCAGTCATGCGCGCCCCTGGCACTTCACTATTTACATGAGCCAAGACTTTAAACTTATGATAATATTAAACACGGCTGATTCTGTCGTAGCATCAAGACAAGAAAAAGACTGACTTAAGTCCGCCATCTTGACCACCTTACACCAAACGAGCGAGATGACACGAACGCGACACGACTCTAACAAGACTCTCATGATTTTATTCCGACATGGATATTTATCTGCAACAGTGAAATCACTTAAAAAAGTCGTTTGGTGTAAGGCTGGCATTAATTGCATTTTACAAAATATCCCGACTTTTCTGAAAATTGGTTTTGTATGTTACACTTTCCAATCTGCAGTCATTGCATTGTTTTTCACTGCTATGTTAATGACATCCATATGTATAGTGCACATACTGGCTACTTTATTAGCCTGAACACCTGGTACGCCTTAGGCTGCAGTCAATAATTGTAAATGAAAAATGTATCCACATGTTAGGTGTACATTATTAACTGGCGACATTTATTAGTTGTGCTTTTGCATGCAAACATTTGGGCAACCCTGGCCAAATTACACATGTTGTTGCATTTTAAGTGAAAAGAAGTAAGCAAAAATATGCAGCAAAGTATTTTTAAAAATAATTTTTTTTCTGCAAATATAAATACTGCACGGGCTCAGGAACACTTCCAGAAATCACTGTTTGTGAACACAGTTCACCGTGCAATCCACAAATGAAAGTTAAAGCTGTATTATGCAAAGAAGAAGCCATATGTCAACATGATCCCGAAACACTGTCATCTTCTCTGGGCCAAAGCTCATTTAAAATGGACTGAGGCAAAATGGAAAACTATTCTGTGGTCAGATTAATCCAAATTTAACATTTTTCTTGGAAATCATGAACACCGTGTCCTGTGGACTCAAGAGGAGAGGGACCACCCAGCTTGTTATCATTGCACAGTTCAAAAGCCTGCATCTATGCCTAAGCCTATGGCGTGGGCAGCTTACACATCTGGAAAGGCTCTATCAATGCTGAACAGTGTATAGAGGTTTTAGAACAACATATGCTCCCATCCAGACGGCGTCTCTTTCAGGGAAGGCCTTGCATATTTCAGCAAGACAATGATAAACCACATACTGCATCCATCACAACAGCATGGCTTCACAGAAGAAGAGTCTGGGTGCTGAACTGACCTGCTTGCAGTCCCGACCTTTCAACACTTAGCGCATCATGAAACAAAAAATCCGGCAAAGAAGACCCAGGACTGTTGAGCAGCTAGAATCCTACACTAGACAAGAATGGGACAACATTTCTCTCCTAAAACTCCAGCTATTGGTCTCCTGACTTCACAGACATTTACTGACTTGCAACATCTGATGTGTTCTACGTTCTATTGTGAATAAAATATGGGTCTATGAGATTTGCAAATCATTGCATTTTGTTTTTATTTACATTTATTTACATTTCACACAGTGTCCCAACAAATTTGGAATTTGGGTTGTAGGTAGATCTTACTTGACATATTAGGACTGGATAGGCAGATCATGAATTGTCTTTAGGAATTGTCATTTCAGATTGTAATAACTTTGCTGACTCTTCAAACCTTGTGTGAACAAGGGCTTCCTTCTAGCAACTGACTGATGATCTTATCACAGTGTTGTTGCTAATTACAGTTTTTCATAATTACTGTTTTTAAAGTTTCCAGAAAAAAGTGAAACACTGAAATACGATTCTGAATTCAGTCTGATTTAATTCGAAAAAAAAGTTTTAATATTTAATATTGTTTGTCTTATCATCAGAAATGTTCTTCCAAAACCTTTACTGAACTTTTTAAATTAAAAACATGACAATATCTCTCCAGCATTGTGTCAAATTTGTGACTTTGGAGGTTCCAATTGTGCTTTGTATAAACAGCCCTACTGACAAAAAGCTGAGATGGATTTTCATTCTGTTAAATCTAAGGGTAAGGACATATTTAAATGGAGTTTTTTCTACACTTTGCTACTAATTTCATTCAAAATCTAAAGTAATTGATGCGTGTGAGCAGAAATATCAACAGATTACATTAAAATATATTAGATTATTATACATTTTCTATAGAAAAAAACCCCACAATAGAACAACATAAAAAGGAAAATGTGTACCTGAGCTAGTTCATAATAGCTAACCACCTAGATACCACTGTACAACAGCTACACATGGATTAAGAGGCTGAGTGCTAAACAAATGTTTACTTCCATTATTTGGTACAGAATCTGTGTATAGTACCAAACAGAAGTGAAACAAAAAAAACAAAGTACAGCAAAGAGAAGGAAAATTATCTAGCATGACATCAAAAAGGGAAATATACAATAATAATTTGTACATTGATAGAACATGTTAACTAATCAATAATAATCTGTGTCAAGCAAAAACGGATTATCATTTAATGATGACTGGAGAATTACTTTCGCAATGTTTTTTATGTATTGCTTCTAAAACACGTCACATTCCCCCGAAGCAGCAGCCTACATTCCTTACAACCAGAGAGTGGAACAGAAGTTTTCTGAACTACTGGGGAAGCAGGTCTGGCTAAATGCAAAGAACACACACGCATACACACACACACAAAAACATACACACACATACACACACACAAACACACACACACAAACACACACACACACACACAAATACACACACACACACACAAACACGCACACACACGCACTCACATACAGATACACACACACGCACACACAAACACAAGCATTTGGCCATCCTTCCTCAGACCACAGCAGTGTCAGATCACTACTTAATCTTATATGAAATCGTAATATACGTTCATCCACACGCTATAGTGTTAAACGTACTATAACATTGTTTACACCCAATAGCTTTATTGAAAACCTTCCAGATCTTTCATCCTTAATTAGTTGTCCGTCTGAAACTAATGAATTAGATATGCTGACTAAATGTTTGGAGGACACTTTTCGCTCCACTCTAGATAATGTGGCTCCATTAAAAAGTAAAAGAATAAGGCAGAAAAGGCTCCATGGTACAATGACCATACTCGAGCTATGAAACTGACTGTTTGGCGATTAGAGTGTAAATGGCATCAGACTAAACTTGAGGTTTTCCAATCTGCCTGAAAGGAGAATCTTATAGACTATAGAAAAGCACTAAAGTCAGCACGTTCAGCCTCTCAGTCTCTCGTCATTGATTGAAAATAACAAGAATAATCCTAGACTACTATTCAGTACTATCTCTAAATTAACTAATAACCAAGCAGCTACTGAAGCCCAGATACCATCAGCCTACAGCAGCAATGACTTCGTGAACTTCTTTAATAATAAAATTGAATCAATTAGGCACAAAAATCAAAATGCGCAGCATTGCAGTGCAGCGTCCTATAAACCTAATCT